AGTGGATGGCTCAGATGGTGATTAGCTGTCGCAGTGAGTACCTTGGCTTAGACTATCGAGATCGGTTCCAACCTATGGACCGCAATCACCAAGTAGATGCTGGATTGTTTGAAGAGGCTGTGATCATGCCATTCTCTGAGACTCAGATCGATGACTATATCGAACAATATGTTGATGCCATGGATCCACTGTGGCATGCGGAGGACTACCGACGTGCACTCAAACAGATCCCTAGTCTACAAGGCCTTGTGAGGAACCCATTTATTCTATCGATGTCGCTTGAAGTACTCCCGCGAATGGTAGATCCAGATCAAGGGTCCTCCAACACCAAGGTCAAACGCGTGACACTGTATGACCAGTTCGTTGAGCAGTGGCTCGAGCGAGGCAAGAAGCGACTAAACGATGCATTAGGACTGGAAGACAGAAGAATGTACCACAAGCTATTAGATGAAGGGTTTGCACAGAATGGGATCAGATATCTCACTGAGCTAGCCATAGCGATCTACAAACATCAAGATGGCAACCCAGTAGTTGACTACTCACCATCCAAGGATAAGGGTACATGGAAAGAAGCGTACTTCAGCAAAGAGAATGGAAGGAACCTTCTACGGGAGGCTTCACCACTTACTCGTACAGGCAACCAGCACCGGTTTATCCATCGCTCGCTCCTAGAGTACAGCCTAGTGCGAGCAATCTTCGAACCGAAGAAAGTAATGGGTGCTCCTGCAATCGATGAAGTAGCAAAGGCGACAACAGCAACTTCTCGTCGGCAGAGCATCAGCTCAGTATTTAGTTTTGAAGCCATAGATATCAAGGAGGATGAGCAGGAAGTGGAAGTAGTGGAGATTGATGAGGCATCACCTTTAGTATGGAGAAGCTTTGTGGATGAACCATCTATCCTTCAATTCTTAGAGGACCGTGTCCGTCTTGAACCGGTGTTTAAACAGCAGCTGTACACATATGTGGAGCTCTCGAAGAGCGATAGCAAGTGGCGAGTAGCAGCAGCTAATGCGATGACAATCTTGGTCCAAGCAGGTGAGTCATTTATCGGAGCAGACTTGCGAGGCATCCAGATCCCAGGAGCAGATCTCAGCCATGGTATATTTGAGTATGCTCAGTTACAAGGGGCAGATCTGAGGAAGGCCAACTTACAGAACTGTTGGCTTCGTGAAGCAGACCTAAGCGGAGCGAAGATGGCAGGTGTACAGTTTGGAGAATGGCCGCTTCTCCAAGTTGGTGGTGAGACAAGGGAGGGATCATATTCTCCTGATGGCAAGACACTCGCTGCCGTTATCAGACTTGGCTCTAATATATATTCAATTGTTGTCTATGATACATCCACATGGGAGAAGCTTTCGACTCTGGAGGGCAATGCGTATAGCACGGGGCTTATATACTCGCCAGATAGTCAATATATCGCCAGCTGGGGCCCTTCCAGAACTGCAGTATCAATCTGGAATACAACCTCAGGAGCATTGGTTCACCGATTGGAGTGCCATATAACTCAAGTGAGCTGTGTAGTGTACTCACCAAGCGGAAACGATCTTGCCTCAGCTAGCCATGATGGGTCAGTGCGAGTGTGGGATACCCAAGCAGGAGTGCTCAAATACAGCTTAGAGGGCCATACAGGCTACGTGAGCAGTGTGGCATACTCTCCTGATGGACTCCAGATTGCAAGCAGCGGCTTTGACAATACAGTACGGTTGTGGGATGCGACATCAGGACAGCAGCTGATGCAGATGGACCATGGATATGAAATTCGGCAATTTGTGTATTCACCTAATGGCCAGGAAATTATATCTCGCTGTGCTAATGATAGTTACCTGCATGTGTGGGATGTTGGATCTGGTCAAAAAATATACGAGTTGGAGCATAAGGATACGGTCAGTGCCATTCAGTATTCTCCTAGTGGAAAGCTTGCTGCTTCATTCGCCTTGGATATGGCATACCAATGGAATATGCAAACAGGAAAGCTCATCCATACTCTTGCAGGGCATTCTGATCATATCGAAGGCCTAAGATACTCACCAAATGGAGAACAAATAGCCACTTGCAGTTATGACCTCACAGTCCGGCTTTGGGACACAAGATCAGGGCAACTCATGCATACCTTTTATGGTCACCTTGGCTATATACACTGTGTGGCTTACTCACCAAACAACCATCAACTTGCATCCTTCAGCAGTGATAAAACGATACGTCTTTGGGATACTCGATCACAGCAATCTAATCATTCAGCGCCGATCAGTGGGATTACGAGCTCACCAGATGGGCAGCAGATAGCTTCGAGCAGTGGTGATGGGACAGCGCGTATGTGGGATGTAAAGACAGGGCAGCCCATCCATGTTTTACAATGCCTCGATGGATATATAGATGACATCAGGTATTCACCTGACGGCCAGTTGCTTGCTTCTCGCCATGAAGCTTCACGTGTCTACCTTTGGGACGCTCGAACAGGCCAAGTCGCCCACACCTTGGAGTTGCAGGACAGACAAGACGATTGGATCTACACCTTTGATTTCTCACCCATTGACCACCAAATTGCCTGCGCTTATCATAAGGGAGATATGACTATATGGAACACACAAACAGGAGAACTCATCCACACTCTACAGGGCCATAATAGAGCTGTAAGGTGTGTAGTATTCTCACCAGGTGGCCAACACCTTGCTTCATATGATGAAGGTGGCGCTCTTAGGGTCTGGACAGTTCATTCAGGTGACCTTCGTTATGAAGTAAATTGTGGAGAAGCGGAACGCGATTTTATCAAATACACGCCTGATGGTCGAAGAATAATGGGTTATCACGGCTATCCCTCATATGAGTTGCAAGTACGGAACGCAGAAACGGGTGAGCTTTGTTACACAATTAGAGGCTATACAAGTTTAGGAACATTTTCACCATGTTGTCAACGGATGGTTTGTGCCTTGGAGTATGGACAAATTGATGTGGTAGATGTGAAAACGGGAGTTGCTTTATATACTCTTGAAGGACACAGCGGTCACTTCATAACGATGACTTATTCGCCTGATGGGAAGTACATTGCTTCAAGCGGTTGGGATAGAACAGTGCGAGTGTGGGACGCAGAGACAGGAGAGTGTTTGGTAGCAATCCCAATTGAAGGTAGAGAAGTTCAGAGGGTTGTGTGCAACACCTTTGAAGGAGGCTGCTTTCTGGTTACAGGATGCATGGGTGGTTCTATTCGGATGTGGCAGATTGTGAAGGAAGGCGATCAATATCAGCATCGACTGAAATGGAGCACCAAACAAACAGCTCTTAATGTTAACAACACTTGTTTTCAAGATGTAACTGGGTTGAGTGAAGTCAACAGGAAGCTTCTGATGCAACGAGGAGAAATAAAAGAGCAATCCCTTCCTTTGGTCACATATGAGGCATCGAAACAGATTGTGACAGCATCACCAATGGCATTCAAGTCCAAAGTAACCTCAAACCAGGCTATTTATCGTCAAGTCCTATCAGCAGAGGCACTCTTAGAGACAGAAGCTTTGAATGAAGGAATGCCGTTGACAACAGTGGCAGCAGCAAGTGAATCGATCAATGACTACCGATTCAAATACAGCATGTGCAGTGAATGTAGATTTGCACATGTTATTTCATGTAGACCTCGCTGCTGAAGGAGCTACTAAGAAGGACAACGTTTAGAATAAAGAATAAAGTGAAAATAGTGCTTGTCGATAAACCATCATCAAAGATTGAATGTAGTATACACGCTTTTTGGATAAAGTATGGTGTCTTGAAGGTAATTGTCAATGTTTTTCGAACTTCGTTGTAAAGCATTAGTATTTATTTAATATTTTTATTGACCTTTGGTGAGGAATGTGCTCTCTCTATATGTGGAAGCTGCTCATTCGATATCCGTGTTTATATTAATTTAGTTGGAGAGAACTACACTCTAAGGCACAACCTTTAGTACATGTTGTTGTATACATAGCTGGAACTCAGCGGGAGGTAACTAGGTCGTCACTGTTCTATCTATCAGTAGTGCGAAACAAATATTCCGCCGTTGATACTTTATTGCTCTGTACTAAATACCGATTTCCTCTACTTGTGTTGGTGACATGCATAGAGTTCTTTAAAAGAAAGATAATAAATAATAAACATAGTAAATTAAGAAGACGTATTCAACAGACGGCTATTGGAGGCTGGGCAGGGCTACTTAATTTGGTTGATACCGAATCAGGAGCAATATCTCATAGACTTGAAGGACATTACTATAGGATCAATGGCTTGGTTTATTTGATGGATAGTCACTTGCTTCATTCAGTGGTGACATGACAATGCGAATTTGGGACTCTAGAGTCAGGACAGCATTTAATTTTAAATCCGCTCGTAGGTGCAAATGTTAAAACGTTTGCAGGAACATCAGAAAAAAGGTCCTTCATGTGAGAAACACATGTGTTCAAGATGTAGATGGACTGAGTGAAGGTCAACAGGAAAGTGCCTGGTACTGCATGGAACTAATAAATGAGTAAGCATTCTCTTTGGTCATACATGAGACATCTAAGGATATAACAACATCACTAATAACATCCAGGTTTGGAGCTGTCCCCAGCCAAGCGAATCACCGCCAAGCCCTATCAAGGGAGGTACTCTTAGAGATGAAGCCTTTAAAGGGACGGAATCAAGTCAATCGATCAGAGGTCACCAATTTAAATACAGTGTGTGTAGTCATTTCATGCAGCCGCTCTCACAAAAGAGCATAAAAAAGACAATGCGGCTGTACAGGGTTTTGGAGCGACGGTCTGTGCTCTGGCCAACTTCTTTTTTTTTTTTTTTTTTTTTTTTTCTTTTTCGATTGAGCGTCATTTCTACTTCCCTCTGTTTTCTGTATATTTTGTATGCTTGAAATGTACATGGATATGTTTATGCGCAACAGATACAGTAACATGAGCATTCAGTTGCAAGACGTAAGATAACCATCATTATATATATATATTTTTTTAATTATTCTTTCTGAGGCAAAGACAGAGGAAGAGGCTGCTGTTTTTATTATTATTCTTGTTGTCGTCCCTGTTGAAGTCTCGCACGCATCGTGGCGTCATGGCATCGAAATCGACTTTTTCCAAACACGTACTCAACTTCAGACGCCTTGGCCAACTCGAACATATAAGTGCGACCAGGCCATGGTCGTGCCTTTGTTTCATTACAACAAAAATAATTCTCTTGCCCTAAAATCGTTTCTATTGTTATTGTCCTCGTTTGAGGAGAAGGACAGATATCTCCATCATCAATACATCTACCCACATACGCCTGTAATCCGTACCGCCCGATCAACTCGAAAGGAAAGTCAAGCATAATCAACGCCCCCTTCATTCGAGCCACACGAAGATGCTTCAATTTCATTGTCGATTGAATCCATGGCTCTGGTGCTAGTTTCGGGAGCCTTTGCTCCACATGGATGCCTCTCAGGTTCGGCATCACATCCAAAAATATCCTGTCAAGCTCTTTCTGTTCCAGGACCCAGAGTCCACGCAGTTCAAGGTAATGAAGGTTTGGAAGGCTCAGGAGCTGTTTCGTATTGCTGCCGCTGCTGCTGCTGCTACTACTGTTACTGCTACTGCCGTTGCTACTGCTATTAATGCCTGCTCCCGTCGGTAACAATAGTGATGATGATAGTGATGACAAGTCGATAGGGTCGTCATCAAGCTGAAATAAACTCGATTTGAAGTCTCGAGATGATACATCGGTACGAATATAACGTGTGTTGAGGTTGAGATGCAATACATGGATCTTTGGTGAGTGCTGTAACATCTTGAACTGGAAGCCCCATGCAAATTCACCGTCTAGTTCCAAAAATGATAGTTGAGGTAACTGCCATTGCCAGTTCCACATTTCTCGGTTGCGCAGGTATTCCGCCATCTGAGGTATCGGTTGCTTTATTGACGGCATGCCCTCAGGCGTTGAAGAAGGACAATGTGTATCCAGACAAAGTACCTCCAACTTGAGCATATGCTCAAGAGAATCTGGATGGAATTCGTAAACAGGAAATCCCCTCAAACGTAGCTCCTTTAAATTTTTTAAAGAGCTCCATATTGTTCTCGGTGGAAGATCTTTAACGGCATGCAAAAAGAAGTCAGCGGTGTAAACGGCATAATCTTCAAGAACAAGGTGCTCCAGTAAAGTAACTTGGCTTAGGAGCCTCGGGTCAATGAAAAGCGCTTTCCAATGGCTAAACAGCTCCAACCGCCGGAGATTAAGTGGTGACCATTGCCTGCCAAGATATAAAAGGGTCGGAGTGGGATTGAAATAACGACAGTTCTCTTCAAAATAGCTTTGGCTACATCTGTCTTCATCCACATAGATAGTCTCTAATGTCTCACTGAAAGCATAGACAACATCATTCAACCATGGCCATACTCTTGAAGATCCACAGATATTGACATGTTTGAGCATTACGCGCTGGTTATTGAGAGTAAAGTCTCGATCATGGCCCTGTCTAATGATCGCTCCAACTCCCCAAGCAGCTGCTGTTGGGAATGTTGCTGGTGTCCTTGCTATCGCCTTTGGCTTCATTGCTACCACCGCCGTTGTGGATGCGTCTGAGCACAGAGCGCGTGGTGTGTTTGGACGCTCTCTTGAAAATCCTGCAGCATCTTTCTCTTTCACTGCAAACAAGAAGCTATCCACTGTTTCATCGAAAGAACTTCTTTTGAATGACTCTAATGACCTGCACTTGTGAAGATATGGGCCATATTGGTCGATCGCTTCTTCCAGTCCAGAAGGCTCCATTTTGTCCGGTTCGTTAATCTCCTTCACATATCTAAAGTCAATATCCCCTAATCGACTACAAACCCTCATCCAGTTCCTTCCATCAATGACGCGTGGCTCCACGAGCAATGGTAGAGGGTGAGTCGATGCTATGGAGGATGGGGGTCCAAGTTGGAAGCTTCGATAGACCTCTTCGAGTGTACCGCTTGACTTTGTATGTCTCTTAATAAACTCAGCCGTTTCATCTGAAGGGATTGGACTCCGGTACTTGATATCGGTCACAAATTCAACATACTTGAGCTCCTTGAAACGATTGATGATCCCTTGATACCGCTGGATGTCTTGTATATGGAAGGTAAGCCTCCGCATCTGCTCAGGGCGATCAGAATGAAGAGCCCACAAGACATCCGCTGTCAAGCATTTTTTGAAATGCCGGATATCCCTCTTACTAGGCCTATCCCCCTTTTTGAGTTGGCAATATAAGGGATCTTCCTTAAGCATATCTTTGACTTCGTGACGTCCGAATCGGTTGAACTGCTGTAATTTTGTGGCGAAATCACAACTCACGCCTAGAACTTGATCTTGATAGAAGCCAAGAGAAATTGCATGGACATAGGATAGATAATCAACATAAGGCTGCTGAGGGAAATTGTCATCCATAGTTAAAAGACTTAACATTCGTTTCCTAGGCATAACGATATCCTCTGGGGCCTTAATAGAGGCTTTTGATGTAGGGGGAGTGATGGAAGGGAATGCATATACAGCTCTGATCCATGGAGTGATGGCACTTTTGTTGTTTTTGACACATAAAAGTAAAAGTCGGACCAGCGCGAATGCATCAACGACCCCGAAGCGACGATATGGATTAACTCGTGCTTGATTTCCTGACTGGTAGAAGAACGCCAAGGGATCACGATAGAGGAGAGGTAACGCCACGGCTTGAAAATCTTTATTGACCCGCAAGAGAACACTCAATGTCCTTGAATCCCAATCTGCAACAAGCATTTCACAGATGAGATGAATACATTCCAAAGGTAATCTTGCTCGGCTCATTTCCTTATTTTTTTTTTTTAATGAAGCAAAATGATGACTAAAAAAAGAGAGGTAATGGACTTGGCATAAAAACAGTGCGATGATGACTGAAAATCATACATTGAGATTTGGTGGTCTGTGCGCTTTGCTTTGTATCGTTTTTTATCGCTTTATTTATTTGCTACTTTTGTTATACTACCCATGTCATGGAGAGTCTTAATTGAAACCATTAACTTCCATGGGAAGATCGTGAACAATAGGGGATAATGACTTCCAGGTATCAGTCAGACTCTGATTAGTCTTTATCTGCTCATTCACAAAGGCTTGATACATGGTTGCAATCAATGCGTGGTTCTTGTGGAAATATGTGAGCTCCATCCACAATGTGTGCTGTAGCAACACAGCCCTTTGGTTCTGTATTTCCAGCTCCGCACGATCCTAATAAATAAACATCCCGATACAAGAACGATTAATATCCAAGGACAATTAAAAAAATAAAATAAAATAAAATAAAATAAAATAAAAAAAACGTGCTTTTGCTAAACTTTTTCTTACTGTGTAAAGATTAGCATTCAACCTCTCGATCTGTGCATCATTCACTCCTGATTCTCCATGTCCTCTTGTTTCACCAGCGCTCTCTCCATTTGCAACTGCTGTAGGATTGATGGGAGCTTGCAACGCTTTCAATTTGGCCTCATTTGCTGCTATACGTTTCTGTAGAGATTCGATTGTTCCTGCTTCTTTTGATCGTTCTCTTCTCTGTAACAATTCCTTGAGCGAGACCAACAAATCTCGCTGACGCTTTAGGTCTTCAACCATCCCCCGTTGAAGTGTCTTGGCCTGGTCGTCTAGTACATTGGATGTCTGACCGATAGTTGACCCTATCTTACTGTAACCTTGACTTAACTGTCCACAATTATAACAGTCCTCTACATGGCATTGTTTGTCACATTCTGCTAAACCACTGGAGGGTGGATTACAAAGGAGGAAAATGAGTATGAGATACTGAGGATATTCTCATGTCAATGACGAAAGAATCTCGAAGACTTACTTGAGTGCTGAGCTGAAGCGCATATAATCTGCTGCAGAAGCTTCTGTCCGTTTCTGGACACGATCGATAACATGGACCATAGTGCGATAATAGTCAATAGCCGCCGGTAACCGTCTCTTGATATTCTCCAACTGCAACTCTAGATCCGCAGGCACCTGTTTGGCGAGGCTAGGATGTATAGGTAACTGTGTCGTGAATTCATCCTCTGTCGAAATCACAACATTCTTTCTCCAAAGGGCCAATTCCTTAGAGATATTAAAATAAATAAATAATAATAATAGTTAGAAAATGAGGAAAAATAAATAATAATGACTCATGAATATCAGAAAAAAAAAATAAAAAAATAAAAAAAAAAAAAAAAAAAAAAAAAGAATATGTACCACGGGTTCTGTTAAAAATGATATGACCAATGGATCTTTCCTGAGCACTGGATGTCTCATCAGTGCATTCATAAATCGTGTGAGTCCCTTCAGACGCCTTTCCAAAAATGCTTCATCCGCCACTAGATTTTTCAAGAAATTATTTTTTTAGTGAGAATAATAACAATAATAATAACAAACCCATTTCACATGCATTTATTTACCTCCTAAACGCTTCGGCGGCAAATTCGGCAGGATTCTGAATGGGAATCGCTTGCCCAGAACCTCCAACAGCCACCAAAAATCACTATACCGCCGAATGACAGCTGTCTGACGATTCTACAAAAAGAAAAAAAAAAAAAAAAAAAAAAAATTGATTGTCAACAAAAATAACCAGTCCTTTTCTCTCTTCTTCATCTTCTACTTCTTTTCCCACGAGATGAAATCCCTCTTTAATACCTTAGATTCTACAATATAGTTGGTATGTTTGAACAAGAAAATCCCTTCTTTCTCTGGTGCGAAACTGATATGGATCACATCAAGGTTCAGGAACCAGTGATGGATCTCTCGTTGTGTTGCTTCTGGATCAAAACTTTCGCTGGCCCCTAAAATACCATGACTTCCTCCTGTTGCTCCTGATCCCGATCCTATACTTGGCCCTACAATACTCCCAGTAGTAGCACTGGGTGATGTTGGTGAATCCAAAGTCGGGAATGGGGGTGCTGATAAGTATGAAGGTGGTGGTGGGTATCCACTTCCTCTGTAAGTCGAGTTTCGCCATGGGTCTGATATGCTACTCCCAACATTAACAGGATGATGTTTAGGAGTAGTGGATGAGGTTGAGTAGATCCGTGAATGATCACTGACACTGCCAAAATCGATATTTTCTAATCCAGGCAAGTGAGGGATCGGCAAATCTTTAAAAAAACAAAAAGATATCAAGCGCATTCATTATGCAAAAATGGTCAGCCGAAAGAAGGGATCAAACTAAACCTAAAACAAATTAATGTACGCGTAAATTGCATTTGACTGGAGTTTTTTTTTCCTTTCTTTCTTTATTACCTCCACGGTGAGCTGTCAGGTTTTCAATGGTCAAATCCATATTCTTTTGCGCCATGGCCACTAAAGCCAATACTACGCTACATTCGCCTTTTGTGATCCTAGACCGAGTTGGAGCAACAACCATGTTCATAATCTAAAAATGTTTAAACAAATAATAGAAAATAATAGAAAATAATAAATAAATAAATAAATCATGGAGACACAAGGGGATCATTTACGGTCCCATAGGGGTGGTATGGTTGGTCCAAAAAAAGTTAGGGGCAGGGTGCGAGTGAAAAATGACTGTTTGATGGGGTCATGAGAATTAAACTCACACTCACACTCACACACACCCATCCTTCGTCCCCCCCCCCCCCCTTCTTTTACCCTGACGCAATTTTCTTTTTTTTCTTTTCTTTTTTTTCTCTTCCAGGATAGAAAACAATGGAAGACTTGCAAACTCACAATATCTCCCCAAAACTCTCTTTTTTTTCTTTTTTTTTTTTTTTTTTTTTTTTTTTTGCCCTTTCCATTTAACTCTGCTAACAACGCACCTTATCGACTGTTACAGAAGGTAATCCACTGACGCCCACAATCTTGTTCACGGCCGACACTGTGACCTTTCCTCCTGATGGTTGAGCCAGATCAAAAGCCGTTGTATATATTTCTGGAAGTGGCATGCCAGCTAAGAGAATAGCAACAATAACAAATAATATCAATAAAAAGAAAAAGTTACTGTCAGAAAGATAAAAGAAAAAAAAAAAAAAAAAAAGCGTATTGCTAAATAATGTAAACTGTAATAGTGTATAGCGCATAGTGCATATTTACATAGGATAGTACTCAAATCCTCATGAGTCATGCCTCCTTCTAGACGTGAGGCAGCCGTCCATGGGTCATTGACATCAGAGTCAAATGTCGGCGCCGTGAACGATGTTGCCATGCCATTCCTGTTTTCTCCTAATGTGCTCATTTTTTTTTTTTTTTTTTTATTTCGTCGTCCGTCGTCCTTGGGACTTTATATATATATATATATATATTGTTGTTGTCGTTGTTGTTGTTGATCGTCAAGTGTTTTTTTTTATTGCAGAATAATGTTATTGAGATTGCTGAGTGCCAGAAAAAAAAAAAAAAAAAAAAAACTACTTGTTCTATGGTCCTAAGTAAGCTGAAAAGGAAAAAGAAGAATAGAAAAAAAAAGGGGGAATAAGCTCCAGGAAAGCTGACTTTTTTTATTTCTTTCTTCCAAAAAAACGTTTCTCCACAAAGGAACACTTTCCCTTCCCCTGTCATTATGTCACACCTTTTGATCTTTTAACGCGATCATCACGTGTATTATAATTGCCACCAAAGTCCTCTTATTTTTATTTTTTTTTTTTTTATTTGCTTAATAGATTTTTGTTTGATTGTTTGTTTATTGCGAGTCCAAGCTAACAAACCAACTTGGCACCCATCCACGCTGTCCTTCACATGTTGCCAGAAGCCAATGCTGATGTCGACGGAAGATTTTCTATCACAACATTAATGAATTTTTTTTTTTTTTTTTTTTTTTTTTTAGTCAACATTTTGATCAATATAGCCAAAGAGAAATAGAAAAAAAAATAACACTAAACAAGTTCCTTTTCTTCAAGACTTACAAGTTTATCTCCTGTCTTAATACTCAATTCATTTGGTCCGGTTTTTGTGAAATCAAAGATGGCAACCCCCTCGGCTGAAAAGTACCCATCCTCTGAATTACTCTCTGACAAGATACTGGCTGGGATCCATCCAATCTCGTCATCCCGCTGCACAATCCACCATCCATGTCCTTTGCTCTTGATCTTGAATACATCTCCAACCTTGACATTCAATTCATCATCTCGTTTCGCCTCCCACTCATACAACGCCACTGCTGTCCCTGAAGCCTCCACTGTTTCTTGTACATAGTTCTCAGGCTTGGGTCCGACAATCGTTGCATTATTGGTGTTGGACTGAGTATTAGATAATGCTGATGAGCCTTCACCACCACCCCTACCATGCTGACCTGTATGCATGCTTGAGGCTGAAGTTTTTTTTTATTTTATTTTATTTTATAATATAATGACAATTAGTATCATTCCACTTGTTCATTTCTATCGCTCCTGCTTGTGTTGAAAAAAAAAAAAAAAAAAAAAAAAAAAACATGTATGAATCAAATGATCCGGAAAAGTATTTCTAATCCACTTACTGTTAGCAATCGATTTACTAGATGTTCTCATAGATGCTGATGTACCTGATCGAGCAAGTGAAGCGCCGCCACCATTAATAGGAGATAGCGAATTATTATTCAAACCAACGGTTGATCCTACTAAGGTTGATCCAGAAGCAATCGACAATGAACTAGCATTCATTCCTCCCAGTCCTCCCAAGGCTTCTGGTGGCATTGGTAATTCCTTATTCATCAAATCTGAGCTCTTCCGGGGTGGAAATGAATTGGGTGGTGAAGGTGCATTAACAGCGGGCGACTTCATCTGTTTGATATGTTTGAGCATAAACACTGGTGATTCGTTGTTTTCCTTCAATTGCTTCATTAGGAGTAGCGGCTTTTCATTGTACGTCAAGATACGTTCTAAATAAATCAAAGTATTTCATCCATTGAAGCAACATTGTTAGCTTTGATAATAAAAAAGAAAGGCCATACTCTAGCCTTGATAACTGTAGAAACAATACAACTCCTGCTCATCATATTGCTTATCATGCGACATCAAGCAATGCATTACCAGTGTTTCCATAACAAATAAAGAGTGCATATTGGCGCCAATCGTCGTTAATCTTATACTTTTTCAATGCTGCAGGTAAGACCTTGTAACAAGGGTCATCCTGTGAAATCCTGAAACTCCTGAATGCATCCACAGGATCCCTCGTGTTTGATGGCTTTTGGCCATAGACCTTGATAGCGCCAGCACCATCAACGCCCGCTGATCCTGTTGCTTTGCCATCCTATGTTTATCCATATTATAAAAAAATAAAAAATAAAAAATAAAAAAAATAAAAAGAATGGAATCAGCAACACGACCGATATTGATGAATACACTAAATTTCCAGTAATCAATTATAGATGAAAATAAGTGTAAGCCTGCTTGCTTACCTCATTTGACTCTGCATTGCCGCCTCGTGTCCGTGTATCAGCAGGCGAATGTGGTGAGCTTGGAACAGAATGAAATCCAGAGTCGGAAGAGAAGCCAGGCGATCGTGCTGTGTTGACACCACCATGCGAGGCATGAATAGGAGATTGAGGTGTAAGAGGTGAACTGCCATTATGCGCTGACTGTGATGCTGAGAGCATTGAGGATGATTGCCCGCCGTTTATGTTCATGTTCATGGCCTTGGGGTATCCAGAGTTGCTGGGTTCAGGTAGAGGCTACAAACACGCGTTTTTTTTTTTTTTTTTTTTTTTTTTTTTTGTAATGTTGGATTTGTTAGAAAAAAAAAAAAAAAAAAAAATGACGAGGGGTAACATTATATTTTCCTTGACAGTTGTTACCTTTTGATCCTTCTGCATGATCCAGAGTTCATCCTTGACTTTGGTCAAGTCTTTTGACATCCGCTCGACTTCCCTTACTAGATGTTGAATTGTATTATCTGTAGAAAATAGGCAGAAATAGCATGTGAAATCATCGTCAGTCATTCATCCTGTAAAAACTTTTTGCTCCTGCGTTGTTGCTGTTGTTGTGGTTGTTGCTGTTGCTGTGGTTGTTGTTGTTGTAGTATGAAGATCTAAAAAAAAAAAAAAAAAAAAAAAAATTTTGCTCTGGTACCTTTCTCATGCATTGCCTGTTCAACAGACTTTAAGCTTGCAGCCGCCGTGTAATTGTATTCCTATGAACATGAACAGTACATACACACAAAAAAAAAGCATATAACCATCAGACAAAGATCGGATTATGAAATAATAAACGAGGATACTAAAAAAAAAAAAAAAAAAAAAAGTGAGAGCAACACCTACGTTTTCGAATGCAACGCCTAATAATAAAAAGGTTGCAAAAGAAAGCACGCGTTACGACATGCAACCAAGCATGAAAAATAATAATAATAATAATAATTAAAAAATAGTCCAAGGTTAGTTATCAAGAATACTGCAAGTTTGGCCTAGTTGACTGTTGACCGACTCTTGATTGTTGGTTGTTTATGTTTGTACATGTTGTAGACGTGTGTAATTGTCCTTGTCTGTCCAAACGAGCGAAACATTTTTTTGGGTGTAAAAATCCATTTCGGAGGGTTTTCATTTGTGATACTTTACTTGGTGGAACATAGTCACCGGCCTCCATCGCGATGCCATATGAGACCTTAAGTTGATAAATAGCCTTGAGGATCACAAGTCGTTTGCCCACTTCCCATATGGACAAGTCTTTGAGTGCTGCATGATCTAGATGAATGAGTAAATCTCCCGAGATGCCATTGTCTAAGACAAAACACAGACCAAAAAAAAAAAAAAAAAAAAAGAAAAGAGAGCAGGCTAATTAGCAAAGAGTAGAAAGACAATAAACAAAACCTCCATGGCGAATGTTTTTCGTTTTGTTTCGTTTTACTTGATACCTTTAATCTGTTTCTCATAGTTTGGGAACCCGATCGAGCACATCCATTGATGAACCTTGTTGACATCCCATTGAGTAATGCTCTCCATCGTCAATATAATATTCTAAGCCCTTTTCCTTTGTTTATACCACTGTTGCACACTGGTAACTGGAGAGAGTACAGGCTGCTTATCAGGTGCTGTTTTGGGGAATAAAAAGTAGAATGCTAAGAGAGAATAATAATATGAAGTATTGGTGCAATGATGCCTCGTTGCTTCGTTGCTTCGTTGCTTCGTTGCTTTGTTGTTTTGTTGCTCTGTTGCCTTGTCGCTTATGTATGTTTTTTCTAGAAGAGGCTGGCAGTAAAGAGAAAAGGAATGACTGGTAAACAACAGACAGAAAGAGAAAGAACGGGACAACGATATCAGTTACTGTTGCAACGTATAAAAACATGTACAAAAAGAAAAAAAAAAGAAAGATTAAAGTGAAGAGAGAAAAGAGAGGAAAAGTAAAATAGGATGAAAAGAAAGAGTAAGCATAAAGGACCAGTAAGCAAGGAACAAAGAAGAGCAAGAGCAAGAGAATAAGAGCTAGAAGTAAGAGCAAGAGTAAAGAGTAAAGAGTAAGAGCAAGGGATATGGGTACAAAAGCACGAGCTAAACAAGCTTAACAAACAGGAAAGACACGAGATGATTTGTTCAGAGTATTGCTCTTCTTCGTCTTCTCTCTTTCTTTCCGCGAGACAAAGGATAAAAGGACAAGGTGTAGAGTGTAAAAAGCGAGAAACATAAAAAAAAAAAAAACCACAGACCACACGAAGGCGGTTTGTGCAATTGTAATAATAATAAGAATAAAAAAGTATAAAGTATTCGGCACTCTGTTCTTGTTCTTGGACTATATACCCCAGGGCAATGTGATTGAATGAACGAATGATTCGCAAAGACAGTGAGTAAAGAGCGAGTTACTTTGAAGATATTCACGGTTAACCTCAAAGGAAAAGGGAAGGGGGAGAAAGTAAGGTATGGACAAAAGTTACGGGTTGTAGAAAATGAAACAAAAAAGGATGCTAATGTCAATGTCAGCGTCAATAAAGAGAATGAATGGGGATGACAACAGGTTTTTTTTTCTTTTTTTTTTTCCTTCTTTTGAGATTAAATGTAAATAAAAGGGAATAAATGGAAAGAATGAATCTGATGAGGTGATGGTATGAAGTGATGATGAAGACAAAGAAAAAAGACCTGCTCAGAAAAAGACCTTTTTTTTTTTTTTTTTTAGGCGGCAAAAACAAAATTAAGGTTATGGCTGAAGACTTTTTTAACTCTTTTTATCTCTCCATCTCTCTCTCTTTCTCTTTATTCATTTCTCTTTGGACAGACACAATTGGACGACAATTCGAATGCGCCAATCTGTCCTCTCCGTCCTCTCTGTGCCCCTGGATATTCCGAAACTTATCCAATAATGCTTTATACGCTATTATCCCATCCTCTCCGCTAGGCACCGTTCCTTCTTCTTGTAGACCTTCCAAATGTTAACGAGATTCTTGTTCTTTATGTCTTTTTTTTTTTTCTTTTCTTTTAACAATATTGCACTCAAGCGCGTGTTAAGCCTTGGGAAACTATCAAAGTCACCAACTTTGATGTTATCATAAGCAAAAGCCGCCAATGGTAGGAATAATGAAGAAAGAGATGTTAGTCTCTGCTCTTTGATTTAAGTGCTTTAGCCTCTTTTATCGCACAATGGCAATCTCCTCTTTTTCAATTTGTTGATGATGACATTGATCTCCACTTCATTCGCCCAGACATTGGAGTAGATAATTTGGAGCGTTACATCATCAAGCTTACAAGAAGGTTGACCTTCTTGTGTAGGCTCTAAAATACTGATCTACTTCTTTTAATCTTTATCAATTACAGAGGAGTTGCTTAGTATATAACTCATAATTGAATAAGGTCATCTCAAAAAAGGAAATCGGTAAGCGCGTAGATACTTCTAGAATCGTAGTGGTGGGTGACAACTAAAATCGTAGCTCGCCTGCAATGAGCACAAAACCGGAGTACGCGTCAGATACAACAACGGTCAAGAATTGAAGGCAAAAAAAAAAAAAAAAAAAAAAAATGAATGCCTGAATAGCCCATCCTGACCGAGCTCCAGCAGGTTTTTTTTTGGATACCTCTGTATTTAAATGTTCATAGGGTGAGAGATCAGAGACAGTGTTTAACATTTATACCTTTTGCTTTCGTTAGGCTTGCGCGCAGATGTCATGAGTGTGAAGTGACCTGGAGATACGAAGCTAGACCTCCCTTATTGTGTCCAACACTCTTACTGTAGTTCATTGTAACAAACATTGCCGTTATGTCCAACTCTGCTCCTTTCCTTCAAATAAAGAACAAACCATTCAACTCTTTTTTTTTTTTTTTATTATTATTTTTTGATGATGATTATAATGTCGGTAGACGCTTAATAATAATAGTGGCGGCGGCGATAAAGACGAACGACATTGTACGAACACTTTCTTTGTTTTTTTTTTTTTTTTTTTTTTTTTTTTTCTACTTTCTATGTTCTTAATTTCACAAGGATTCCGAACACGCACACAAAAAAAGTCAGACATAAAGTTCCGAATTCATCTGGCTCGAGATCCATTGTAGGTGGTAAAATTGGCGGTAAAAAGCCCTCGTCCTTTAATCGGCTTGACATGTTGTAGAAAAAAAAAACGCTAATGACCTCAATGTCAACAAGTCATTCTTTCTTGCTTAAAACTTTATCAGGTCTCTAGATTAAAATTCTTTTCCTTTGAACAAAACACCGTGCCCAATATCCGTGCAGTTACCTGGATCAACAATCACAACAGAAATCGTGCAACGAGTAGAGCCTTCGTCGCACACACCCAAAAAAAAAAAAAAAAAAAAAAAAGATGGCCATTCTGAAACTGATATTTCCACGTGTGGGTTATTGAGGTTGTTTGTGCGATGTCGGCGAATTATACTTCAAGATGGCAAGATGGTGAGGTTTCACTTCATCATGTGGTCACCACAGCAGGTTCTTTGAGGGCGATATCTTGAAGTAATCTTTGTCCTTGGAATCCCAGAAAGGAGAATGCTGAGTTGATTCTTGAGATCACAGAAGGGTTCAGGGACATCTTGAGGTTCTCACAGTTGTATTATCAACTCTGACAGCAACGGCAACGGCAGCAACAGCTAAAACGACAGCAGCAGTTTCGCTTCAAATCTCTACAACTGCAGCAGCAGAGTTGGACGCGGAACTGGATGCAGACATGATCGAATCTTGTGTTATCACTTGTTCCAATTAATTTTACACGCATTCTCATATTAAAAGCTTTAATGAAAACCGTAAACTGTAACTTTTCCTCAGACGCCGTTTTTATTTAGGCGCCACTGTTTGCCGTACTAGTGTTAATACAAATTCCATATTCAAAATCTCAAAATCCCATCATGTGCAAGACCTACATCCTCATCCTCATCCTCATCCCTTTCGTTGATTCTATGCCCAGCTGACTTTTTGTACAAATTTGTGTCAAGCTTTGGGACAATAAGCGTCAGTCGCAGGAACTGTGTATACCTAGCACTAGACACTTGTGATTGTCTCACGGGAATATCCCAGACAGTCCACCATCGCGGGAGAGGAGGAATCATCCGAGTGTTCTCTTTGAACGAACGACTGCACAGGTAACTATCATGTGGTCAAGCGCTGCGCCGCAAGCTGAACAACACAACGCACTATGGGTGAACAGAGCACATTTCATGGAGGAGGGGAGGTGCATCCGGCTGTTCACCAGCGCCCACGCCAGTGCCCAAATTTCTTTGCATGGCGCTAAAAAGTCTTAATTGCCTCTAAAAATAAATAACCTAAAGCTTTGATCTCATACGATGTATCCTACCAAGACTACATGTGCTTCTAGGGCCACACTTTAAGACCTGGTTAGTGCATAGCTTTTTCTAAAAAGTTCTTTGTTGTTGCTAAAGGCGGAAAATCTTTTTATTGATTCACGTGGCATTGGCCCATTTAGCCCACCAAATGATGCCCCCCCCTTTACCAATGTCGCGCATACCCCGCATCTCATCTCTTTATCTCAATCTTCCAGATTGTGGAGGTTCTATTTTAAAAATCACAGGAGGTGGTGAAGTGAGGAAGATGTTACTTTCTGCAACATTCTTAAAGTAAAAGAGCATGGGGGTATGGACATGAATAGGAATAGGAAATAGGAAAGAGGAAAGAGGAAGGAGAAAAAGGAAAAACGTTGATAGCACACACATCATCTAATTCTCACAAGCTCCTTTTTTTTTTTTTTTTTTATTTTATTTTTTATTATTATTACGTGGAAAAAAAAAAAAAAAAAAAAAAAAAAAAGAATCAACTAACTATGTACAATAACAAGAAAAAGAAGAAGAAAAAAGAATCTTTAAAAGGCAAAGTGTGTGAATGTACGGTACGTGAATGTGTGAAGAAGTATAAAAAATCTTTTTTTTTTTTTTTTTTTTTTTTTTTTTTTTTTTTTTAAAAGCCTGGTCCAGACGACTCATCCGATGCTGGGTCCTCACCCACTGCACGTACTGCAGCATCATAGAACAAGTCTCCACACTCACTATGCTCTCGCTCTGCCCACCACAAAGATCGAACGATCTATTTTTACAAAGAAAAGAAAAAAGAACTTTTTAGCATTTCGTTACTCGAGAAACAAAAAAAAATAAAAAGAAGAGAGAAGGGAGGGGTATAATCTTACCTTTGGAACAATGTGATGATCAGCATGGAGAGCCTCCTGAGACAATGATCTCCATCGACCGGTAGGAAGATTAGGCACTTCAGCAACACCGGCACCAGTACTACCATCAAAAGAGCTTGTCACCATCCCTCCTTTCCTCAATGACAAAGGTTGCTGTTGTTGCTGTTGGTCATGATGATCCTTGTCTTCTTCAGGGCTTACGTCCGTCATCAATGGCAAAGTCGCTGCAGCGGTCTGCATCAGCACCTTGGGTCGACCCTGGACTACAAATGTTGCCACAAGGGACATCCAAATGGCCTTGAGCAGATTCTCCTTCTCTACTTCTGAGGGCAACACCTGGACGAGGAAACGAGCTGCATGGGTCGCAAAAAGGATGTTTGCAAGGTTCCTATCCAGCTGTTCTTCATCCCCAAATCGGTTCGTAGCTGTGAAGAGTAGCAAAGTGCTCGTCCGCGAAAGATCCAAGAGTGCCTCTGATACAGATTTAACTATAATTGCAAGTAAAAATAAATCAGTAATCAGTAAATAAGTAATAAATAAGTAATAAATAAATAAAAGATTAGCCGGCCATATATACGTATATATATAATAGCCGGATATTTATGTAATATGGTTCTATAGGTTTGAACCTTGTCTTTTCTGTCTTTTCTGTGTTTTCCCTTTTTGTTCCTTTCTATGCCGCAAAATGCCCATGCCTATTGTATATTTATACCATACCCATGTTGTTGTTGTTGTTGTTTTTTGTGTCCAGAATTTTGAGGGTACTGTTTTTTTTTTCTTCTTTGTGTTACCCATAGAGGATTGTGATGTTATTGTTTCCCAACTGTTTGTGCAATAGAAAACGAATTCAAATTCTATAAAAACTTTTCTTTTTTTTTTTTTTTTTTTTTTTTTCCTTTGGTTTTGGTTTTTACCTTGACTAGTCCACATGCCTAGGTAGGATTTGAGTAAACTCACACGGGAACTCATGACAACGTTCAATTTCCCCTGGAATCCTGCATCAAACATTCCATCCAACCGTTTATCATTTCGGATCATGTTAAGGATCGTTACTGTAGGCGATCGTTTCTGCATTGTTTCCGAATGTAGAGTCTTCTTATTAGCTAAACCTGTAGATCCAGATCCAGATCCAGATTCAGAGGTCGAGTCCCAGGATGAGGCTGTAGCATTTGGGATAAAACAGCTTGTTCCGGGTTGATAGGAAACACATGCATAGGCCAGACCTTCGGCTGTTGCGAATCGAGAACCGAATTCAACTCCGTACCCAAGATGGATCAACGGTCCCATCGATGCACATAGCCCGGGGATCAATGGTGTCAGATAATCAGACACCATCTTGGCCATTGCTTTTTGTAGAGCAGTTGAGGACGGTGACCTTGACCATGATGCTGTCAAGGGTGAAGGCATTGGGACTGTTGTTGATGTTGTTGATGTTGATGTTGATGATTCCTTTAGGATCTTTGCCTCCAAATGACGTAGTTCATGATCAAAAAAGTCGAGATAGTCGTGATAATAGCTACAATGGTCATGGGAATGGGAATGGGAATGAAACATGTAAACATTGTCAGTTTTTTATTTATTTATTTATTTATTTATTTATTTATTTATTTATTTTACTTGTCAATGATCCAACTTGTGTCAGATCTATTTTATGCGGAGCAAATAAAACAAAAAAATAAAAATAAAACCAACCTTTTGTGGCCGAGCCAATCACGCCAGTTATGAGTGGTGATGGTGATGGTAGAAGCAGGAGGGATCCGTTCCTTATCTTGTCTGAATCGTTTATATGTCTGATACAGGTCCTTGGGTGTGCCTATTGAATGAATCCAGGATAAAGAAGAGACAACATTAATGTTTTAGTCAATACCAAAAAAAAAAAACTTTACCGGTGACCCAGTAGTAGAAGTAGAAGTATAAAGTATAAAAATAAAAAATAAAAAATAAAACGTAAAATAAAGAAGCGCACAGCACCGTTCCCTCCTATCGTCCGTGACCATCTTTTTTTTTTTTTTTTTTTTAAATCATTATTATATATATTTCCAGGGGGCACGAAAACAACTCCGAAAAAAAAAAAAAAAAAAAAAAAAAAAGGTCTTAGGACCCTGAACATTGTTTCTATGATGATTTATGCATGTGCAATCAATCATATCAAAACAATTACTCAGTAACATCATCATCTCCTTCTTTCAAACTTCACAGTCTAAAAGCATAATCAAGCACAGAAAAAGAGATCCCAGGAGAAAGAAAAAGAAATTCGTACTAAATGACATCTCCTCTGTATCTTTTTCATTGCTGATTTTGTACATTTACAGATTTGCGCACATCTCCAAATCCGATGTTACTCCTATCTGTCATTCATAATAATAATAATAAAAAAAAAAAAAAAAGGGAAAGAGGGGGAAAGAGTGGAAAAAGGAAAAGGAAAAGGAAAAAAAAAAAAAAGATCACTTGAACCAATCAATGTACTATTACAATACAATGAATAGGAAGAAAGAAAAGAAAAGAAAAGAAAAAATTGCATTGTTGTTATTGTTATATTTCGGTGTTGTTTGTTGTTTTTTTTTTCCCATCTCATCCATGTGGGTTGATTTTCTTTTTTAGTTTGTTTCGATGGATTGTGTGTCCAATAGGACAGATGATGAATTGATTGAAGAATTAGAACAACTAGACCAGGGCAAAAAAAAAAAATTGTGTCCTGTCCTCCTTGGTTCTGTCTAGGCTGGGTTATTTTGTTTACGTAGCACTAACTAATGTAGCAACCGTAAAAGAATTAACCGGGCAAATACAGAAAAAAAAAAAAAAAAAAAAAAAAAATACGCACGCCCTTTTTTCTTTTTTTTTTCTTTATGCTAAACAATTACAATGACACCATGAACAATACTAATAATTATAATAATAAGTGGTTCCCAGATCTTTTTTTTTTTTTTTTTTTTTTTTTTTCTTTGCACCATCGCTCTCTTTTTTTTTTTTTTTTTTTTTTTTTTTTTTTAAATTATTAAGTCCATAGAATTTAATCATTCGCGTCTGTGTCCATGTCTTTGTCGCGCAAAACAAAAAAAAAAAAAAAAGAAAAAAAATAAAATAAAATAAAAAAAATAGGAGCGAGCACAGCATTGAAATCAAGGTGAAAAAAAAAAAAAAAAAAAAAAAAAAAAAAAAAGGCAAGAAAATGTAAACGGTTAATTGAAGGGGGAGGAACGAGTGCCGGGACTGAAACTGAGACTGGGACTGGAACTGGGGGACTGGGACAAAAGTGGAAGTAGAGTGGGAAATGAATCCCGTAAGAATGAATTGGAATATGATTTAATTTAAGAGTCTTCTTTACCTCCCATGGCATATTTCGTAAGGGCATCTTGGACTAGAGCTCCTCCGGCAAGGTAGCCAGACAGATCTGTGTGGTAGACATGATATTGAGCATGGATGATGGACAGAGCCATATCCCGTGCTGTGATATCGTCCGTCAAATGGATATTACGCGAAGAATGAGAGGAAACATGAGGATAATGCTTCACACTCGGACGCTTGCAGTCAATGTTGGTTGTGGTAGAAGTGGACGAGACGACGGATGTTGTGGCTGTGGAGGGTACGGCTGTTGCTGTTGTTGCTGTTGTGGATGCCATCTTGAAAAGAACAGAGTATAATGGATAAGGTAGTGTGAGATGTTGGTGTGAGATGTTGGTGTGAGAAATATAAGGAAAAGTGAGAGAAATAAAGGGATAGAGTTGTCGTAAAGAAAGAACTGTCAATAACGAGTTGTTGAATTGAAGAAAGTGGTAGCGATTTATAACTGATTGTTGGTAGTTGAGGTAATAGAAGTTGTTCTTGTCGTAAGGAATAAAAAAACGTGTTTGATGAATGTGAATCAACACCCGAAGAGAATGGAATGAGACAAAGACAAGAAAAAAAAAAAAAAAAAAAAAAAAAAAAAAAAAAAAAAAAGAGGAGAAAGAGAGACAGTTGTTGGCAAAGGGGAAGGGAAGAAAAGAATTGATGAATGAACAACAAGAAGATAAAAAAGATAAAAAAGAAAAAGAACCCAAAAGGTGAGAAAAAGAATTCGGGACAAGGGGATAGGGAAAGAGGCAGAGGACCCTTTGGTCTTTGGGAAGAGAATATGGAACCAAAAAGGACAGGGCGGGAAGTGAAAATAAAATATGAAAATAAAAGTATTTTAGATAACAAAAAAACTTATTCTTACAAACTAGTAAAAATTAATCCCGGTTCTCATGCACACACACACACATGTACAGTACAAAAATACATGTACAATCTATCGTCTCTAAATGCTCTACTGTTCTAATTTCTAATCTCTAATCTCTAATTTTTAATTCCTATCTGCTACCCTCTTTCTACACCTCTACGTCTTTACCACATGCTAAAGAGAAACCTGCCATAAAGATCAAGGGATTGTAAAAGAGGGAGAAAGAGAACTAAGAGAGAGTTACAGGAACAGACTTTTTGAACAACTCTATTTACTATTAGGATAGTATACATGACACATGTGGATACTACAAGTCAAAAACCGCCAATGACACACCACCATTAAGATCACCCACCGTCTTTATCTCTTTCTCCTCGGAAGATCAAAGGGAGGGGCAAAATTCGGACTGGACAGGACTGGATTCGACTTGACTTTTTTTCTTTTCAACCTCCACATCATCATTACCGTTGCTCTAAATTATATATCTAAATTGATAAAGAGAGAGAGAGAGAACAGAGAGGGGATGCATGCATTGCATTGCGAATATCCTTGAAATGTGATCCTGTCAGTTCAACCAATGTTATTTTTAATTCTTGTTCTTATTCTTGTTCTTATTCTTATTCTTATTCGTATTCTTATCCCTGTTCTCTTTGTTCTTGCTCTTGTTCCGGTTCCTATTCTTTAATAACCTAATAACAACGTGGTGTTAATGACTGGTGCAAAAATATATATATATATTAAAGTGCTTTCTTTATCTTTGAGCTTCTTGAGCTTCTTGAGCAATGGAGATAAAAAAAAAAAAAAAAAAAAAAAAAAATATTTGGGAAGGAATAGATAGAAATAGATAAAAAAATAAAATAAAATAAAATAAAAAAGGGGGAAAATAAAATGAACATCAATCTATGCTTCACACAAATACCACATACCACGCCCATTTATTACAAAAAAGAAACATCCCAAAAAAGGAGGGACATTGCTCCATGTACATACAAAAGATCGGTTGTTTACATCCATCTTTGTTGTCCACATGTATTGATGTGTGTCTATGTTCTTCTAATTTGTATAAATGAATGTGTTGCGTGTATGTGTCATGTCGAATGTCCACAAGACCAAGGGAGGGAGTTAATCTGCACAGACAAACAATTGACAATTGACAAACAAAAAAGAACCTTGACCCTTATTTGGTCTTTGGTCAATGTTCTTTTGGTCCTTTGGTCTCTCTTCCTTCCCTTCCCTTCCCTTCCCTTCTCTCTTATTGAACAACTTGCATTTATACATACCAATCTTTTATAACTTTGCTCTCTATTCTCAACATTCTTATTTTCTTATCTTTTTTTTTTTTTTTTTTTTCTTCTAATTCCACTTCATCTCATCTTCTCGATTTCTGCTCATTTTTCTTTATCTTTATGAGAAAGAGATAAATGAACGAGTAACTGATCCGATTCAACACTCTCGCTCTCACTCTCATTCTCACTCTCTTTTCTCTTTCTTTCTTTCTTTCTTTCTTTCTTTCTTTCTTTCTTTCTTTCTTTAGCACAGCAGTAGAATAGCAAGGATGGGAAGTAGGAATTCCAAGGACTCCTCAGTTGAGAATTCAAAAGGGAGAGGAAATCAACATCCAAAATAAAATAAAATAAAATAAAATAAAATAAAATAAAATAAAATAAAATAAAATAAAATAAAATAAAAATAAATTTACCCCATTTCACAACATTTTTTGCTCCAATGAGAACAGTGGGAGTGGGACCCAGGTGTGCTTGTGTTGTGTCTTGTGCTTTTTTTAAGACAAGTCTTTTTCTTTGCATTTGTTTTTTTTTTTTTTTTTTTTTTTTTTATTTATTCTGACTTGTGGAAAAAACATAAAAGTGGCGCGCGTTTGTAAGAATATCTTCCGACTATCAAAATAAAACGTGTTCAAAGTGAAGAAACAAGTTATAAATATAAAAATACATATAAAACAACGCGCAATGCAAGACAAAAAAAAAAAAAAAAAATAAAAAAAAAAAAAAGGGCGTAAGTCATAAAACCCTCTTTCTTCACATCCTTTTCCTAAACAAATAACAAAATATAAAACGGACAGTAACTGGTGCGGAAGAAAAAAAAAAAAAAAAGAAACAAACAACAAAAGGATGGATGTGACCTCTTGAGACACACAGCAAATAAATCATGTTCCTCTCCGTGAAGTACATGTACATGTAAAAAATGGGTTGAGTAAAAAAATAAAAAAAAAAACAAGGGTTGCGGTTGCATGATGATGGGGAAAAAAAAAAAAAAAAAAAAAAAAAAGTCGTAAAGTGAATCATAATCTCAGTTTTTGAAAATCTTTTTCCCTGTTCATCCGTATCCATATTCCCGTATCTGGTATCTTTTTTTGGACGAGAGATCATGAATGAGGATCCATTTCTCTCTTTTTTTGGTTAGGATACGATCCTTTTTCCTTTTTTCCTTTTTTTTTTAAAAAATAAAAATAAAAATATTAATATATATCTTTTTATATCCTGAATTTTTATTGAGATGAATGGAATGAATAATTGTGACAATGAACCCTGAATACTAATGGTACAAGAACTAAGAGGAAAAGAAGGAAAATGGAAAAATGGAAAATGGAAAAAGAAAGTAAAAAGATGTTTTTGAATAGCGAAAAGAGCACAATATGCAAAGCTACTCGATTAAAAGAAAAGAAGAGGCGCAATCAGAATCAAAGCCCATTGTTAACGGAGTACAGGGCTGGGTTTGGGTTCATCATCATGGTCATCATGGTCGCCTGCCAATGTGGATCCCGTAGTGGGTATGGCTGTGATCCCATTTGGGATTGCTCCAAATAAGCTTGTTGGCCCGCCGCAAATTGACCTTGCTGCTGTTGTTGCTGTGCCTGTTGTGGATCAGATGTGAAGGCTAATCCTTGCTGTTGGTACAACAGGTATTGCATATATTGATTCCACGTATCCGATTGTTGCTGCTGAATCTTATTTGGAGATACAACCGCCGATATGGGTGCTGCAAACATATCCTGGGGGTATATCATCTGAGGCTCTGTCATCGACTGTGCTGAGAATCCTGGCTGCATCCCTACACCCATTCCCATCCCTGATGGATATACTTGTTGAAGACTAATGGTCATGCTGTTGTTCTGCTGGGATGTAGTAGGCTCGTTCACAAAGATTGGAGGTTGTTGTTGTTGCTGCTGCTGGTCCTGGGAATTGCCCAAAAGACTCTGCTCCAATGACATCCATGGAATCCATGGCGAGGGTGACATCGAGTCACTTGATGTTGTGGGCGAACGTTCGAGGGAAGGGGGCGAGAGCGAGGGCACACTCGTTTGCACATGCATCTTGGGTCGCTCCATCATGCTCTCGGGGGTATTACCGCCAAAATACTGTTGTGCATACAAAGTAGCAGCAGGGCTCTTGGCCAAAGAATCACCAAGCTTTGCAGTAAACGTTGTGAAACTGGACATGATATCGTCATCCGAGAGCCCAAAGGTCGTTGCTTGATCCCCAAAGAGGTTTGTGTCGGGTATCATCACACTATCTTGAAGTTCATTAGAGAGTGGTGCAGGATCCTCCATCATAAGACTAGGTTCATCTGTCATCTGTTGTTGAAGCCAAGGCTGGTTGTTTGTAGTCGCAGTCTTGTTCCCGGAGGGGGCACTCATCGATCGATTCGGACCATTTTCACGACGCTATTAGTGAGTTTAAATCAGGAACAAATAGAAAAGAGATTTTTTTTTTTTTTTTTCTTGGCTCAGTCTTTCGTTTTCTGACTTTTTTTTTGATTCTCTCCTTTTTAGGCCTATCCATGGCTTATCCTCATTATCTGCCTGAACTTTAAAGACGCGACTGCGAGACAACGAGATTTTGTATCTGCAGGACTTACCAAACTCTTGCTTGAACCTATTGAAATCAAGGAAAGCAAACACACATAAAAAAAGCAATAACAATAAAAAAAAAATAAAAAAAAAAAAAAAAAAAAAAAAAAGCGTCAGTAAAACTCAAAAAAAAAAAACCAAGAAAGCAGTTATTGAGAGCCAACTCCCTTTTTTTTTTTTTTTTTTTTTTTCTGCCCGATGTAATCTTTTGTTTACATCGTTGCCACACATGAGCACAAAAAAATATAAAAAAAAATTGCAGTCATGTTGATGTGGCGGTTGTTTGCAGTTATTATGATTTGCTACTGGCAACAGAAAGCCATGCACTACCTGCAATATGCAGCCTGCGACATGCGACATGCAACATGCAAATATGCAAACATTCAACAGAAGAAATAGAAAAAGAAAGAATAAAGTAGGGGGGGATGCAAAGAGATGATGCACTTTAATTTTTTTTTTTTTTTTTTTTTTTTTTTTCCATACCTTCGACAACGCTTTCGCGTCGTTGGATGACCCGATGTTGCAAGGCCTCGGTTGTGGCCAGCTGGCCATGCTCGATCGCCTGTCGGATTTTGTCCGCCCGGATCTGAAACATAACCTCAAGAATGGCTCTGGCCTCTTCCCTCGTCTCCGGAGGTTTCTCGCACGAGGTCGCGATAAACGATTGCAGGGCCTGTCGCACGGGCAATGCCCCGGAGGCGACCAAGCCCTGCCAGTCTTGGGGCGTCAACGGAGGCTGGGCTGACATCCGGCACTGCAGAGACTGTGGATGCAAATGCGTCTGGAACTGCGGCTGAGATTGAGACTGGGATTGAGGTTGAGGTTGAGGATGAGCAGGGTAAAGGGTCACTACAGAAGAGGGTGCAGCCGTTACTGCATTAACTATGGGCAAGGACTGTGAAGTGGACGCAGCTGTTGTTGCAGCTGTGATTGCTGTTGATGATGAGGGTGAAGAAGATGGCGGTGCAGACAATGCAGCCGAGAGTACAAGGTTTGAGGGAGCAAGTTGATTGCTTGCTCTTCGCTGTTGTAATGTTTGGTTACGTGTTGGGAAAATTGCTTTGGGATTGCTTTGTACTCTTTTATAATGCTGTTGTTGAAGTTGCTTCTGCTGTTGTTGCAACTGGTGCTGAAGTTGCTGTTGTTGTTGATGCAAGAGCTGTTGATGTTGTTGTTGTTGTTGTTGTTGTTGTTGTTGTTGTTGTTGTTGCTGCTGCTGTTGCTGCTGCTGTTGCTGCTGTTGTTGCTGCTGTTGCTGTGAGAGATGCTGTTGATGGAGTTGCATCTGAGGATGATATGGCTGCTGTTGCTGTTGATGATGGAGAGCAAAGGGGACAGCACCAATGGGAACAGATGAAACAGTAGAGACCTCAGCAGTGCTAGTTGGGATCCCCTGTGAGATATGCTGTTGAGTGTAAGGATAGATGGATGCCATCTCGGAGTAGAGAGAACAGAATATCCGGAGAGACCTAAAGACAGAATAGGAGGAGGAATGTGCTGTGAAGGAAAGAAGGAATAGAAAACTATGAGGAAGAAGGAGGAGAAGAAGAAGGAGTTGAAGGTTAAAAGAAGTGCAGATGAGTGAAATATAAAAAAAGAAAAAGAAAAGGAAAAGAAAAAGAAAAAGAAGGTCGGGTAGTAAAGAAGAGGGAAGAAGGAAGGAAAAGAATGGAAGTGATGAGAAAAAAAAAAAAAAAACGATCAAAGGATCGGCTTTATGTGTCTGATTTTTATCTGAACCAAACCATGCTCGTTCATCCACTCGTTCACTCTTCTTTTTCCTCTTCCGCTCTTTTCTTTCTCCTGCTCACTCTCCTTCCTTTTCTTTTTTGTTTTTTATACCTGTTCTTCTATTACATGTACAGACCCATGTGTCGAATGTGTGGTTGTGCCACAGCCAGTGGAACAGAGCACATCCGGGTTGAAAGCTGGTAATTTATCAGTGCCTCAACAATAAACATTCAAAATATTTCCATGCGATGTTGAGCATCATCACATCATCGTCTATTACATTTGCTCTCCTTTTATTTTATTTTGCTTTGCTTTGCTTTGCTTTGCTTTGCTTTTTTTTTTTTTTTAAAAAAAAAAAGCATATCCAACAATACAACCAACCCACTTTGCTTTCCCCAACTTCTCTCTCTCTCTCTCTATCTTTCTTTCTTTATTTTATTTTAATTTTTTTTATTTTTTTATTTTTTTTTAAAAGCGGGTATCAGATGAGTTTGGATTGGATTTATTTTGTCCCGCCTGATTATGTTTCACGCCCAGCTTTAAAATAAATAAAATAAAAAAAAAAAAAAGTCTTATTTCTTATTTTTCTTTATTTTCCCAGCATTGAAGCAAAGGAGACTGAGCCAGCAAAGAGAAACCATGAATGGCGAATCTCATTCACTTTGTTTCCAATCTGATTGTTTACAAAGCTCTCTCTTTCTCTCTTTGTCTTTCATTCATCAAAGAGCGAAACATGTATATTGTCATTAGCTCATTCCCCTCTTTTCCTTTTGTTGCTATTGTTGTTATTGTTGCTATAGTTATTATAGTTACCATTGTTGTTATAGTTACTATTGTTATTGTTGTTGTTGTTGTTGTTGTTGTTGTTGTTGTTGTTGTTGTTGTTGTTGTTGTTGTTGTTATCGTCCTTGTCGTTATTATTGTTTTGTCGTTGGAACAAAAAAAAAAAAAAAAAAAAAAAAAAGCTGAATGATGGGACGCGATTGTCTCGTGTATGTAAAGTTCCTTTTAGCCGCTTTACCAGCTAGTCAGTAGTCAGTTAATAGCTCCATTCATACTCCTTACATCTGCTATATAGATTATGTTATACAATACAGCTTGTATAAATAAATACAATGGATCAAATGGACCAAATGGTTCATGTTTCCGTAAAAGAAAAAGAAAAAAAAAAAAAAAAAAAAAAAAAACTTGCTTTTTCATCCTGTTACTCCATAACATTTGCGCACGCACACACCCCCGTTTGTCCTAAATTGATGCTTTGTCTTTTTTTTTTTGTTCTTTCGCCGTTTCTCTCCTTGGGATGCGCGACGCCACACAACCCATGGTTTTTTAATACTAGACCTTACTTGGATTTGATAAAAATTTCATTTGTTCACGTCCGTTGGTCTGCTTTTTTATTTTATTTTCCTTGGTTCAGGGCCATTTTCTTATTTTTTATTTTTTTTTTTACTAGTGCGCTAAAGCTTAGTAAAAACCTAAAAGCGGAGATGAGCGCATATTCGATCCACCTATTTCCAAATGCTTGGCAAAGAAGACAAAGTAGAAGAACAAGTACAAGTAGAAGAAAAAAAGAAATTTTGTCTTACAAAAAAGGGTACACGCCCTGACGCAAGCATGCATCCTCTTTCCCCCTTTGAACCTTCTTAGAATAGGTCTAGTGCAATTTTTTATTCTTTAGTGTCATCCTACACTTCTGGCCATTCAGGCCATTCAGACTATATTCAGGACCAAAAAAAACAAAAAAAAGGCACCGACCTTACTTTACATCCAAGGTTCCTGTACTACCCCCCCAGGAACATCCAATCCTTTTTTCTTAATCCATTCGAACGAATGAGAACCGTGCACTTTCTCTTCATCTTCTTCCCATGGAACTCTGCAGATCTTGCAGCTCCTCTTCTCCTGTTTAATAACCTATACTAGTTGTTATATATATATATATATATGTATATCATATCTGTATACTCTCTTTCTCTCCCTCCATTCTTTTTCCTGCTTAGTCATTTGAGAGAATAAAAGAGTGAGAGAGAGAAATAACAATTTATCCGGGAGAGACAATATACATTTACATAAAAAAGTGACATCGATATGGGGTCATCAAATTTATTTTAAACACTGCAAAATACATCACAACATCAATCTATACTTACCCTGCCCACTATTTATACATTAAAAAAAAGGAGAGAGAGAGAAAGAAAGAAGATAGAAAGAAAAAAGACCCTACCTGTCACAATTAGTCTTGACTGACCTTCAGAACTTGACCTTGTCTGTTCGACCTAAAGTACCTAAAGCACTTTAGAGCAATTCTTTTTTTTTTTTTTTTTTTTTTTTTTTTTTGTTTGTTTGTTTGACAACAGGAACACACAAGATCACCTAAGCAACTCTTTAACCCTTTAGTCCACTCTATCATATATATCATCTTTAATTCTTTTTTTTTTTTTCTTCTTCTTCTTCTTCTTCTTCTTCTTCTTCTTTTCATATCCACTAGACATTTATATTTAATTAACATTCAGCAATAATCTCAACTCGTCGTCATACAATTTCATTATTTATTTTTAACCTCTCACCCACCCTATCCTCTTTTTTTTTTATTTTTATTTATATATTTTATTTATTTTACTTTATTTTACTTTCCTTTAATTTCCTTTCTTTCCCTATTTCCCCCTTCCTCGTTCTTCATATTATACGCGTAATAACTCAGGGAATTAATAAACCTATATGCCTATATATATATATATTTGCAACGACTACAATAAAAAAAAAAATAAAATAAAAAAAAAAAATACGCGTTCGACTTAGTCACGTGATGAACTAAGAAACATATCCACTCTTATCCCTCCATCCTATAGAAAGGTGGGATGGCCGAGTTGGTCTAAGGCGCCGCACTCAAGTTGCGGTCTCGAGAGAGGCGTGGGTTCAAATCCCACTTCCACCACAAGTTTTGCTTCCGTGCACTATTTGTAAGATCTTTTACTTGACCTTGACTCCCAAGTTTCCGCGAAAAAAATTAGCTTTTTTTTTTCTTATTTTTTTTTTTTTTGAACATTTTGACTTTAATTCATTGATAGGAAGCTATTTGGGTATTTACAATTTGATATATACACCACTCTAAACTACATAGCTACATGTTGTAAGGATGTAGATGTTATTGAGATAAGAAAGAAAAAAAATAAAATAAAATAAGGGATTTATAGGTATAGGTAGGTAGATAGACATGCATTCTTTTCTTTTTTTTTTTTTATCGCTGGGGAGAGGCACCATATGGAGCATCATCCGAAGGGTGGTTGGAATAAACAGATTCAACAGAATGGATCGAGGTCTTTTCACCATACATCAATGATTGCTGCTGTGTGATAGGGGCCGACTGTATCAGGTCGGGTGAACCGATTGGACGGTGCTGCTGCTGGTGCTGTTCCTGCTGCTGGTAGTGTTGATGGCTCGGGTGTCGATGGTGGAGTGGAAGAACATCAGTCTCATCATATTCAGCCATATTCATCTCCAAAGTCTCTGGTGCCTGGCCGGTCTGTGATGCGACCCAGTCCTTGTTTCGGAATTGCCCTTCCCATTTAGCGATCGCTGCACTGGCAAGCATATTTCCTAAAACGTTCACGGCAGTACGAGCCATGTCCATGAACGCATCCACACTCAAGATCAATGCCAGAGGCGCCAATGGGATCCTGGCATTTGTTAGGGTCGTCATCAAAACAATATAGGAAGCTCGAGGTACTGCAGCCACTCCCTTGGACGTGAGCATCAATGTGAGGATAATCACAATCTGTTCTCCAACAGACTTGTTGATCCCTGCTACTTGAGCACAAAAGATCGTCGCTACTGCCAAGTACAACGTAGACCCATCCAAGTTGAATGAATAGCCCGTTGGGATCACAAACGCCGCAATGTTCATGGGCACACCAAATGCCATGATGTTCTCCATCGCCTTTGGAAGAGCCGATTCAGAAGAACTGGTCGCGAATGCGATCAAGAAGGGCTCCCCCACAGCCCATCCAAACTCTCTTAATGGTAGGCGACAGAGAACCGCCACAGGAAGGAGCACCACAAGGACAAAGATCAAGAGCGATACATAGAGGGTCAAGACCAGTCGTCCGGCCACTTTCAAGGAATCGAGCCCATACTGTCCCACAGTCGCAGCAATAGCGCAGCTGATACCGATGGGAGCATAGTTCATAACCAACACAATGAGCTTGAACATGATTTTTGATAGCGAAAGATTAAAGTCGAGCATAAAGTTCCTGGATCTCTCATCTGCTTGGGTAATTGCGACTGAGAACATGATGGCACAAAAGACGACTGCTAAGACGGCGGAGTGATCTGAAAGTGCTAGGAAAAAAGATGTAGGCACAATGACTTCCATCTCTGTCACCCAAGTGATGCTGGTTACGTTCGTATCTGGGGGTGGTAATTGACTTGTGTCGAATCCTGTGCCAGGCCGAGCAATGTTGACAGCAATGAGTCCTAAAATGAGTGCCAAGGTCGTGACCACTTCAAAGTAGATAACAGATTTGAGAGCTAGACGACCTATCCGACGAAGATCCTCACCGTGGCCTGCAATACCAATCACCAGCGTACTGAAAATTAGAGGGCCCTGAAGATGAAGAAGAAGAAAAAAAAAAAAAAAAAAAAAAAGAAAAAAAGAGAAATGCGTGAGTAGGGAATTTTTTTTTTCTTTTTTCTTTTTAAAATACCTATAATAAGCAAACAAGCCTAAAAGTATACTTACAACAATGCATTGGATCATTCTGATAAAGACGTTTCCAAGGGGTCCAATCTTGACTGCAAATTCGGGTGCGAATCTGCCGATCAGAATACCGATTACCATGCCAATAATAATCCAGATGGTCAAATTGGTCCATTTCCTCGATAGTTTCCATACAGTTTTGATGGGTTTCATGAGCATGGTCCCGGCATGACTAATCCTGTTGCTTAACGTCACCTCCTTTGTGGGATCATTTCGAACGGATGATGATGGAAGGTAGCCACCTCGACCTCCAGGGCTCCCAGCTCCAGTCGCATGCATGTCAAGGGGTGTGATTTTGAGATGGCTGTCGCCATTGCCGCTCCATCCACGACCATCCTTTGAGCCGTTATTGTTCATGGCCTTTAATTTTATTTATTTTATTTTATGTTATTTTTCTTTTTTTAATGGAATGGAATGTATGCAGGATGAATGTGCAGGGGGGAGAATAGAGCGGGGATTGATTTTTTCCAGTCAGCTAAAAAAAAACGTGTCTTTTCTGCTGTGCTTGAGATGCTTGAGAACGTGGGCGAAGCGAGGAAAAAAAAAAAAAAAAAAAAAAAGGAGACAGAACAAGAAAATAAGGGGAAAATGAGATGAGTTTTTAAAAGTGGAAAGATGATCAAGGCCAGAAGAAGGTCGAAGAGGTAGGGGGGGGGTATTTATAAGAACCAAGGAAAGGTTAAAAAAAAAAAAATAATAATCCATATTTGCATGTGGTCTCTTTTTCTGCGCCGTCATCCTCATCCTAATCATCATAAAGTTTAAAGAATATCGTCTTCGCCTTCATCCTTGTATTCATTTTTTGGAGGCTCTCCCCTCCATCTTAATTTCCATTTCGTGTGACTAAAACAAACAAGGTGGGCAAAGAGCCGTTTTTGACAAATGGTTGTCAACAACTGAAAGAGAGCCAGTCGTCTTTGTCCATAAATCGAAATCCTTTTGTGTTTCGACAGAAAAATCTCCAATCCCATCCCATGGTGAAGGCCCATGCATACAAGACCCGACCTGGGTAATTTGTGTCACGAGATGAAAATTTGGGCCGGTTGTTTGTGTGTGTAAATGTGCATAGTTCATTCACTGCCACAAGCACAAAACAATCAAACAATGAGGGAGCGACTCTTCTTGTTCTCTGTACGACCTGCCGCAGGGTCATATGGGGTCGACTTTCAAATGAAAAGAGGAACATTCAGGTTTTTAAAGGTTCTTTCATTTTGTTACTGAAATATTTGTATAATGCTATCCCTCATAACAACAGAGGAGTAGACTAAAGGGATTAAAAAAAAAAAAAAAAGGGTTTTTCTGTTTGTCATACCGTTGCTCTTTACATTTTTTTTCTTCTTTTCTATTCTCGCTATTCTTATCATATTTCTCAAGACAAGACTTCTTTTTTTACTTTTTGATGTGAATGCTTGAATAGATGTATGTTGCACCGGAAAAAATAAATAAATAGAAATGGAGCTATAAATGCCTTCAAAGTCATTGCGTATCTCGGTATCGATTCTCGACTATCGCAACACTGTCTGTCTGAAAGAGCATAAAATGAATATATACATTTACGTCAAATAACGTTTGTTTTTTGACATTTCAAAATCAAAGAAACAAATCGGTCGATTTAGGCGGATCAGACTATCTTATATCATATACGTATATCATATATCATATATCATATTTCCAGATAGTGGTTTGAGGCCTCATAAGCTTGAGCTAAACGGACGTGTCCTCTCTAGTACATCTATATGCCATTAGACTTTCTTTTTGTTCAATAGTATGAAGCTATGGCAGCCTTGTGCTTGGTCAACTTATTGCATTTAATTAAGAACGGACAAGATTTTATTTATGAACCACAAAAGTTTTTATAGGCAAACGCATATACCACTTTGCCTTCCAAGTGTAAGAAGTGGTTGATTGAGAAAAAAGAAATAAAGGGGATCTATCGAAATCGAGAATATCACTTTTATCATATGGCGCCCTAATTACACGATGCACCAAACAGGTATGAGCTTGGTCTGAGATCATCCTTCCATATTGGAGCCCATTATGACACCTTTGTTTCCTTCCTGCTATCCCTCCAAGGACACGTCGATCACCACAAGAATACGTTATTTGTCTTTCCTTATCTTTCTTTATTATTTTTATTTTCTTAAGCAATAAGTAAAAATCATAGAAATCTCGTCTCGTGTTGCCAACAGACAGAATAATGGTAACCTAATTATGTAGCAAATTCGCTTGAATATATAACCAGAGCTCAATAGTTATGGTTTCTACTTTAAACAAATGGAGAGTTTCCAATCGAGTTAACGTATTGCGAGCAGCTCCCACATGAAAAGATCAGGTTCCTCATCTTGAATAAGTTTTTTTTTTTTTTTTTTTTTTTTTTTTTGGATATAATACTAATGATGGTTATTAGTGAAGGTTGATGAGCGCAGACAACCGCCTACAAGAGTGTATATTTTATTCAAAAAGCGTATACATTACATTCACTCTTTGGTGATGGTTAATCCACAAGCGTACTTTTCTTTATTTAATCTAAATGTCATTCTGCTTATTGATCTCTTTAGCTGCGAGGTCTGCATGAAATAATATGTGCAAATCTACATTCACTGCACATGCTGTATTCGAATCGGTAATCATTGATCGATTGACTTGCTGCTGTCACCGTTGTTAGCAGTGCTCCTCCTATTAAAGCCTCTGTCTCCAATGGTGTCTCTACTAATGGGCCTTGACGATCATCAGCTTGACTTGAGACCGCTTTGGACTTGTGTCTCATTGACGATGCTGTCACAATCTGTTTGGATGCCTCATATATGATCAAAGGAAGGGATTGCTCTTTTATTGCTCCTCGTTGCAACAGAAGTTCCCTGTTGATTGTACTCAATCCAACTACACCTTGAATACACATGTTACTAGCATTGGGAAATGTTTGTTTGGTGCTCCATTTCAGTCGATACTGATATTGATCGGCTTTCTTCACAATCTGCCACATCCGAAATAGAACCACCCTTGCATCCTGTAACCAGAAAGTATATAACTCTCTTCAAAGGTGTTCCATAAAAGCGTTGTAAATTCTCCTCCACCTTCAGATGGGATGACTATCAAGCACTCGCCTGTCTCTGCATCCCACACTCGCACTGTTCTATCATCATTGCTTGAGGCAATGCACTTTCCATCAGGCGAATAAGCCATCTCTCTAATCCGGCCGGTGTGTCCTTCAAGAGTATATAAAGCAGCTCCCGTCTCGATATCCACCACATCAATTTGTCCATCCACCCAGGCACAAGCCATCCGTTGGCCACATGGTGAAAAAGATCCTGTCATTGTAATGCTTCTAGTTGTGTAACAAGGCTCACTCGTTTCTGCGTTCCGTACTTGCAGCCCATATGAGAGATAGCTGTGATAAAGCACTATTCTGCGACCATCAGGTGTGTAATTGATAAAAATGGAGCCCTTTTCTCCACCCTTTACTTCATAACAAAGGTCACCTGGATGAGCTGCCCAGACCCTATGAGCGCCACCTCCATATGAAGCAAGGTGTTGGCCATCAGATGAGAACACTACACACCTTACAGCTCTATTATGGCCCTGTAGAGTGTGGATTAGCTCCCCTGTTTGTGTGTTCCATATAGTCACATATCCATTGTCATGGCCGCAGGCAATTTGATGGCCAATAGGTGAGAAATCAAAGGTGTGGATCGCATCGAATTGTCTGCCCTGTAGCTCCAAGGTATGGGCGACTTGGCCTGTTCGAACATTCCAAAGGTAAGCGCGTGAAGAACCATGGCGAGAACCTAGTAACTGACCATCAGGTGAATACTTGATGTCGCTTGCATATCCATCGAGGCTTCGTAAAGCATGGATGGGCTGCCCTGTCTTTGCATCCCACATACGCACTGTTTTATCATAGCTGCACGAAGCTATCTGCTGTCCATCTGGTGAGCTCCTAATACGAATAATCCCTGTTGAATGGCCATGCGAATCATGACTAGATTGCTGTGATCGAGTATCCCAAAGCCGTATTGTTTTATCAGAGCTGAAGGATGCAATTTGATGGTTGTTTGGCGAGTAAGTCACTTGAGATAAATGGCTAGAGTGGCCATAAAAGGTATTTATGGGTTATTCTGATCGCGTATCCCAGAGCTGTACTGTGTAGTCACGATTGCAAGTGGCTATCTGTTCTCCATTTGGTGAGTATTTTAGGTCAATATGAAAGGAATTCCCTGCATGAGTATGGATGAGCTTCCCTGTTTGCACATTCCATTGGTATACCGTATTTGCGGCAAATGAAGCAGCGAGCTTTCCACTAGGAGAATACTGAATGCCATCGACGCTACTCCTATGCTTCAATCTTGTACTTTTTTTGACCAGACCCAACATCCCACACATGCAGGTAACTATCATCAGCACAGCGAGATATAATTTCCTGGCCAGTAGGTGAATACACAATTTGCTCAATCCCATCCTCATGATTCATCTGCATCAGCTGCTGTCCTGACATCGCATCCCACAACCGTACTGTCTTGTCAAAGCTGCCGCTTGCAATCCGGAGTCCATCAGGAGAGTATGCCAGACTCCACACGTGGTCTGTATGTCCCTCTAAGGTACATTTGAGCACCCCTGCTTGGGTATCTCACACTCGCACTGACCCATCATCGCTAGCTGAGACTAGATCGTTTCCACTTGGTGAGTATACTGCACAGTTTACTTGAGCTACATGGTCCTCCAATCGATGAACCAATGCTCCTGAGGTTGTATTCCAAATTGAAACTGCAGTTTGAGAAGAGCCCCAGTTGGCGATATATCGATTGTCTGGCGAGTATATAAACCTCCTACCGATCTTATTGCCCTCCAGAGTCGAAAGCTTCTCCCATGTTGATGTATCGCAGATAGCAATTGATAATTTATATGAGTCATCCATGATAACGGCAGCGAGTGTCCTGCCATCAGGCGAGTATGACCCTTCCAATACCATGCCACCAACTTTGAGAAGCGGCCATTCTCCAAACTGTACACCTGTCATCTTCGCTCCGCTTAAGTCTGCTTCGTGAAGCCAACAGTTCCGTAAGTTGGCCTTCCTCAGATCTGCTCCTTGTAGCTGAGCATACTCAAATATACCATGGCTGAGATCTGCTCCTGGGATCTGGACGTTTCGCAAGTCTGCTCCGATAAATGATTCACCTGCTTGGACCAAGATTGTCATCGCATTGGCTGCTGCTATTCGCCACTTGTTATTGTTCTTCGAGAGCTCCACATATGTGTACAGCTGCTGTTTAAACGCCGGTTCAAGACGGACACGGTCCTCTAAGAATTGAAGAATAGATGGTTCATCCACAAAGCTTCTCCATACTAAAGGGGACGCTTCATCAATCTCCATTATATCCACTTCCTGCTTGTCCTCCTTCATGTCCACGGCTTCGAAACTATACACTGAACTAATGCTCTGCCGACGAGAGCCTGCTGTTGCCGCCTTTGCTACTTCATCGATCGCGGAAGCACTCATTTCTTTCTGAGGCTCAAAGATCGCTCGCACTAGACTGTACTCTAGGAGTGAGCGATGGATAAACCGGTGCTGGTTGCCTGTACGAGTAAGCGGTGACGCCTCGCGTAGAAGGTTCCTTCCATTATCCTTATCCTTGGATGGTGAGTAGTCCACTACTGGGTTGTCATCTTGATGCCTGTAGATTGCTATGGCTAGCTCGGTGAGATATCTGATCCCATTCTGTGCAAACCCTTCATCTAATAGCTTGTGGTACATCCTTCTGTCTTCCAGCCCTAATGCATCGCTTAGTCGCTTCTTGCCTCGCTCGAGTCACTGCTCAACGAACTGGTCATACAGCGTGACGCGTTTGATCTTGGTGTTGGAGCCTCCTTGATCTGGATCTACCATTCGAGGGAGTACTTCAAGCGACATCGATAGAATGAATGGGTTCTTCACAAGGTCATGGAGACTAGAAAATTGTTTGAGCGCACGTCGGTAATCCTCCACATGCCACAGTGGATCCATGGCATCGACATATTGTTCGATATAGTCATTGATCTGTGCCTCAGAGAATGGGATGATCATAGCTTCTTCAAACAACCCAGCATCTGCTTGGTGATTGCGGTCCATAGGCTGGAACCGATCTCGATAGTCCAATCCAAGGTACTCACTGCGACAGCTAATCACCATCTGAGCTATCCACTCTCCAGACTTATTCAGTTGGTTGGCAACATACAAATTGCAGGTCTGCATACTTTCATCATATCCATCACAGATTAGGATGAATGATCGACTCTTCTTCAGCTCCCTGATCTGTGAGTCTGTAAAGTCATAGTCTCGCAGCTGCTTTGCAACTAGATCCTTCTCTGGCTTGTCGATGGCTGGGAGGTTGATAAACAGTGGGATTCGACCATGTCTCTTTTGGTATGTCTCCCAGAGTGTGCGCTCCAAAGTGCGATTGAATGTAGACTTGCCTGCTCCTGAGTCTCCTTGGACAAGTAGCACTTTCTGGTCGCTATCTAGGAGCTCTTTCACCTTGTCCATCAGCAAGAACAGCTTGTCATCGCTTGCTTGAGGACTTGCTTTGGCATACTGTTGGATGTAGAATCCTTGGTTGTTTCCAACCTCCATCCGCTGTCTCTTTAGTTGCCGTAGACTGTCCTCAACATTGGGCCTATTTTGTGCACGGTCAAGCAAGCGTGAAGATGTAGGTCGAGGATGTGTGATGATGAAGGGATGCTGAGCCATTGGCTCTTGAAGACAATTCCTATATAGCTCTTGTTTCTTAAGGTCTCCATATTTCTCTAGTTCATCCAAGAGAGTATCTGCAGCTGAAAAGAGAAGGAATAATGGTATGTGTATGGAGTGAGTAGATAAATCATCATACACTGAGCATCGCCAACATCCAAGCTAATCCACAGAAAAAGAGAAAAAATAAGCACCTTGTAGACCATCCGGCGGTAATGAGGATAGCTCTCTAAGGATACTTATGACCCACTGCTTGATATGTGCATGGCTACCCCACTCTTGGTCATTCTTGTAGATCTCTCCTAGGAGTGTGATGGCATCCTGTCGAGTATTCATGGTCCACTGTGTATCTGCTGGAATCTGTCCCAGCCTCTGACATAGTCCCCATTGGAATGCTGCATCATTTCGACAGGATGCTTCACACACAAGAGCCTTGAACTTGGTGAACTCACCTCCCTGGAGTAGTGCATCCGTTCCGCGCAGTGCTGGATACCATGCTGACTTGTGACTAAAGCTGAATCCTTCTTCCATACACTGTCTGAATGTTGAGCCGCTCTCATGTAATAAGTCTGCACCAGTATATACTTTCAGACCCATACCAACGGTCCTTGTTACAGAAGGAAGTCCTCTCTGAATGCTGCTTATCTCATCCATGAAGGCATTCAGATCTAAGCCTTTGACTGCACTCGCTACTCCAAACACTCCTCGGAGCACTGCTGATGTCCGTCGGAGCATGGCTTGCATTGTTGATTCGTCGTCAGGTATATATTGCAAGGCTTGGTAGGCATAAGCAGCCTGATAGACTAGTTGAGGATCTGAGCTGTCTTTAGTCCCTGGAGGTATGCTGCAAGTGGTTTATGGAGTTGCTCTCGTTTCAGACCTTTGACTTGGATGTTGACCATGGCATCGAGGACATGTGAAACTGTAGCAGACAGGCGATAGAGATGTTCGGTAGACTGGCCATGTGTGCCTTGTAAGTGAGAATTGAGGGTGTTGAGGATTGTGACGAGGTCATCGGAGTCAAGATGTCCAGGAGGAGCACACTGCATCAGCCGAGCCAATCCCTCCAGCAAATGAGTCTCCAGCATAATGTTCTGGCTGATCCCATTGATCAAAGCCATGAGCAGTGTTCTGAATTGTGCTTGATCAAGGACTGGGGAGAGAGCCACAACCTCAGCGACAGATGCCTCGGTTTTGATCTCATCGCTGATGAATATTTCAATCACATCTGAAGCCAGTTTACACAGTTGTTCATGTTCATCTTGATCGTGCGATATAGCCTGTCGCCACTTCTTCTCGAGATCATTGAGATCATTTGTTTGGGTAGGAGCGAGTGATAGCAGAGATAGGCAATATACAAGCTGGTGGATATCATTCAAGTGAGCACCAGCATCAGGTAAGCCGCGCTTGGTGGCTATTAGAGGCTCACCTTGGTTGAATATAGAGTTGTAAATAGTTGCAGTGGTACGCACTGGTGCTGCTTTCACCATTCTATTCGGTCTATTGCTCCTGGCCCCGCTGATTGGTTGTTTGGTGATGTTGCTGCTATTATTGCTATCATTGTTAGTGTTATTGTTGCCTTGGATGTAGCCCCATTTCTTTGCTTTTTTGTGACGTTTTTGAGCATCATTTGAGTGACCCAGATGTTCAAGTAGGTGGGCGAGTTCATAGTAGGCAGAGGCAATACCTTGGCGCAATGTCATGTCTTCATTCGAAGCTGAAGAGGCTGAAGATATTGAGGCAAGGGACTTTTGCACAACCGCTGCATTCGAGAGAGCACAGAATCAGCATTGAGGCATAACTCCATTACTATGTCGTTATCGTCGTCTATGGTGCGAGTGCCCTGCATGTAGAAATCGAAGAGCCTCAAAGCCTGTGCTGGCGAGAGCGCACGTTGTGATGGGGAATTGATAGTGCCTAAAATGGATTGTTGCCCTGGACTATACCATATTAAGGTCTTTGAGATTTTTGCGGGAAGAATGGTGTTAAAGGATTGATTGAGGGTGGCAAATGAAAAAAAAAAAAAAAAAAAAAAAAAAAAAAAAAAAAAAAAAACGAAATGAGGATGGATTGTGTGATGTGAAGGATGAAAGAGGAATGTAGAACGAAAGCTTGAATGCATGCGGCTTGTTTCAAAGCCTGAAGAGATTGCGTCTTCATCCTTCTCTCGCTCCCATGGCTTTGTGGAACTATCATTTCAGCAAATTCACGGTTGGTTACATGCAACAATGCATGTCAACCAACGAACAAATTGCTCTACCACTCATTCCTTGCCACATCTTAGTGCTAATGGCCACTTTGCTGTAATGAACATCAAAATTGAAGAACATTTTTTGTCAACGTTTTCGAAAAAAAAATATCTCCCTTTGTACTATTACAAGCTATCTGGTTCGCCATCACTGCCTGAGGAAACCATCCATGGCCTTGTCAATGAAGGCTTTGGTGACTGATAGCCAAGGGAAAAAGCTGTTTCTATATTGTTTTCAGGCGAGTGCCTTTTATTTAGCCTCCGCCACGACCACCACACAACGTTCTAACCTTTTAAATAAATGGGCATGCCCTTGGAATGCACTTCTAAGCATCAATAGGTGACGAGTAGCAGTCAAGAACTGAACTTGCAGCATCATCTTGAAGCCTCTGGATACCCTCTTTTTGAGACATATTGATAAAGGCTTAAAAAGTGCTTCCAAGACTAGGAGCCACAAGACATAGTTTCTGATTTCGAAGCTCTCATCGAGATGATAGAAAGGTCCTAGGTGATAGGAACTTCGATCAAAACAATCAGTTGATTGAGTTGTTACCAAAAGGGAGCTCTATTTGAGACGAATGTTTATTCCTGTTCCAGTTCACAAGACACAGTAATATACAGATGTATAATTAATTATTTATTTTGTCTAGGAAGCTGCTCGTGTTGTGTTTTCGACTAAGTCAGAAATGTATGCTGAAGCAAGTTGCATGTTTCGCTGCTGAATGTTGCACTGCTGCATTGTTGGGCTGTTGTAATGGTGCGCTGTTGCAATGTTTGCATGTTATGCATGTTGTTGCGATGGAATGGTCGAAATAGAGTTTGATCGTTCTGCAAGAGGCTGTTGCTTTGATGGTTTGAATGCAGATGTTTCAATTTGGTGGCGCACTTGCCAAGACAAGACAAACGAGACAAGACAAGACAAACGAGACAAGACAAGACAAACGAGACAAGACAAGACAACGAGCTCGATAGACAGTTCTGCAGGTCTAAGAAAGTGGGCAGAAAAAGGAGATGCCCAGACAAGCACAGCATGCTGGCCTTGCGACAAAGACTTGGACTCTAGAGAAAGGACAATAAAAGCTGCGGCTTTCTCATTATGAAGTCACCATTGCCATATAAACATGACGATGCCAGAAAGATCTTTTTTTTATTTCCATTTTGACACCCATAATGGGCAGTAGAGTGTTGATGGGTAGTTGTGCATAAATAAATAACAAAAAGACACCAGACTCTTCGCCTGTCTGCCGCGAAGCAGACAGCCCAGGGCGCACCACGTGGAGGTGGTCTGGTTGCGCGCCCCCCGGTCCATAAACCCTAGAGCAGTCTACCGACACGCCCGTCGCAGGGCCCAACCCGCCATCCAACCTACAGCGTCCTGCAGGCTGCAAATGGAGTCCGTTGGACATTGGCTAGTACTCTCGAGCGCACTAACTCAATGCTTTGGAGGCCGTTACACCGTTACAGATTCAAAAGAGAGAGGAAAGAGAGGCCTTTTTATACGTTGTCAGGACCTAGTGGCTTGCTTTCTTTTCATCTGTCACCAACCTTTGACATGGTCGATCGATTGTGGGACCTTTTTTCCGTATGAAAAGCGCTTCGCAATTTGGAGGTTTTTTCATCTTTTTTCAACAAAGTGCAGTCCCATTTCCCCTCTAATGCTATTGAATGAAAACCCATTTAATTTCTCTTCATCCTCTGAAATATCCAACAAGCATCCATCTGGCTACAATCCCATCTGCCTTTGACAATCAACAGCATCCTGGCTCTTTTTATTTTTATTTTCGTTTGCAGCTCTTTGCTGCGTGGTCTGTGCTCTCATACCAACAGAGTTTGTTTGTTTGCTTGTTTTGGTAAGATTGCAAGACAACAAAGAGAGCAGAGAGTGGGCGGAGTGGGGTGAATATATTTTACTGCACTATGACACAGAGATGTAGATGTGCGTAGTCGCAACCTTAAACAAAGCTATCCCGAGAAACACATTGTCTTGCCTGTCTTACTGCTTTGAGGAACTGCATTGTCAGGATTGTCAGGATTGTCAGGATTGTCAGGGTGGTCGGGATTGTCAGGATTGTTAGGATTATTAGGATTGCGATAGAAAAGGTAGACAGTATCGCAGCATTGCACCATGTTTATTAGATATTTCACACCGTCAAGCCATATTTGATTATACAACTCACAACAATTGACTGCGGATGAAAAAGAAAAAAAAAAAAAAAAAAATTACATACCAAGTTGCCTATCCACTTCTCGTCTAACATTGGTGGCAAAAGAAATCAAAGCACTAAACTCAGGTCTAACCTTCCTGAATCTTCTTCACCATCATTGCTAAATGTTTAATTAGCATGCAATTGCCATTTGTTCACTCCTGTCTCATTGCATTGATTGTAGAAAAAGAAAATAGTCCTTTATGTATTTTTGTTTTTGCTCATGAGACTTTGGACTAAGGAGTATCATATTATGGATCCGCTGCAATAATGCTCTGTAAAGCTGAATGGGCTTTATCGCTTTTTTCTTCACTCCTTGGTCTTACTTAGTCACTTCTCTTCCGCTTCTCTCTCGCTTCTTGACCTGTCTCTCTTAACCACTTCTCTCTTCGCTTCTTGACCTGTCTCTCTTAACCACCTCTCTCTCCACTTCTTGCACACCGCATATCTCTGTTCATATCCCTTACTCCTGGGACACCGGAACAGCTGCACCGAATTATTGACAGACATTTCGATCGAACCAGGGCTTTTGAACAGCGTCATGATGACAATTCTATCGGATACCCTAACTTCAACCCTATCATTCATTCCGAAGGAAATGAGGAACTTTCTGAAGTAGCTAACGCATCTGAATGAGTTCCTGTTAGCAAATTTATCACACGCTTCGGACATCCCAAGACATGCAAATGAAGTCCCATCATCATCTGCAAGTAGTTCGATTCCGGAGAACAGAATTTTACCAATATACTAAGGACGGTGGCAGCAGCAGCTATTAAGTATTTAATGGACCTACGGTTGACATGCGTCAAGGTGTAAATGATCTTGAAGAGGAGGGGTGCTGATGCCTTTTTTTTTTTTTTTTTTTTTTTTCAATTAGATTTACTGAGCCAGCGTAGAGGACAGATTGTTGGCTAGGGACTTCAGATTGTCAGTTCAAGTAAGCTCCTCGAGCTCGCTTTTTGCACCTTCAACGACAATTCCTGCTATGGTTTCAGAGAAATCGCCAGATCCATTGTGAAGCCCTTCGGATTTAATCGCAAGGCCCAGATCCTGAATATGGAGCCAGGCCTTTGTTTTTGTAAAAGCTTTGGATACTTCTTCAATGTTCTGGTTATCCAAACTGAACACATCTAATAGGAGCTGAGCCAATGGTTATTCGTTTATTTCCATCACATTAAGTATCTCGAGCAGGTGTAATCATCCTTTGGACGACATGTAAAAGGAGTTATGTTGATCTTAACCAACTCCTCCTGCTACTTAGATGTAACAGCTTCAGCAGGCACTGGCACTCCCGTTGCTGTGTGTTTTTTCTAGCGCTCATCCTTTGCATTCTAGAAGTAAGGGATGTGAACAGAGATATGAGAGATAGCTGTAGGATTCATGGATACTTTGATATTTGGTTCTGGCATTGATAATAAGGCCTTGCGATTATAAATATAGAGTGTAGTATAGTATACAAACTTATGAAGAAGCCACTTTGGTAGCGGAGGTGCCTTACTGAGACTCGTCGCGGATTGGTTGTAGAGAGGTGGTGTGCAAGAAGTGAAGAGAGAGGTGGTTAAGAGAGACAGGTCAAGAAGCGAAGAGAGAAGTGGTTAAGAGAGACAGGTCAAGAAGCGAGAGAGAAGCGGAAGAGAAGTGACTAAGTAAGACCAAGGAGTGAAGAAAAAAGCGATAAAGCCCATTCAGCTTTACAGAGCATTATTGCAGCGGATCCATAATATGATACTCCTTAGTCCAAAGTCTCATGAGCAAAAACAAAAATACATAAAGGACTATTTTCTTTTTCTACAATCAATGCAATGAGACAGGAGTGAACAAATGGCAATTGCATGCTAATTAAACATTTAGCAATGATGGTGAAGAAGATTCAGGAAGGTTAGACCTGAGTTTAGTGCTTTGATTTCTTTTGCCACCAATGTTAGACGAGAAGTGGATAGGCAACTTGGTATGTAATTTTTTTTTTTTTTTTTTTCTTTTTCATCCGCAGTCAATTGTTGTGAGTTGTATAATCAAATATGGCTTGACGGTGTGAAATATCTAATAAACATGGTGCAATGCTGCGATACTGTCTACCTTTTCTATCGCAATCCTAATAATCCTAACAATCCTGACAATCCCGACCACCCTGACAATCCTGACAATCCTGACAATCCTGACAATGCAGTTCCTCAAAGCAGTAAGACAGGCAAGACAATGTGTTTCTCGGGATAGCTTTGTTTAAGGTTGCGACTACGCACATCTACATCTCTGTGTCATAGTGCAGTAAAATATATTCACCCCACTCCGCCCACTCTCTGCTCTCTTTGTTGTCTTGCAATCTTACCAAAACAAGCAAACAAACAAACTCTGTTGGTATGAGAGCACAGACCACGCAGCAAAGAGCTGCAAACGAAAATAAAAATAAAAAGAGCCAGGATGCTGTTGATTGTCAAAGGCAGATGGGATTGTAGCCAGATGGATGCTTGTTGGATATTTCAGAGGATGAAGAGAAATTAAATGGGTTTTCATTCAATAGCATTAGAGGGGAAATGGGACTGCACTTTGTTGAAAAAAGATGAAAAAACCTCCAAATTGCGAAGCGCTTTTCATACGGAAAAAAGGTCCCACAATCGATCGACCATGTCAAAGGTTGGTGACAGATGAAAAGAAAGCAAGCCACTAGGTCCTGACAACGTATAAAAAGGCCTCTCTTTCCTCTCTCTTTTGAATCTGTAACGGTGTAACGGCCTCCAAAGCATTGAGTTAGTGCGCTCGAGAGTACTAGCCAATGTCCAACGGACTCCATTTGCAGCCTGCAGGACGCTGTAGGTTGGATGGCGGGTTGGGCCCTGCGACGGGCGTGTCGGTAGACTGCTCTAGGGTTTATGGACCGGGGGGCGCGCAACCAGACCACCTCCACGTGGTGCGCCCTGGGCTGTCTGCTTCGCGGCAGACAGGCGAAGAGTCTGGTGTCTTTTTGTTATTTATTTATGCACAACTACCCATCAACACTCTACTGCCCATTATGGGTGTCAAAATGGAAATAAAAAAAAGATCTTTCTGGCATCGTCATGTTTATATGGCAATGGTGACTTCATAATGAGAAAGCCGCAGCTTTTATTGTCCTTTCTCTAGAGTCCAAGTCTTTGTCGCAAGGCCAGCATGCTGTGCTTGTCTGGGCATCTCCTTTTTCTGCCCACTTTCTTAGACCTGCAGAACTGTCTATCGAGCTCGTTGTCTTGTCTTGTCTCGTTTGTCTTGTCTTGTCTCGTTTGTCTTGTCTTGTCTCGTTTGTCTTGTCTTGGCAAGTGCGCCACCAAATTGAAACATCTGCATTCAAACCATCAAAGCAACAGCCTCTTGCAGAACGATCAAACTCTATTTCGACCATTCCATCGCAACAACATGCATAACATGCAAACATTGCAACAGCGCACCATTACAACAGCCCAACAATGCAGCAGTGCAACATTCAGCAGCGAAACATGCAACTTGCTTCAGCATACATTTCTGACTTAGTCGAAAACACAACACGAGCAGCTTCCTAGACAAAATAAATAATTAATTATACATCTGTATATTACTGTGTCTTGTGAACTGGAGCAGCTATAAATACTCGTCTCAAATAGGACTCATATTTAACCAGGTCATCTCATATGTGTTCTACAGGTAAGCCTTTGTAGCATCCAGAGTGTTATTCTCACCTAGCAGCTACATTAATAAAAAGGTATAGAAATATAAAAAAAGACTAAAGCATCATTGATCAGCAAACTCTTTCTTGATTCTACTCCCATGGCTTGAATACACTTCCAAAGAAATGATGAGCACCTAAATGTTCACCTTTGCCTTTATTCTCTCATTTGTGCATACACTCTTAATGAATGAAGCTACTAAGTCTGTGTAATAAGGCACGCAGTATTTTCAAGCCGCGATTTGCAAAGAAAGTGTATGTAATTTTTTTTTCTTTTTCTTTTTTTTTTTCCTCAGCAGTCTGCTTGTAACTGTTTTTGGAAAAGGAAAGAAGGGGCTCTAGGGAGAGGACAATCTCTATACATGGTTATGGATGGGTCTCCAGGACAATAGAATGAAATGAGATCAATAGTGTTTAGAAAGAGTACATATACAAACCTTGCACCTCGTTAATGTTACGCTGCTCTGTTGGTATTGTCGGAATCAGATCTTTTCTGTTAATTAACTATAGCGCTATTATGTAGCTCGACCGCCCACCAACTCAAGCTACGTTGATGTGTTCTCCTTGACTGAGGCATTCACCATCCGCACTTTTTTTTTATTCAATAGTTTTAAAACTACTACAGGCATAAGGCTTAATTGAGAGACATCATTTACGTGATGAAGCAATGCAAACACGAACTTCGCTTGACACTCTGTCTCCATATTGGCGCCCAATATGAAGCAGTAGTTTCCCCTCTGTTACCCCTCCAGGGATAATGTTGGTCCCTTGCACCTCTTTCTTTTATTTATCTGTTAGTGTACTTTTAATTTATTATTTTCTTATCCGACTTGAAGAGAATCCAATGGATTCCATCAACACAAGTTGCATTAAGCGCCGTTTAATGCAGAGCAATAAGTTGAAAACAACAGATATCTCGTCTCGTGTACTGGACAGATATAAGTGTGGTAACCCAATGATCTTCGTTGAACTCTAGTTTTGTACTCGACGAAATATGCCAAAGACAACAATGAATCGTTTGCAATTAAGTTGAATGGAGGATTATCTCCAATCAAAACAACAGAGCATTGGATGCAGTGTGAACGGTTCCGCGTGTAGAGAGAGCATATTCCTCACCAAGATGAAAATAAATAAAGTTGGGTTGTCAAGCAATCACCTTCAGGACATCATATTTTATTCAAAAGGAGCGTACGCATACTACAAGTGCTTTCTTATTTCTATGATGGTTTATTAACAAATACTCTTTTGATTTTATTTATTCTAAATGATTAGCTTCTGTAGCAGCCAGGTCTGTATGAAATAACATATGCATATCTACATTCACTGCACATGCTGTATTTGAATCGGTAGTCATTGATCAATTGGCTTGCTGTTGTCACTGTTGTCACTGTTGTCAACAGTGTTCCTCATCTCAAAGCCTCCGTCTCCGATGATGTCTCTGCTGGTGGGACTTGATGAGCATTAGCTTGGCTTGAGGTCGCTTTAGACTTGTGTCCCATTGGTGATTCTGTCACGATCTATTTGGATACCTCATATATGACCAAAAAAAGGAAGCGCTCTTTTATTGCATCAGAAGCTTCCTGTTTACTGCGCTCAACCCAACCACACCTTGAATACACATGTTGCTAGCATTGAGAACTGTTTGTTTAATGTACCATTTCAGGCGATATTGATGTTAATCTCCTTCCTTCACAAGTTGCCACATCCGTGTTGAGCCATCTCTTGATCCCGTAACCAGAAAATAACCTTTTCCAAAGGTATTCTACACAAGCATAACAACAAACCACCTCCCGATGGGATTACTATCAAGCACTCGCCTGTCTCTGCATCTCACATTCGCACTGTTCTATCATGGCTGCTCGAGGCAATGTACTTTCCATCAGGCGAATAAGCCATCTCTTCGATCTCATTAGTATGCCCTCCAAGAGTATACAAAGCAACTCACGTTTCCATATCCACTACAATAATTTGTTTATTGCAACGAACCCTAGTCATCCGTTGACTACATGGTGAAAATGATCCTATATGCATATAAGTATCACATGGAATTAGGTAACAAAGCTCACCCGTTTCTGCGTTCCGTACTTGCGCATCATGAGAAAGCGTGAATTCGATATAAGAACCGACCTTTATTTCAAAGAAAAGTTATCATGGATGAGTTGTCCACCCTCTAGGAGCATCAAGGACCATCGGGCGAGAATATCGCACACTTTACAGACTTATCGTGGCTCCGTAGAGTGCGGGTAAGCTCTCCTATTTGGGTGTCCCATATAGATGTCCCCCATTGTGATAATCAGCCAATTTAGCGGTCAATGGGTGCAAAATCCAAGCCGAGTATGAGTCGCTTGGCCTGTCCGAATTTTCTAAAGGTAGATGCGTGGAGATTTATAATGGAAAAAGGCAAGCAACCGACCACCGGATGAATACTTGATGTCCCGTGCACATCCACCCTAGCTTTGTAAAACACGAATGAGCTGTCCTGCCCGCGCATCCCTTGTACATACTGCTCCATCTTTATCTAATGAAGCATTCTACTGCCCGCCTGATGAGCTTCTAACGTAACTGATAGACGTCGAGTGCTTATGTGAGTCCTGGTTAGATTGCTGTGATCGAGTGTCTCAAAGGTGCATTGTTCCGTCGTCACTGAAGGGATGTAACTTGATGGCTGTTTGGTGAATATGGCGAACGGTTTATAAAAGCAGAATGATCACAAGTAAGTCTTCCTGTTCGCATGTTCCATTGGTATGCCGTACTCTAGAAGAGTGATGCAGCGAATTTTCCGCTAGATGAATACTGCATACCATTGGCGCCATCTTTATGCTTCAACTCACAATTTTTTTTTTTTTTGACTGGAGAGAGTGCGACGATGGAAGAGTGCTGAACGAACGGCCCTTGAACACAATCTCTGTATAGCTCTTGCCTCTTGGCGTCTGCATGTTTCTCTAGATCGTCCAAAACAGCGTTTGCAGCCGGGAAGAGGAGATAAAAGAAAGGGATATGTGCACAGAGAAAGTATATTAATCATCATATGCTGGCCGTCGCCAGCTTTCAAGTATATCTACAAAGAGGAAGGAAACATATCTTGTAGGTCATCCGATGATAATGAGGATAGGGCCCTGAGGACACATATGATCCACTGCTTGATATGCGCATGGCCGCCCCATGCTTGTAAAGCTTTCATACAAATGCGATAGCATTTTGTCAAGTATCCATGATCCACTACACATCAGTTGCAACTTGTCCTAGTTTCTGGCATATTGCCCATTGGAATGCTGGATCAATTCAGTAGGATATCTCACACAGAGGAGTCTTGAGCTTGGTGAACTCGCCTATCCGAAGTAGTGCATCAGCTCCATGCGGCGCTGGATGCCATGTTGGCTTGTGACTAAAGCTGGGTCCTCGATAGAGATGGTCCCCAGATTGAGTATGTGTGCTTTGTAAGTGAAAATTGAGGCTGTTTAAGATCAAAGCAAGGCCATCCAAGGCGAGATATCCAGGAGCACGTTATGTCAATTGAGCCAATCCTCCTAGTAAATAAGCCTCCAACATGATGTCTGGCTGATCCCATTGATCGAAGCTATGAGCAGTGTCCTGAATTAGGTTTGGTTGAGAACCGGAGCCACAGTTCAGCCATCTTGGTTTGATGTCATCGCTAATGAACAATTCAACCACATCCGATGCCAGCTTACGCAGTCGCCGATGCTCGTCTTGGTCGTTCGATATGATCTGGTACTATTCCTTCTCGTGGTCATTGAGATCATTTAGTTGGATAGGAGCAGAAGGAAACAAACCAAGACAGTATACAAGCTAGTGGATGTCGTTCAAATGAGTACCGACATCTGGTAAGCTGTACTTGGTGGCTGCTAGAGGTTCGTTGCGATTGAGCATCTTACTTGAAATTGTTGCAATGGCTTGTGCTGGCATGGACCGTACTGCTTTCACCGTTCTACTCAGCCTGTTACTACATACTCCATCATTCCTTTGTTTTGGGACATTACTGTTGTTATTATTGTTTCCTTGAATGTATCCCATTTCTCAGCTTTCTTGTCGCGTCTTTGAGCATCAGCTGAGTGGCCTAGTCGTTCAAATAAACAGACAAGATCATTGTAGGCCGAGAGAATACCTCAGTGCATTATCATGCCTTCAATAGAGGTTGAAGAGACTGAAGACACTAAGGTAAATGGTCCCTTCACAGGCCGCTGGACACGAGGCAGCACAGAATCAGGATCGAGGCATAGCTCCAACACTATTTCGTTATCATCGTCTATGGTGCAAATGTCCTTCATGTAGAAATCAAGGAGTCTCAGGGCCTATGCTGATAAGAGTGCGCTTCGTGAAGGAGAATTGGTAGAGCCAAGCATGGCTTATTGTTTATTTTACTCCTATATACTGCAGTATATTCATTACAGAGAAAGATGGTTTTAGTTGACACTATTTGTTTACTAGTGATATTTGGAAGTAATTAACGGTTTCTGTAAGATCCAATCGCAGATAGATGTTTGTTCCTTACTCAAAAAAAAAAAAAAAAAAAAAAAAAAGACTTGGCGGATGACGTTGCGTGGCGAAGTGAGGAAGAAAGAAAAAGAGATGGGTATGTATCCATGCGAGCAAGAGCAATTAGCCTTGTTTCCTCTTAAGAGCTACTTTTCAAGAGTTCTTTCTAAAAATTTATCGAGTTCAGTAACGCCACTAAAACTGAAAAGCAGCCTATTCTATTAACTAACGTATCTTGGTGCGTTGGACTTAGGCCTGTGGGATCGTTTTTTTTTTTTTTTTTTTTTTTTTTTTGATGCATCGACGACACAGCACATTAGAAAGCATCAATGGCAAAAGTTTCCTTATGATAAAAAGAAAATTATATTTCGATGCAAGTATACATGTCTCATGTAAACTCAAGCTCCTTGTATAAGCTATTCTATTCTTGTCTATCCAAGGATTTAACGCGCCGCTCGATCTCATCCACAATTGTACGGTATTCAGCCATTGCGCCAATACCTATTTTTTTATAAAAAAAAAAAAAAAAAAAAAGGCGATAATGTCAGTAAAAAGGGAAAGGGAGAAAACTTCATAAACTTCTGTATCAGATCGATTTCGATAGATAGAACTCTTGTTTGCTGTATGTACCTAGATCACCGCAGGCGAGCAATTTGCTGATAGGCGGGATCACACTATAACCAAGAACATCTTTCAGGGTTGTGAGATGTATATCAGTAAGCTTGTGGTTCCACATGTTGGTGTTCATGGCTGGGCAGACAATCACTAGGCGTTTTTCATCCCAAGCACGAAGAATACAGGTCTACTTGAAGGGAAGCATTCATGTTTAGTTCAGGGTAAAAAAGACGATTCAGATCCAAAAAAAGCATCGTTTTAGGAAAAATACGTTTTTTTTTAAGTTGGTCACATACAATCAAGTTATCACATAGACCTTGGGCTATTTTAGCCAATGTGTTGGCATCAAGGGGACAAATGATGAACATGTCTGCCCAGTTCCTTAACTACCAAAGATGCATAGATGAATAGGTTGGCAGGGTATTAGGTTAATAGATAGGTGGATAAAGACAATGAGAGAGTAGAGTAAACTCTCCTTATAATCATCAATAGTATACTCATACCTCGATATGCAAAACTGGATCGGATAATTTGTTCCACGTCTAATAACATGATTGTAGCTAAAGATTAGCAGTTGATAAGGCTACAGGGCATAAAAGGGAAAAAGGAAAACCTTGGATAACTCATAGGCATATCAGGTATAAGTACACTCCACTCATTCTGGTCTGTTAGGACCTCTGCAGGGACTTGCTTTGGGTCAAAAAAATGGAGGGCAAAAGTAGTCGCTACTACCTTGACTTCAATTAGATCTCCCATTTCCTGGAGTAAATAAGAGGAGGAAATCAAGGATCAAAGAAGTTCAGGTTTATATCAAATGCACTGATATCAGAACAAATCTACCAAATGCGCAGCCCTTTTTCAACTCTTCTTTGAATTCGTTTACCTCTAAAAGAGTCTTTACAATAATGGGTATTTTTACACTTGCAACACTCCCTGTGGCCCCAATAAGCACATGTTTCTTGGGGCGCTGCGCTTTTGTTACTATTGGCAACAAACCATCGGAAACTATTGTTGTGTCCATGGCATTTTTTTTTTTATTTTATTAAAGAATGAGAATGTAGCATGGAGCATGTAAAAAAAAGGAAGAAATGTGCACGTTGTGACTGCCCTCATTATACCCGCGCGTTTTTTTTTTTTTTTTTTTTTTTTTTTTTGTTCATGTTATTCCATTCAATTCAAAAGAGATTCGATCATGGATCTACGACACTACTTCACAGCTAAACCAAAGACAAAGGCAGATGCACCTAAAGTAGATGAAGTGAGTGTTTTTTTTTTTTTTTTATTTGTTTTTTTATTTTTATTTTTATTTTTGTTAGTTTTCAATTTGATTTTTTTTTTTTTTCTTCTTCACCATGGTAAACTAATTGCTGTGGTTTATTTTTGCCACCAATTTTTAACGTTCAGACTCCCAAGAAATCTGAAAAGAAAACATCCACCCGCAAGAAGACTATTATACCTGGTACTTATTATTATCATTATCATTAATATTGCTTGTGGGGATGGAGGAATGGAGATACAGGGATAAATTCTTGGATAGAGAATTGAAACATTTGACATTTTCTATCAAAACCATTAAAATGTAATAGATTTAGATGATGAAGATGAGGAAGTAGTCGTCCAAGTGTAAGTGAAAAATAATAAAATATAATAACAATTGCTCCCCAACAAAAGAAAATAAAAAAAAGATACCTGATTGTCTAAACTCCAATGTTTCTTTTTTTTTTTTTTTTTTTAAACACTAGGAATTCGAAGCATTTCACAGATGCCAAACCCGCAGCACCACCTCCAAAGTAACGGATATATGACATCTATCATAACATTTCATTAGTCAAAAGCTTTTTATGGTTGAATTTTGCAAAAGTTGACGCGCAGATCGCATCTTGTTCATCCCTCTTTCTATTCCAGGAAACAAATCGTAGAGGTAGATCCAAAAGCATTCTTTGCATCCGCAAAAGCCAATAAGACACGGAAAGGGGCGACACCAGCTGTAGCAGAACAGGCTGTTCCCACAAAACCAGTCAAGGAATCAAATTTGAAAGACTCTAAGGAACCAAAAGCGGAAAAAGAAATAAAAGAGTCCAAAGCAACAACGGCGGCGCCAGCATCACCAGCACCAAAACGTGCTAAAAGGACCAGCAATGATGATTACTTTGAGGATGACAGTGATGCAGAGAGTCTTCCACTACCTAAACCCAAAGTAGCGCAGACTGCCAAAGTGGAAGAGAAACAGTCCAAGACAGCCCCACCAACGTCGCCAAAGAAAACTGCCGTAAAATCCTCTTCTTCCACCGCTAAAAAGCGCAAGAGCGCCTATGAGGATGAGGAGGGCGAGGATGATGAAGCTTATCAGGAGGAAAAGGAGGAAAAGGCGAAGCCAACTAAGAAGATGAAAGCTACAAATCAAAAGACTGTGGATAGCAACGCCATGGATGTGGATGTGGATGTGGATATGGACATGCATGAAATCAAGGAAGAAAAACCGAAGAAATTCAAGTATGTAGAGCGTGATCACATTGTCTCTGGTCTCTCTTTAAACTTTACACCGATGACACTAGCAGTCAACTGATCACTCTACTGCTGATCTGTGCATTTTCTAGCTTCTGGGCGCACAAGAATAAGGCTGGACCTTCAGCTCTTGGCTCTAAGGAAATCCCAAAAGGACAAGACAATTGCTTGGCTGGCTTCACCTTTGTTTTTACAGGAGAGCTAAGTTCAATCACTCGTGAAGATGCTGCAGATTTAGTGAAGCGATATTCAGGACGTGTGACAGGCTCTCCCAGCGGGAAGACTTCGTTCGTTATTGTCGGTGATGATGCTGGACAATCCAAGCTGGACAAGGTCAAAAAACTAAAGATTAAAACGCTGAATGAGGACGAGTTCTTTGACTTGATCCGTACCTCGCCTGCAAAGACAGAAGATGGGGAAATTCTGAAGACACCTTCCAAGGGTAGCTCTAGCGTTGCCTCTGCTAGTAACACAGAGGATGCGCCAAAGAGGACAATTAAGTCTGCTAAATCAGAAGCATCCACGGCAGCTTCATCATTACCAGCTGTCACTTCCTCTTCTTCAGCATCTACAGCAGATGCTAATACCACGTCAAGCTCCAAGCCAGCAGCAAAGACCAAAGGCAAGCCGACGCAAGATAGGTATGCTTATATTTTGGAGCAACTGGTTCTCCATTCGCAAAATGGTTTCTTTCTCGACTCGTTGCTGACTAGATTTATTCCCACACATATATTGAATATAGACCACAGGACTCAGAGTTATGGACAACAAAGTACCGTCCCAGAGATGTTAAAGATCTGTGTGGTAACAATGCAGCGATCCAAAGGCTTTCTCGGTGGCTACAGGGATGGTACGTCCAATGAATGAATTCAAATATAAGCGAATGTGCTTCAGATATAATTAATATTTAATACTCATTGTACTTTTCTGTAGGGAAGAGAGCTACGCAAACAATTTCAAGAAGGACAATGCAGACAAAACCGGAACCTTCAGAGCAGTCCTGATCTCGGGCCCACCTGGCATTGGCAAGACATCAGCGGCTCATTTAGTCGGTAACACTCTGGGCTATAATATTGTTGAGTTCAATGCCAGTGACACTCGGAGCAAAAAGTCTCTAGATGTAAGCCCTATAAAAATACATATATTTGCTTATTGGTCAATTAGAGTTTTTTTTTTTTGACATGAAATTTGTATGATCTTGTTTTTATAGGAGGAAGTTCGTGACCTTTTGGACAATCAGTCGCTCGCCGGCTACTTCCAACACGGAACGGAAACATCAGACAAAGGAGTATGTGCTAAACCAATATGTTTCTTCATGGTACTAGTATTGGATATAAAAATTTGTGCAGATATAACTGATGAGATGCGTTCCTTTGATTGATAGAAATCCGTATCTGAAGATATTGACCCATCTATGGCTAAGAAACAACTCATTATTATGGACGAAGTCGATGGAATGGCTGGAGGAGATCGAGGCGGTATTGCACAATTGATTTCATTTATCAAAAAGACGCGTGTAAGTTGAACGTACTCACAAAGTGTAGGACAATCATAGCATATTATAAGGGGACTTCTGACTAATTGATTGGGATGTGGCTTGTAGGTCCCAATTATCTGCATCTGCAACGATCGACAATCGCCTAAAGTGCGATCACTCGTCAACTCGTGCTTCGATATGCGTTTTCAGAGGCCTCAGGTCAATCAAGTGAGATCAAGACTGATGTCTATCCTGCATAAAGAGGGTTGTAAAGTTCCTGGGAATGTGCTGGACAAACTTGTCTCCGGATCACAGTCAGATATTCGCCAAGTGCTGAATATGTTATCCACATGGAGTTTGACTCAACAAGAGATGGACTATGATGAAGGGACAGCTCTTTCCAAAGCATCTGAGAAATATGTTGCTCTTAACCCCTTTCAAATTGCGGAGCAGCTATTGGTGGAAACCAACTATCGGGCGCTCAGCTTACCAGATAAATTTGACACATACTTTAATGATTATCAACTGGCTCCTCTGATGATTCAGGAGAACTATGTCCGAATGAACCCAACAGAAGCTCGTGGAGACATGGATGGTCTCGCAGCGATAGAGTTAATGAGTAAAGCCGCAGATTCGTTATCAGATGCTGATCTAGTTGATACTCTGATTCATGGGCAAGTTTTTCTATCGGAGGTTTATTGAATGTGCCATGTTGCATGATGATCGCCTGACTTACCTTTTTTTTTTTTTTTTTTTATTTTTATAATAAATATATAGGAGTGCGCAGCACTGGTCACTCATGCCTACACACGCAGCCTTCTCGTGTGTCCGCCCGTCTTTCTTTGTCCATGGAAGTATGAGACCAGGCTCTGGAGGCAATTTTGGCCCAATGATGCAATTCCCTAGGTATGTACTGCATCAACAGCATGAGGCGCTTTTTGTTATTACTATCATGTTATTTTGCTCCGAGTCAATTAATGCGACACTAACAAGTTTATATATATATATATATGTATACTAACACAATTAAAAAAAAAAAAAAAAAAAAAAAAAGCTATTTGGGTCAATATTCCAAGTCCTCCAAGTACAACCGTATTGTAAAGGATCTTCAAATCCGGATGCGTCTAAAGATTTCAGGAGACAAGAATGAAGTTCGTCAAAGTTATCTGCCTGCATTATTCCCAGCTATCACACGACCGTTAGTGAAAGATGGTGTTGACGCGATACCAGAGTTGATTGAACTAATGGACAGCTATTATCTCAGTAAGGAGGACTGGGAAGCGGTACTCGAACTAGGAATTGGACGTAATGATGGTAAGAAAGTAATGGACAGCATCCCATCAGCCGTCAAATCGGCGTTCACCCGAAAATACAATGCCGAATCACATCCACAACCGTTCCTCAAGGCTGCAGCCGTATCTAAGGGAAGAGGATCATCCGGTGGTGTTGTCACTGATGAAGTTCCCGATAATTTGGATGTGGTGGAGGCGGATGCCCCTGTTCCAGAAGAAGTTGATGAGACTACAGTGGCAGAAGAGGAGAGCATTGAAAAGGACAGTAATATCAAGCAAAAGAAAACAAAGGGTGGTGCAGACGCAGGCTCTTCCTCCAAAGCAAAGGGCAAGGGCAAGGCTAAAGGCAAGGCTCGGAAATAAATGATAAAAAAATAAAAATAAAATATATAGTAATAATAATAGAAATCGTCTCTCAAAGAACCTTTGATGCAAGGAAATGTGGGTTTAATTAATTATCATTATCAAATGCTATATCGCTATGCATGAACAAACTCTATTCTTTTTTTTTTTTTTTTATCCTTTTTTTTCATTCAGGGGCTTTGAAATATCGTTGACGATGTCGTTGTTGTATCAGCCGCGGATTCACCATCCATCTCTGCTAAAACCATGAGCCAATTCTTGCCGGCTTCATTACGCATGGCTTCAATCTTCCTGCGATAGCCATCTGCACTTGTACCGCCCTCGTCTGAAGATGAGAAGGAGCCAATGGGCGATGATGGTCTCATTCTGGGTGAAATCGCACCACTTCCCCCCACTCCATATGTCGAAACACCATTCTGAACAATCGAGGTTGATTTTTTGCTTGCCATATTATCGATTGCGTTGATCATGGCATTCGGAGGCATCGAGTAGTTTTTCTTTAGGATGCCCCGTGGCGGATGGCGCTGGTGGCCGGTGCCAGCAGGGCGCTCCATCTGAAGAGACGCCAATGATTGCTCAAGATGAGCAAGGCGATGTCTATGGACATGATGACCATCACTGCAAAGGGTGTGATCTTCAGCCGAGTCAGAATCACGGTCTCCTGCAAAGCTAACAGTCGCTCCTGTTGAGGTTGTCGTAGGAGATGTTGATAGTGTTGTTGCTGCAGGAGAGCCTTCAGCAATGACCATGCTTTTCTTCTTCACAATACGCCTCTTATTTTTACCATTGTTGCTTGAGCTGCGACTTTGGCTCTGATCCTGGCTCAAGCCCTCGCCGCTGTGCTCTGTAAGTCGTGTGTCAGCTGCATCAGATGTCGTTTTGACGCTCTTCTTCTTCTTCTTGATGGCTGTTGGTGATTTCTGAACACCTCCAGTAGTCTTGGCAAGAATCGCAGCGACTTCATTATCGTGGCTTTCCTCCAGAGCCGCAGCATCCACATCTGCAAGGATGACGGGGGGTGGGACTGGAGCAGCATCATGTTCATGATCATCATCGTGGTCGCTGTCAAGGTTCACGACTCTCTTGACTCGCTTTGTTGATTTTACAAGTTTCTTTTTGACAAGCTTATTGACAGGTGTATGGAATACCGCACTTATAGCTGCATCTGAGGCGGTAACAGCATTTAGCGCTTCATCAGCAGCTGGGGGTGGTGAACTAGTATTTGCAAGTTCTTTTGCAAATGTGGCCACAGGTGCAGAGGCTGCGGGTATATTGGCCACATTGTTGATACTCGAGATAGTTGTTGAAAATGATGTTGGACCCATGTTATCAAGGGCGCGTTTCTCGAAAAACGATGCAAATGTCCCATCCAGCAATATATCGTGTCCATTTGCCTTGAATACTGCCAAAATTTCCAGGCGGTATTTAGGCTGAACGCAATTGTTCAAAAAAAAAAAAAAAAAAAAAAGACGTTAGTAAAGATGAATAGTAGAAATACAGATATGGACAGATGAGCAAGCTTGAATTAAAAACAAGATGATGAAGGTTACCTGGATAGCGCAAAATGGATTATGTTCTGACCAGACCTCACGAATGCCAGGAAGAGCTGCTAGTCGACCAACCTCCGCGGCTTCATCCAGGTGATTCTCTCTGACATCAACCTTTTCCAGATTCCAAAGTCTCTCCAGCCCAGAGAGGCTTTCAAGCCGATTCCCACGCAAATCTAGGACAGAAATATTGCCAAGAATCTGGTAGATGGATTGCACACCTGAGATCATGTTATAGGATAAATTCAGATCATTGAGATTATGCAGATGTATCAGTCCTGAAGGCGGTGACAAGAGAAGATTGTGGGAAAGATCCAAGCTGTTGATTACGGGCGTATGCATGAACGTGTCGTTATGCGTTAATGCTGGCAGAGAGTTGTCTGAAAAGGAAAGGTGGCGGAGGGCAGGCCACATTTTTAGTGAAGCGAGAATGATAGAATCGTCGCTATCGTCGTCATCTTTGCCCATCTCCATCTCATCTCCTTCCTGCAAAGCGGAATCATTCTTATTGGTAGTAGAAGCAGCGGCAGTGCCATTTAAAGTCATATCCTCCGCCTTGCCTTTGTGATCATTAGATTCTGTTGTACTTCCCAGGCCCTCAGGTGTCAAAGCAGCATCCTTGAGCGCTTCTTGTTGCTCTTCCTTAATCTGCACCGCTCTAGTCTTTTCACGCAAAGCCCTCTGTCTCCGTCTCCGCTCGCACTGGACCACGGCTGTGATAATGACATCGTACACATCCTCAATACCGGACTGGATGATGACTAAGGACTTTAGTTGCTTCATCAGCGTTTCCCACCCTTCGATACAATCTGGTGGGATCTTGTGCAACTCCAAGTGCGTAAGCGAGGTGAACATTGCAGCAAGCGGCAGTAGCAGTAATGGTGGAGCTGGCTTAAGAGGTTGATCACTTTCAGGTTTCGAAAGAGGCTGACCATGGTTAAGGAGAGTCATAATGGCCTCTCCATTGAATCCTTCAATTCTGCCCTTCCCTTGAACGTGATCTCCAGGTGGAATCTTTGCAAGCAGTCGTAGACCAGGGACATGTTTGAAAAACTTGCGGATAAAATGAATGTCATCAGTAATGGTCAAGTTATTGGAGTTGAAAGAGGCTGCAGTGGACCATTGCTTCCAACCTGTAATGAGGGTGAGAGTCGAGACGGCTGTAGAAGAAAAGGAACGGATAGATTGTGGTGGAGAAGAACCTTCTCCACGTGCTTTGTTACCAGGTTTTGCTTCTGAGGTGACTGTTGAGGCAGATGCTGAAGGGTCTGCTGAGATAACACGAGGGTTGGAATCACCAACTGTCCTAGATGAAGTAACACTCTCCCACCCTTCGAACTCGATACCGACCTGCTCAAACCTCTCGAGGAGATAAAGCAGGTAATACAGATCCAAAGGAAAGATAGGGGAGCGAAGAGCAGCCTTATAATAAAGTTGATTCTCGCGTATATCGGCGTCTGACTGAAGTATGTTGGCACTAGGGTTGTCCCAAGTCGTGCCGTTGTAGTATATATCTTTATCATGTGCTCGCGTTTGTGAATCAGACGATGAGGGGTTCAATGAGGCAGGAGCAATGGAATTGACGACAGCAGAAGTAGCATTCCATAAGGATGAGATCATGCCTTGGTAAGCGGCAGCCATGGGATCAGCTGGGGTTACAAAAGAGCGAGCATTAGCAGCGGCATTTGTAGCTGCTGTAGTTGCAGTTGTAGTCGAGGAAGTAACGGAAGAAGTGGAAGGGTCATGAGAAAGAGTAGGTGGGAGTAGTCTACGCTGGTTAGAGCGAAGGTAATGTGAGAGTGTACGCACATAGCGGTCGCCATGGATGGGTTTCTCCATTGCGATTCAAATAAAAAGAAGAAAAGGAGAATATTTAAAGTGAAGAAGGGGAAAAGGGAGGGAAAAAAGAAAAAAAAAGTTGGCAATGTTGTAACAGCCCATGCTTACTTGTAAATTTGTGTTGGGTGAGGAAGCAACTAGCCACGTGTGCGATGATGGAACACAAGGCGACAAACTTCAAGACGCTCTCACTCACTTGACCACTCATGACACATCAGGTAATAGTTGTATAAAAGTAAAGCATTTTATTAATTCCAACTCCATAAGTTATAAAGACTTAAAGGAATAAAAGATAAATAAAGTAACCTAGTAGCCAGCAGCAATTCCATGTTTGCGCGTATCACTTGACGCGTAAATGAAACCATCTGTCTCTCGCATTACTGCTTGAACTTCCGCCTTTGCAAGGAGACGGTTAAAAGTCGTGACATTGTGGCCAATCACGTCCTGTAAAAATTGGATTTCACTTGTCGGATATCCTTCTTCAATATCCACTACGTTGGGCATCAACTGGTGATGGATCCTTGGATTCTCGATCGCATCCATAATATTTTGATTATAATTATAGACATTCAGCATCGTCTATTTGGATATCCATAAAAAAAGATGAGTTAAAATCAAGTTCGAGCAAGTTACTGTTTGTAATTTCCATTGTTGTTGTTGTCACATTGTTTGTTACCTGCAATACAGCTGTTATAATCCTAGAACCCCCGCTTCCTCCAAGCGACATTTCAAATTTACCGTCTTTCTCCACAATTGTCGGCACACACGACGACAGAGGCCTCTTTCCAGGCTCTGGATAATTGAAAGGCGATGGCTGTAAGCCAAAGGCATTTGCTCGGCCAGGAATTGAAAAGTCATCCATCTCATCGTTCAGGATTATCCCTGTTTTGGGCTCCATTAGCTTGGATCCAAAAAGCAGGTTAACTGTAGAGGTCAATGCAACAGACATATCATCCTCATCTACAGTGGAAAGATGTGTCGTCCCATGGTTGTCAATGGATCCCCAATGAGGATTGTAATAATCGACAGGGAACGTGCGAGTGTCTGAGATATTGGCTCGGATCGATGCTGCTGTGTCCTTTGACATCATATTGATGATCTTGTCACCTAAATCTGTAAAGTCTGGATCCCCAAGCTCTGTTCTCTGAGCAAATCCAACTAAAAAAAAAAAAAAAAAAAAAAAAAAAAAATTAATAAAATGGTTTAAGGGTTTAAAAAAAAGAAAGGAAGAAAGTATCAATTTGAACCGTAGATCCATATCGTACATTTCATGGCTTCAACGAAACGATGGGTTTCCACATCGGCATCCTCCTTGAACTTGCCAACGTTGTACCGTTCTAGGATATTTAACATGCTGATCAAAACAGGCCCGCTAGTTGGTGCAGGTGTTGTATAGACCTTACGACCTTGATAGAACCCAACCACGGGTTCTTTGACTAATGGCTTGTAATTTCGCATGTCATCCATCGTCAAGATCCCACCATTCGCTTGAACATAGTCAACAATTATCTGAGCAATTTCGCCTGTATAAAATGCATCTGCTCCTTCCTTCCCTATAGTTTCTAATGTCTTAGCGAGAGCTTTTCTTTTGACCCACTCTCCCTCTCTCAGTGCACTACCTGCAGGCGCAAAAACTTGCGACCAACTCGGCTCTTTCTCAATCATCTTCTTGACCAATTGAAGTCTGCGCGCTAGTTCAGGTCCGACTGCCCAGCCTTCTCTGGCCATCTTGACAATTGGTTTAAACAACCGTTGCCAGGGCAACCTTCCATGTCGCTGATGTGCTAATTCGAGACCACGGATTTCACCTGGAACTGCTACAGAGAGTCCACCTTTCTGAGCTAGGATTGGGTCATGCTTATACATGAGAGGGGTAGACGCTGCAGGAGCTGTCTCTCGGAAGTCAATGACTTCAACTGTGCCATTAGGGAGGCGGATGGTCATGAATCCACCTCCACCGATACCGGCCGAGAACGAATTGATAAGGCCGATGCAAAGGCATGAGGCTACTGCTGCATCCATTGCATTTCCACCCTCCTTCAAAACTGCGAAAAAAAGATAATTTAGTGCCCGTGCGCATTTATTTTGTGTAAGTGCGGAAAAAATAAATAAAAAAGATGCATAACGAAAGGAAAAAGAGACTTGGACGAAGTATGCATAAATACAGCAGTAAGTACCTTCGACACCGATTTCTGAGCAGTGAACCTCCTCAGTAGCGACGGCCCCATTCTTGGCCTTTACGAGGACTGGCCGCCTCTTATCAGGGACTAGCGAGGTGAAGAGAATAGTTCATAAGCATTCAAAGTTATCTCAATCATCCTTTAGATATTCTTTCTTTTTTATCCTTTTAGTACCTGGAGCGGACCCCGCAAGGGTGGTGATAAAACCAATGAAGAGAGCTCCTAAAATGATAGTAAACATGACTACGGTTTTTTTTCGAGTACGTTCTGACAACGCTTTCTTTGGGTTATGCCTGGTGTTATTGTTGCGACTTGATACTTTGTCGGGGATACCATAGTCATAGCTCGAGTTATTTAATAACGTCGTTGCTTCTGTTGGCCCCGATCGAACAAGTTCAGCGTCAGAAACGCCATTAGGCAGGCTTGGTCGACTGTAGCTTTTGCTTTTCATTTCTAATGGTGGTAGTAGCAGTGCTAAAGCAGTTATGGATAGATAGTAATTGTGGAAAGAGTGGATAGAGGGGAGTATACAAAACAAAAAAGAAAGAAAAAAAAGTAGCGGCTTCTTTTTTTTTTTTTTTAAAAAAAAAAAAAAGGCTTGGGTAAGAAACAGTGTGGGGCCAAAGTAAAGTGTACCCAACGTCCAGTGTAACTGGAATAAAAGAAAAAGGCGAAAGCAGGGGCGTCTGTGCATGCATAAATGTCAAGGGGTTGACATGGCCCAAGCCAAGGAATAAGCGAAGTTAGAGACTCATACCAATATCTTATTTAGAGAGGTTTCTATCAATTACAGGCCTACTACTTAATAGACCTTTTGTAATTGATAACGGACTAACCAAAAATGGCAGCGGTATAAGCCACTAAGCTAAGTGCTAGATATTTAGCCAATATTTCAGACTGTTTGATAAGTATTTCAGCGTATTTTCCAATAATTTTAGCCAAAACAATATCACACTTTGCTAATAAGGTTGGAATGCGCAGAATCATTGGGACAGTGGCCAAATATTAAGTTTGCGCTGATTTGTTTCCGTTGGAACATGTTCCATTTCTTTCTTTCTTCTTTTGAAATCAATTTCACCACGGAAAAAAAAAAAAAAGAATCGGACGAGGAACTTTAGGAGATCATTAAATCACATAAACCAACTTGAAAACAGACATGCCTTTTGCTCAGGTAAAAATGAGCTACATAAAGTTATTCTTATAAGCCCATTGAATTCTCTTTAACTATTTTCATATTTTTTTCTTTTTTTCTTTTGACTTTTCATAGGTAGTTATTGGGCCTCCAGGATCAGGCAAGACAACCTACTGCAATGGCATGCACCAATTCCTGAATGGGATGGAAAGGCATGAACTCGATTACCCCCCTTCTTCACTATCTTTTTGTTTCCTTGAGTTTATGTATCAGAAAATCTAACATTTGACCGTTATTTTTTATTTATTTATTTATTTTTGTTTATGACTATTAAGGAAGACAACTATAGTCAATCTCGATCCAGCAAACGAAGTCGTCCCTTATCCAACAAACATTTCAATTTTGGAACTGATCTCACTTGAAGATACAATGGAGAATCTACAACTAGGACCCAACGGTGGAATTATTTATTGCATGGAGTACTTGGCTGATAACATGGATTGGCTTGAAGAAAAGCTCAGAGCATGTGGAGATGATTACATTGTCTTTGATTGCCCAGGTCAGGTGGAACTGTACACACACAATGATGCCATGAAACGCATCCTCGCCAGGCTAGAAAAAATTGGGTACAGGGTAAATATCAGGAATTACACATGTTTATCTTTCTGCAAGAAGAAAACCAAGATGATTTGTAGTCATGGTTATTGGCGAGAAGGGGCAATACTAAATAAAGGAATCGTAATTGATTTTTTTTTATTTTTTTATTTTTTTTATAATAGATGACCTGCGTTCATCTTGTCGATTCACACTACTGCACAGACGCAGCGAAATATATTTCTGTCCTCTTGCTCTCATTAAAGACCATGCTGCAGCTCGAACTACCTCATGTGAATGTGCTCTCCAAGATGGACCTAATCGAGACATATGGCCGTTTACCCATGTCACTGGAGTTCTACACAAATGTGCAAGATCTCAGCTTTTTGCAGTATCATTTAAATCAAGATCCTTTCATGAAGCGCTTCCAGCAATTGAACCAGGCCATGTGCGACCTTATTGAGGATTTTGGCCTTGTCGGTTTTGAGACTCTATGCATTCAGGATAAGGAGTCTGTTACAAGAGTGGTTCGGGCAATTGATAGGGCTGGTGGCTATGTCTTCGGTGGCCTTGAAGAGGCAAACGAGAGCATCTTTATGACAGCAATGCGTACGGGATCTGAATGGGAGAGTACAGTCCATGATGTGCAAGAGCGATACATGGGTTCAAACAGAGATGATCCAAACGCAGATCTGGAAGAATTTGCAAGAAATTATAAAGTAGACAAGGACAATGATGAAAGTCCCGATCATATATCCAGCAATAATACTCAGCGTGCGAAAAGGGTTGCATTTGTGGATGAAAAGTAATCATATACATAAATATGTATCGCCTGTATCATAAATTTATAAACTCATAAATATAAACTATTTCTCGATATTAAATAATCTCGTAACTACCATATCCACGTGGGACTTATTCACGCCGCTCTCTCAACTTTATGTTGCCGAGGAGTTACATCCAGAGGCACAGCATTGGTGGCATCATTGGTAGCAATCCATACCGGCCCTCAGACTACCTGACTGTCAATGAAGATGATGTATGGCAGCTGAATATTTAAAAGTGCGTCGATATCAGTTATTTTATGTGACGGGTATCTTTCTCAACAGACTCCCTCGTACAAAAGTATTTTCCTTGATACATTTGATCCTTTTACGTTCGCAACAGACCAAATTGAGGATGACTGTCTTTACATTTAATTTTGATGACTAACTTGTTTTTTTTTTTTTTTTTTTTTTTTTTTTCACAATAATTGCTTTTCCTTCTAAATCTCAGATACATTTGCTCTGGCGCTCTAACCACTTCATACAGAGGACTCTATTGTTCTGTTCCTCGTTGTTTACTTCCTTCAGCGCTCCTCACCATATCCATGAGCACCTCCAGCTCGCCAGATCGCTCACACATCTCTCTGAATTGCGATTTTTCCTTGCCATTTGTACCATCCTCCATCAAGAGCTTTTTGGGTGTATCATACTCCAACACTTGGCCGTGATCTAGCACTAACACTTTGTCGTACAAGATAATCGTGTTGAGTCGATGTGCAATACAGATCACAGTAGAATTCTCAAATTCTTGCTGAATCGCTGATTGAATCGCTTTGTCTGTAGCAAAATCAACAGATGCGGTCGCCTCGTCCATCACAATGATCTTGGAGTTCCGGAGCAATGCCCGAGCCATACACAGCAGTTGGCGCTGGCCCTGAGAGAAATTCGATCCGCCCTCACTAACTGGATTATCAAGACTTGAGAACGATATATGAGTCGTCTTGCTGTTGTTGTTTGCTCCTGCTGCTAGTGCATTGCTGGAATTGCTGACAGAGCCAGAGCCCTCACCAACTTCACCATTAGTATCAATAATGCTCAAAGCAGACGAGTCTTGGCTTGCCTCAGTAACTAAGTGCACACGCCGGAGGGCTTCCCAGAGTTCAGCATCGTCATGATCATTAAAAGGGTCAAGATTGGATCGGATAGTACCATTAAAGAGCATGGGATCCTGTGGGATAATAGTCAAACGAGAACGAAGGTCGTCCAAACCGATGTCACAGATATTAATACCATCGATATGAATGGTTCCTGCCACTGGTTCAACAAAACGGAACAGCGAAAGCGCCAATGTACTCTTTCCTGAACCCGTTCTATAAATCATACGCGCCCATGTACAAAAACATAGCATAGACATTTATACCACACACACACACAAAAAGGGAAGGGTTAGCCTTTGATATATTCAACACAGCTTAAAGTCAAACCATTCTGCTCTGGATTTTATCAAGACAAGCAAAAAATTACCTTCCAACGACGCCGATTTTTTGCCGAGGTTCGACAGTAAAAGAGATGCCTCTTAGGACAGTTTCGAGCTCAGGCGCGTATTTCATTTCCAAGTCCTTTACCTCAATGCTTCCTTCTGTTGGCCAAGCAGCCGGAGGTCTTCGACCTTCAATGATAGCAGGTGGCTCCAAAGGCATTATCGTATACTCTGTAATCCTCTCGATGGCGTTCAGTTCCATCTCAATCTCTGTGTACTCTCGGACTAAATAGTTTACTAGGGCTACAAACTCGAGGGCATATGTCAGCGCCAAACCTGCTGTACCAGCATCGATTCCGACTGGATTCATCAGGATAAATACTCCAGATGAGAGTGCTACTACTGCACCAATCGAATCTGACCGGACTGACAACCATCGGTTAGCGATCCATAAGAAATAGAATGGCCGATTACTATCATCAATCTTGGTCAACAAGTCGCTCATGAATCGGCTCTGTTCACTAAACGCACGAATTGTCGCGACACCTGCCAAGGTCTCCCCAAACATGGAGTAGATAGGTGAGCGAGATACAGAGTGTAGACGCTTAAGCTCTCGAGACGAGCTGATGTACTTTTTACCCACTACCAAGTACGCCACCGAAATCAATGCTGCAACAACGACAAACACAGGCGTGATGTAGGCTAAGACAATGATAATCGAACTGACAGACATGATGAGCGACAAAAGTTGAGCGCAATTATTGGCGATCGATCCATCGACGGTCTCGAAATCTTTTGAGAATCTGTTCATGATTCGACCTACAGGGGTGGTGTCAAAAAACCGGAGAGGCGCGCGTACTACCGAAAGCAGCAGCTTTTTGTACAGCAGTCTTGCAGCACGTAAGGAACCATACAACACAATAACCGTCTGCATGACATGTGCCAAGCTAGCCCCGATCGAGATCAAGGCATAAATAAGCAAGTAAAAATCTGTACTGTGCTTCTCAGCACCCTCTCTGATATAATTTGGATGTAGACTCATCGAAGACAGTGCCGGACTATCGAGTGGAGTATGCCCCTGAATCCCCTGTGAATCAGAATATACAGCTGAAGGGGCAAGGTGTATTGACGAGGATCCCATGGTGTTGTAAATGTTCAAGGACATGAGTTTTTTAAAGAATGAATCCGGTGCATATGAGTTTGCCCACTCGCGTACCCACAACGACTCTGACACTTCTATCGATCGGGTCACAGCAAAGGCCGCCATAAGTGTCAACCAAAAGATGATGCCACCAGCAGCCGACGCATAAACAAGGTAGATGGACCATTTGACGCGGCCTTCCTCACGCGCCTCCTCCTGAACAAGCTTCCTGGCGTCCTTGGTTGGAGCAGCACCTGCAGAAGAAGGTTCTGAGGTTCTTTTAAGATCCTTGCTGGTTGACTTATTCTGCACAAGTTTAGGTTTGACAATACTTGTGGATGATCCCAAGTCGTTACCATTGACAGTATCGCTGTCAGAAGTATCCGTGGCCTGATCATCCTCATCTTCTTCGAGGACAAGGGACAATAGCCCCTGTTCCCTGAGCTGTTGAACTGAACCCTGAACAGAAATCTCTCCGTTATTCATCAACACCACATGCTTAGCAGTTGCGATACAGAGACGGACATGATGAGTCACCAGGATACAAGTGCGGTTCGTCATAATCGGCCCAGTCAGACATTTGGCATGAATATGTTCGGCAGTATGGGCATCTACAGCTGAAAGACAATCATCCAGAAGTACATGTCGTGCCCGTGAATAAATGGCACGCGCCAACGAAACACGCTGCTTCTGGCCCCCAGAGAGAGTGATGCCCTTCTCTCCAATCTCGGTTTGATCACCATCCTCCAAAATTTCAAGATCACGTTTTAACGCGCAGACTTCGATGACCTCGTTATAGCGTTCTTCCTCATATTGACTGCCGAACAAGATGTTGTCACGAATAGAGGCATTTTGTAACCAAGCCTGCTGAGAGACATAGGCTACACCGTCATTCAATAACCCGGTTTCTGGATCAAACTCCTTTGAGCCATCCAATGGTCGTCGAGGTAAGAAAATTTGTCCTGCCAAGATATCCATTTCGCCTAGCATAGCCATCAATAGCGAGGTCTTTCCGCTTCCGGTCGATCCACAGACAATGGAGAGTTCTCCTACAGGGAATGAAACACTGATATTGCGTAGAATAAATTGGTCTACATCCTCCACCCGGGGCTGATCTGAGTTCGCTGCGTTTACATTAGGTGTCTTTGCACTTTCGGTTGTCCACCATTGTGCACTCATCTCCTGCATCCCAATTTCAGGCGACCCATTTGTTCTTTTATTGCCATTGACAAACACATCCTTGATATTGGGCTCATCCAGATACTCAGCAATACGGCCCAAACTGACGCTGGCATTTGTGAGGGCCATGTAGACTGCAGGAAGACCATTCAGAGGGCTCTTTAAGCGATTGAAAAGGACCATGGCTGTAAAGGCAACTGCGGGCGTAAACTCGCCTTTTTGAATCTTGGCGTAGCAGAAGAAGCTTGATAAGGTTACCAACAGAGGAGATGTAAACCAGACCATTTGGAAAAGGATAGTGTTTTTGTAAACTATGAAAATAACAAAATAAGGATAAGTTTTTTCTTTTTTTTTTTTTTTTTTTTTTGTTGAAATAAAACAACAAATTAGCATTAAAAAAAAGAGGAACCTTTCGTGTTCTTTCTTACCATTAACCAGCTTCTTGAGTTCAAACTCTCTTGCTTTCAACACTTTCTCACTGAAGGACATTTCCCAAGCGAAAAACTTGATCATGCGAATACCCGCGATCAACTATATGTCCATAGATATACACAAATCAAGACGATTAGTCAGTGTTCGAACCTGACGTCTTAATCCTAATAATAACGAATGCCGAAAAACAAAGCCTTGCCTCTCCCATCAAGGTGACACGATCATCACGAGCACTGGAAAGCTCGCGTTGTCCAATGGTATATCGCTTCCTGACAGCCTTGTTGACAGGGATAGTGATGATCAGGATGGACATTCCAACTAGTGAACTCCAACCGATGAGGTCGTACAAGAGATATGTTCCTAAGGCAATGCCGATAGGTGAGGAAACTCCGATGTGCCAAAAGTTACACACGCCCGAAACACGAACTGTATCCGTTGACATGAGATTGACAACCTTGCCTGCACTAGCAGGCGCGGTGTCTTTGTCGTCGTCTTTGCCTTTACTCTTGCCTTTGTCTTTTCCTTTCCCATTTCCATTCCCTTTACCATTAGAGTCACTGCTGTCCTGGCTGCCGCTCGATTCCTTTGGTTTCTTCTTGACAAGACCACTCATGTCGCGGCGAGTCAATGTCTTTGCATAGATCTCTGCATTTAGTAGCGCCATCATGGAAACGTTAATTTTGCGTCCCATGTAAAACATTTGTGACTGCACCAACGAGCGTGAGACCTGGGCAATGAAGATGAGGATGACATAGAGGTAAGCGACTTTTGGTGGAACTTCGGGATCATTGATGTAGCTGAGAAACAGCTTGAGGAAGTAGGGGACCGAGAAGTCAAGGAATGTCGAAATGACGACGAACGTGAACTGCCATAAGAACGATACTCCATTGAACCAGAGGACGCGCTTGAGAAGTGATGCGGATGATCTAGTCCGATGTATATAACCGTAATTAGAATGATTAGCGTTCAGCAAAAGTAGAGTAAAATACCTGATTAGGGGCATGGAAAATCTCTCAAATCTCAACAAAGTAAACTCCGCAAACAAGATTAAATACATAACATCGTTTACACTTGTTACACAGCATTACAAACACTTGGCGCAACTCCCCATAAGCAAGGCTCTCTGCTCTTGTATTATACTTCAGTTATATCTCAAAAAAGGAAGCAAAGATCCGATGCAAGGGGAAAAAAAAGAAAAAAAAAACAGATGTGGCGCAGAAAGAGATAGAGATCTCATGATACCCACCTAAAGCTCGAGAACATCTGAAACTGTGACCAGACAGTCCTCGCCCGGAGTTGAGGCAACAACTCGGACAAGTCTGATAGGTTAAGCGTTTTGCTCGATCCAATACTGATGATCTTGTTGAACCAAGAAAAGAATAGCCATGAAAGATATGACGCATATGCCTCTGGACTCATAGCATGCTTGGCCTATACATTAATTGATATTGTGTACATGTTCGATGATACGATAGATTATTACATGAAGAGAAAAAGATAGGATGGTTAAATATTTCAACCTTTCCTTACATACGCCTTCTATCCCTTTGTCATCTTCTTCCTTTCTCATTGCTGTAGCAATATACCACAGGATTTTTTTTTATATTGATGTATCAACTTGGATGTGGTAAGTGATTGTCAAAGATTGGCTGATTGGATGAAGTTGTGTAAATAAAAAAAAAGAAAAAACCGATTGGTTGAAAAACTTACAGATGCATAACCATAACCATATTGATGGACAAAGTCCAGATCCAGCTCTGCGGGCATGGTCAGCGCAGTCCCAAAAAGGACAAGAGCAGTGCAGAACTTGGCGAAAAAGACGTAAGTATCAAAGGAATAAGAATATCCGAATCGATGGTGGTCTAGGATAGTGTCTAATTTATCCCAGAATTCAAACAAAAGGACTACAAATGTGGTGGAATAAAACCATTGTAAGGGTTGCAACGCGTTCATGTATCGGATTCGATGGGTGATAATGCCCAATAAAGCCAATAAGACCATAGCCCATCCTGTCAAGATGGCAATGGGTGCAAAGAGACGTTCAAATTGGCTGCGATCTCTATCTCCAGAGGAGTCATCACTGTCACCATTATCCAGGGTCAGGAAAGAATGGATGAATGAGACTAGATGAAGCGTAGAGGCAAGCAAAGAGAAAAGGAAGAGGATGATAGTGCGAATTTTGATATGATGGGCTTTGGGTTGAGTGTCCCCAGAAATGTTGTCTGAAGCATTGTTGGATACAGGGATACGAGTGTAGTCAAAGGTAGACTTGCGACGGGCTAGTTGTGCAGCACGAGAAGGGGATGCAGCAGGGTTGAGTTCAATGTTTGTTGACTTTGCAGCGATAGCACAGATTGAAGCAGAGACGACAAAACTGGTCAATGGCAGAACAGCCATGACGACTTCTCTCAATGACATCCCCATTGAGAAGAAAATAAAAAAAAATCCAGGGGGAAGGTGGATAAGGAATGCCAAGAGTAAGGACAAGGAAAAATGAGAGAAGAAGGAAAAGAGAGAAGAGAAAGAAGAAAAGAAAAAAGTGCCAATGTATTTGAATGAACAGCTTTTTCAACATGGCAATGCCATTTTCATTTCGAATCAAATGTTTTTAATTTTGCATTCACTGTCACATCCACGGGTAATTCTTGTATACTTTTTTAAAGGCAGCATTTCAGATTCATGTATAAAGCGGTCTAGACTAAAAAGAGATAGAGTAACTAAATAAGAGTGGTGCTGGTTCCTTCAAAACCTTTACCATCCTGAGAAAGCTTCTTCAATGCTTCACCATCCACACGCATGACTTGCCACTCATCCATCGCAACTGCTCCCAAGGACTTGTAGAACTGGATACTAGGTTCATTCCATTTCAGTACTGACCACTCCAGTCGACCTCCGTTCATCAGTTCAACTTCGCGAGCCAGCTCACCCAAGAGGCGCCTGCCAATGCGTTGCCCTCTGGCTGATTCCTTCACGAACAGATCCTCGAGATAGATACCTCCTTTGCCTCTCCAGGTAGAATAGTTTGTAAAATAAAGAGCAAATCCAACGGGTTCAGATGAAGAAGGGATGAATGCTAAGAGACATGAGGCCAAGTTCTGTGAGGTCGGATGAGGGGGAGTGAAGCGAAGAGTGTTGAGCAATGATTCCTCTGTGGCCTCGACAGTGGATGGAGGTTCCTTCTCATACTTTGCAAGCTCATGGACCAATGAGAGGATAGATCCTACATCTGCAGGGGTAGCAGCACGGACAGTGACCTGAGGAGATGACGAGGATGAAGACATGTCGTTGTTTTCAGCGTATGGGTAAACAGGTACGGATGCGTGTGAAAAAAAATAAAAAAATAAAATAAAATAAAATAAAGAAAGAGAGAAAGAGAGAGAAGAAAAGAGAAGCAAAATGAGTAGCTGGGGGGGACAGGAGATCAGTTTTATACTCTGCATACAATTATGACTAAGAAAACAAGGTTAGACTAGCCATTTTTTCCGCAGCAGACACTGATCAATGTTTTAGAAAGTGATAGAGAGATCAATTGGCGTGAACGTGTATATAAACAAACAGAAATCCTTCTGTAGTTAACGCGACTGTAATCCAAGACTGTCCCTGATCCGACTTTTGTGTAAACAGTTTGAATATGCACCAAAAGCAAGACAATCCAACCGACATCTCCTATCTCAATGTATGCTTGCTTGTCTTTCATTAATAGACAAACCGTACAGTCCCAAATGGGGCCCACGTGATGCCACTGTGTTCAGATTCCCATTGCAACGGACAATATCTGTAACATGAAGTGGGTGCATCAGCACCATTAATCTTTTGCTGCAAATAATGAGCTATGATGACCTTTTCTTTTCCTTTTCTTTTATTCCCTTTACCGTTAGTGAAATATTTTTTTTTTTTCCTTACCCCTTCACTTAAGATCTTAATAAGCCTACCACTTCTCTAAACTAGGAAATCCAGCAGTTTGATTGACACGCTTCTACAAAAAATACAATACCCTTTTATATATTATGTATGCAGGTGAAAGTGATTCTCTCTTCTATGTTGAGACGGACCTAACTTCTTTCCGCAAGTCGTCCTACCGCTCTATTACTTTCTTTGAGAACTGAAAAGATATTGATCATCTACTCATCTGCCCATTAATCCTCTCCTAACCTACCACATCCATTCACCAAGCTACGAAATCTTTAAAACCCTTATTAATCGTTCCTATTCATATATATCCTGTTCTACTCAATTGGCTTCCTCTTTCTCAATTTTGAATAGTTGAGACTTTTATTTCAAAAGAGCTCAAGCTTTCCCTTCCATACTATATCACAACACCTTTAGACCTTACGTGTGCATAGCAACAAGTTATCGTACATGGCAAACAAAACACTGCCCTCAATTTTGACAGAGGGGCAGCAATACTTAGTAAGGAAGAATTCTTTAATCCTCCAAGTGCTGTAGGACCATAAAATCAACCAATCTAATCTATTAAAAAAAATAGGTTATCGAACAGGCACTTATAAGAGCTGGATATGACCATGATGCCAACATCGAAAATCGCCCCAAAACTACTCATGGTTCGTTCATCTTCCCCATGCTAAATGCATCGATAAGCACACCTGGAGGGGGATTCTATGGCGGTGACAATGATAACCACAAAGGAGCAGATCGCTACTCTATTGAAGGAAATGGAAGCATTTTTAGTAAAGAGAACAGGACAAGTGGTGTAGCAATAGGGGCGTCCAGCATGAATGGTAGTGTAACATGCCATAACATAAACGGAGGCCTACAGTTGTATTCACCCATCTCTGCAGGATCGTTCACACATAAAATATATGCCAACACGGCTCGATCGAGCACTAGCAGTATGCTTTCGATCGGCCGACAGAAATCGGAGCCACCCGTCTCTATTCTTCCACATTATAATTCACCTTACGAAGCAATGTTTTTCAACCAGCCAGGTAATGAGAAATGAAAAAAAAAAAAAAATACAGCTTGCTGATAACCAATAATAGCCCTATCAATGCATTCATGCTCATAACTAATCCTATCGCACTCAAAACTATTTCTGTGGTCTTGTACTGTGTTTTTGGTTTTCTTGCTATATGTATAGATACGATGCATTTTATTGGAAAGGATCTTCGAATTGGAACCATATGTATTTCTATGAGGCCTAGCCAGGATGCAATGCGCTTCCTTGTTCGTACAGTTCTTGTAAGTTACTACTTAGTTCTCTGGTGGACGACGTCTCAATTCAATATGAGCAAGTAATAAATACTATAAGGATACTTTTTTTTTTTTTTTTTTTTTTTTTTTTTTGATAGAAATTCACTTGCGTGGATGTTCTGGATAGTTATCGAGCTACCGCAGAGTTTGAGAAATGTCAATCATTGTATACGAAGAAAAATGAAATTCTACCAATGCTCCATGTTGCACTACAGCAATGCTTCGAATCTATCCCAGAGGTCGAGGTGAAACGTCACCAGGTAGTTCAGCATCAGTCAGCGACTGATCATTCTGTCTTTGTCCTGGATGATTCTGGTTGGTTGCAGAGCCCACGATATATCGCAAACTTAGTTCATGGTCTAGAGGAAGTCCGACAGGAAGGATTCGCGTTTGTGCTCAAAAACCTGGAAGCGCAGATGGTATGATCCTCCATTATTAGATAAACATGAGCATAAAATAATGCAAAAGTATACAAACAGCTTTTAATTTTTATTTTTTTACTATGATTTTAAAAGCGACCAGCTGCGGTATCCTTGGACATCGTGATCCCTAATAAAGACGAGTCACTTACAGCTGACGATCAAGAGCAGTTTTGGGCCTTTTTCAATGGGCTGGGCGAGCACATTGAAGCTGAAACCTATTTGCCTAATGTGTCCAAGCATACCTTCATTTTGCCGTCAATGATTGCAGGGGACAAGGTACATCGATCTTTTGTTTTCTTTTATAAAAAAATTAAAATCTCTGTTGCCTCTAACCTTCTTTCTTTTTATTCGCGTCCCTGGTATCAAGAGCGAGGGGCAACGTCTGAGTGCTTTGGCAGAGTTAATCGAGACAGAAACCAGTTACAACAAGCGAATGAATGATCTTATCAGTGTAATTAAACAAGGGGCTTACTGCGTCTATAAAGCACGCCACATCCGTTTGGTTTAGTTAAAGGAACGTTCGAGCTCACTGTATTTTTATTTCCTATAATCTTCATTTTTTTTTTTTTTTAAAAAAAAAAAAAAAAAAAAAAAAAAGATATACTTAAAGGAGGCTCGCTATGCACTCACAGCACTCAGCCCTCCGCTAGGCAAGTATGAGATTCGAATGATTTTCTCCAACATCGAACAGATTGTTGCAGCCAGTACTGAGTTCCTGAAAGACCTGAACGGATATCAAAATCACAAAACGAATGAAGACAAAAGCTTAGGAGAGATCTGCCGTAAGAACGTAAGGAAACTGGAATCTCTTAGACACTACCAATCTGAAACTACGGATGGCCACTATCAACAACAGACAATCAAAGGCTTATTGTACGTTCTGTTTTCATTATTTAGCTTCAAAACATGCAATGCTATAAGCACTATTTGATGCGTTATAAACGAGCACAAGAGATACATTTGGCCTTAAGCAAGAAGAGCCAAGCGTATAGAGCATTCCAGGAAAGATGCATTCATACCACTGGAATACAGACGCTGTCTAACCTCTTGGTTGAACCAACTCAACGTATTGTTAAATATCCGTTGCTTTTCAAAGGTAAGGGGAAAATGATGGATGCTCTACGGCTTTTTTTTTTTTTTTTTTTTTTTTTTTTAAATAAAGATTTACAGATATTGACAAAAGAAAACTATTATGATATCGCTTTACAACGTTTAATAGCTATATTATCTGGGACGAATAAAGATTCAGAGGACGTAGATGGTCTTCGAGAAGCAGCCCATATTGCATCCGAGATTGCACACATGGAAAAAGCAAAACCCGAGCAAAGAGCAGAGATGCTGTTCAACCTTCGAAGTATCATTGAAAATTGCCCAGATTCGATTGTCAACCAGAATAGGAGCATTATATCTTATATGGATGGGTTCGAGACCAACCTGCTGACAGGAGAGAGGGGCAGACCCATCACTCTAATTCTTTTCTCGGACAAGATCATGATCGTACGACGACCTAGTACTTCAAGTGGTGAAGCCTTATTTCACTTAAAAGAAGATGAAGAGCAACGGAAGCAGAAAGAGAGAGAGGAAAAAGAACGTGAGAAGAAGAGCAAGAGGGATGGCAGGAATGATACAGATGGTTGCAATAATGGTGGTGGTATTCATGGAGGTTCGGTTGTATCAATACCAGGACTTCAGCTTTTGAGAAAGGATTGGAAATTCATGGGCTGGATGGACATTCTAAGGGTCAAGGTCGCTGTTGTTGAACAAAGTACTATCTTCTTTTTGCAACGCTGCCTTTTTTTTTTTTTTTTTTTTTTTTTTTTTTTTCATATTTTTTTTTTTTTTTTTTATTTTAGCAAACAATATTGACCCCATTTTCTTTCTCATCTTTTTTTTTTTTTTTTTTTTTTTTTTGCTGGACTCCAGCTGATCCTGAGGGTTTATTCTGTATCACAACAAGAAATTACGCAGAAAATAAGCAAGATCTATGGGAGACAACACGCGGCATCATGCCAGAAGGATTGGATAAGAGAGATACTTTCATATCCAAGTTCTATGAGACGCTGTCGTTAGCCAAGGCTACGTTTACCGCTCAGAAAGCCGAATCTACATCCAGGCTCCATGTGGGGGAGCTTGAGCTATATTGCAACGTCTTCACAGAAAGCCAGTATCGTGATTTCAAATTCAAAGGCGACGTCGCACTGTTTTATACGTGCTTGTCGCATTATCCTGCGGATGTAGCGCCTTTTACAACATTACCGGCGTTTGTGGGCATGATACAGACTGCTGCATATTCTTCTTCCAGCACACAACCTGAAACTGCTGTTGGCCCAAGAACATGCGGATTTCGCGCCATACTAAAAAGTAAAGCAAATCTGAATGGTGCAGGGGATGTGTTCTCAGTTGCTAAAGAAACTAGTCATTTTCTGGACATGGATACATTCCAGACTCACATTGCCGAACTTGGTATGTCAACCTATAATGTGTATCCTTGTATCCTTCATCTTAACAGTTTTTGACAAGTGCTTATCTGCCCGTACCGACTTTTTCTTTTTCTTTTTCTTTTTTCTTTTTTTATATATATATAACTTTAGTCGCAAACCTCCAGTGGACTGTATACAGCTTTAGTCCATACCAAAGTGCCCAACTTCATTTTAGTCGAGTCTACATGGATACAGATTACCTCTTCAAGGCCGCTGGTGCATCCTCAAAGAGCACGTCCCTGCGGAGCAAAAGCTTGAAAAAGATCCGTGACTCTGCATCGGCTGTTGCAGCATGGCCATCATCGCCATCATCATTGGGACAACAACACCGATATAGTGGCTCCTTCTCTCCCCTGGCAAGCCCTCATGATACCCATAGTATACCCAGCTCCCCAAGTTCATATAATCTCAGCAGTGCTTTAGGACGCAGCAACAGCATCGTTGGTATTCGGAATAGTAGCCATGCTATTGGTAATGAGCCAAGCCAACAGGAGCAGCATGATAATCAGAAGCATGATTCACCTGTGTCAATGAACAAGCGGTTCTCAATGCCGACAATCATGAAAAAATACCCTTCAGACAGCAATAAAAACTACGACAATACAGACAGAGGCAGCGGCAGCCCTCATCCGCAGAGACAAGGTCGACCTTTACACCATCAATCGCAATCATTTGCAGAGAATACGATAAAGAACAGCGTCTCGGTGATAAGTCTTCTCCTTCCTGGATCGGGCCGAAAGAAAGGCCTCATATCTTCCATGTCATTTAAAAATGGAGGAGATAACAAAGGAGAAGCAAAGGAGAAAACAAAGTTTTTGGAGACCCTGTAGTGGTCATGGTGCAAAATTGTATGCTGGGATGTGTAAACAGACAAAGGTAATAGATAACCCCTTGACGTTAATCAGACGACTGTAGTGAGCCAGTATAATGGAGTGAAATAAAGTCAATAAAAAAAAAAGACCACACATATTTCAGAAATTTCAAAATTCACAAATGTTCCTGAAAACAAAGACAAAAGTTTTTCAGACATTGCTGGATTAACATGACCATTCAACAGTATTCAGCAGAGGAATAGATAACAATAGATGGCAATAATAGTAAACAATAAGAATAAAATAAAAAGAAACTGTTCGTTGGAATGAGATACAATCTTTATTTTGACTATTCATTACAAATCTCCCTTGAAGCATACAAGTACCTAACAGATAAAAGAGAAATATAGCTGTTAGTTCCTTTCTTTTTAAACAAAAAAAGCATACAAGCATTATAAAGAATATTTGTTTCAAACACTAAGAAGATCCACCGGAAAAAGACATAACAGATCAAAACGAATTTAATATTGTTATGGGGATTGGTGCGATCTTCAACTCTCATGAAACGTTATCCTGCAAACAATCGCAAGCATCTTAAAACAAGACGCAAAGCAGGCGGCAGGAAATTGATATTCCACATTTGTAACGAGCAAACGACCAAATAAAAGGCAACAGCTGCTCTGACTTAAAAGTGGGTGGCAAGATTGAGGTGAAAAAAAAAAGGGGGATAGTAATAAATCAAGTCAAAGTCAGATACATACCTTATCCAGTTTAAACAATCAAGTGGAAAGAATAAAAAAAGTAAAAAAAAAAAAGATTGTGGAAAGAATAAATGGTGAGATAGGTGAGTGAATGGAGGGAATGGAGGGAAAAAAGTGAATGAAAGAGGTGTGGAGGAACAAACAGATCAGATCTGTTTACTTAAATTTTTTTTACTCCCAATTACCTGTCACCGAAAGCGCTTGTAACGCATGCACTGCAATATTGTTTGTGTAACACAATTTGTCTCACGACATGAAGGACGCAAAGAGCATATAACCGTCCAACAAAGAACTAATCCCTGACTTCATCCATCCATCTTTTTCATCCTTTCCATCCTTTCCAATGTCATCTAGTGAACCAACGTAGGTCCTGACACTGACAGGACAGCACATATTTCATTCGTAAAAGCGTTCCTAAATTTATTAGCTCTTGTTCTATTGCCGTCTACCACATAGGATCATATCCGCGCCAGGCAAGGTTCTGATTGCAGGTGGATATCTAGTTCTGGATCCTGCATTCTCTGGCCTTGTAGTTGCTACGGATGCACGCTTCTATACCCTAGTCCGACCGAGCAGCTTCCCGAAAACTACATCTGGCCAGTATAAGATCACAGTTCGATCCCCACAATTCGAAAACGCGATCTGGAACTATTGGGTCGCCATTCAAGACAAGAATGTTCAAGTCATTGCAAGGTACATCATCCACTGCGCTGACGATACTGTAAACAATCTCATCGGGGCTTTTCTATTACGCTTGATCTATTTATGGACAGTGATACATTTATTTATTTATTTTTAACTTTATTTGGTACCAAAACACAGCAAAGAGGATGAGTCGAATAATACATTTGTCGAGCTTGCACTGGTTTACTCTTTAGCAATTATTGGACATTTGGTTCCTGTTGAGACTATTACTGAGAAAATTAGTACTGGGCTTAGCATTGTCATTGCAGGAAACAACGATTTCTATTCTCAGAGGAATGAGGTACCATCAAAACATGGAAGTCGAGAAAAAATAATGTCAGGCGGTCAATCTTGATACTCAATTAGGTTTCTATCGACATTCATACTACTAGCTCACAAAGAGAGGGCTACCACTTAACTCGGCATCATTGCGACAAATTCCACTCTTTGCTCCAACCCATACAACCCTTGGAAAGGTGAGCAAGACAGGACTTGGATCATCAGCAGCATTGATCACCTCGCTAGTGTCGGCTATCTTTATTCACTTTGGCGCCTGTAAGATGCAGGGACCTGAAAGTACAGAGCTATCGGTCAATAGCACAAAGCTATTGCACAACACTGCACAATTTGTGCACTGTTTAGCTCAGGGAAAAGTAGGTAGCGGATTCGATGTTTCTTCAGCTGTGTGGGGCAGTCATACATACAGACGGTTTAGCCCAGAAATCTTACAGGAGGTAATGCATCTGGATGCAAAAGATGATATCCCAGCCTTGCTTAAAGTCTTGGATCCGGAGCAGACAACATGGGATAATCTTGTGGTCCCATTCCGACTAGCGCCACGTCTTCACCTCATGTTGGCAGATATCGATGCAGGAAGTCATACGCCTACACTAGTTTCAAATGTACTCAAATGGCGCAAGAACAAAGCTGAGGAAGCTAACACGCTTTGGACTCTGCTGGGTGCAGCCAATGACAAAGTCGTGGAACTACTTAAACGTCTAGACGAGGCCGCGAAGGAACATCCTCAGGAATATGATTCTGCCATTCAACGTGCAAGTTCTCTTCCTGCAGCAGAATGGAGTACCTCATTGGCAGGACAAGACGTTGCATCTGAGCTATTAACTCTGATATACCAGGGATTCTCAACTGTTCGCGGTTATCTGCGAGAGATGAGCCGATTATCAGAAGTACCGATCGAGCCAGCGGAACAGACACGTCTGCTGGATGCATGTCTGGCTGTTCCTGGTGTTTTAATGGCTGGTGTTCCTGGAGGTACTGAGAAATATAATATTTGACGTGTTAAATACTATACGCATAGCCTTTGTACTAACATGATTTTATCTGGTTGGCTATTTAAACAAAAAAAAAAAAAAAAAAAAAAAGCTGGAGGTTATGACGCGATCTTTTGTATCGTCTTGTCGGATGAATCTAGAAAAGCTGTTGAGTCGGTGTGGTCTGGTTTCAAGGAGATGAACGTTGGTCCATTGCTCTGCAAGGAATCTGTAGAGGGCGGATTGGTAATGGAGCTGGACCTGAAACAGGAGCAAACGAAAGCCATGCTTTCGTATTAATTGCTGTCTATTGATACCTTTCTGATGACATTACCGTCTCATTTTTTTTTTAAGGACTACTGATTTAGTCTCAGCGCTTAATTTCTTAAAATAAACCTTGAGGGGATGCAAATTGGAGATGTCAAGATGTCAATAACAAATCTATATAAACAACGGGGTTTGTTTTTTATTGTTTCAAATATTGCTCCTTTAGGCGCAGGCCCCATGGCCGCACTGACGCCTTCGCACATGCACACACACCACCACGTTAACTTACTCCCTTTCCCTCACACAGTCGAGAGCTCCCATTTTTATACGATTCATTCAAAACCAGATAAGGTGTATGCTCGTTCTCGTATATGCGCCATTGCTATATTAAACTTCGCTTTTGTGTCAGAATTAGTTCGCGTCCATGTTTATTTCATCTTTTATCAAGTAGAGTAGATAGAAGAAATAGTAATACTGGCAGGAACTCAACTTTATTGCCTCAATCAGTGTCAACAGCTCCACCACTTCCCAAAATCAATAACCTAAACAAGAGAAAAAAGAGCGAGAAAGAAAAAACATCGGTACAGGTGTATCACATATTCGAGAGTTATTCACAGTCGTCTCCTAAAGATTGTCTTTTCTGCTTATCAGCAGAGTAATAAAATGTTCTTTGTTTCCAAAAAAAAAAAAAAAAAAAAAAAAAGATAAACATGCACACGAAATATGCCGTCCATACATGCATGTGCTTTCATGGGCGTAGAAAAAAGAAAGAAAGAAAGAAAGAAGGAAAGAGAATAGAAAAATACTTCTCCTAAACAATACAGACCACGGCAATCTGAGATAGCCCTGCAAGGCATTCATGCTTGTTTGTTGTGATAAAAATAAAGAAATATCGCGTCAAGTAGAGGCGGAAGCAGGGAAAAAATACGATAGTACATGTGACAGGGTTGCGCACGCAAGAAAATAAAATAAAACTGAAGAGACATTAAGAAGATGCCCTTGAAGTTGGACCGAAAGGATCTGATTTTCAAAATGTGGGGACATTCCTTCGAATCAATGATGAAGGCAGGCAATTCGGGGATTTGTACAGGATCATGACCGAAACAGGCTGGGTCAAATGGGTTTGTCTCAATCACTGTCGCTCGATGTATGAAGAAAAAGGACAGAAGGTATTTATAAATGCAGTGAAAGTGAATAATGGCGAATATAACCGGCATCTTGGTAAAGTAACTATCACATTGGGGTCCAGAGAGAGAGCTAAAGAGCTCTTCGATGCACTAACCAGTTCAAGACGAGTTTACGAGTTGGATATCACATTTGGCTGGGATTGGACGGAGATTGATCTTGAAGCATTTGAGAATGCTTTGGCAGTGTCGAGTGTATCGAATCTTCGACTTGGGCTTACACGAACTCAAAGGAATGCTGGTATAAAAGACTCTTCAATATCCGCGCAATATGAAAAGCTTATTCGCATTATAGAGCTCAGTAATATGAAAACAATCCATATTGCTCTAACTCAGGACCACATAAAGCTTCTCAGTTTACGGCCCAGAAGATCGTCATGTCTTCAAAAACTGACGTATGAGATGGAGGCTCAATGGATTGGAGTCATTGATTTACAAGGACTTGTAAATTCACTCAAGACTGGCACGACATTGACGATTTTGAACTTGAGTGACGGCTCAATCGAGGATGAAGGAGCTCTGGCACTGTCAGAGGCACTCAAGGTTAACACTAGTTTGACGACATTGGACTTGTGGTACAACTCGATTGGGGATGAAGGAGCTCTGGTATTGTCAGAGGCACTCAAGGTTAATACTAGTTTTATGACTTTGAACTTGGATAGCAACCCGATTGGAAAGGAAGGGACTCTGGCATTGTCAGAGGCACTCAAGGTTAATACCAGTTTGACGACTTTGAACTTGGATAAAAACTCGATCGGAAAGGAAGGAGCTCAGGCATTGTCAGAGGCACTCAAGGTTAACACTAGTTTGACGACATTGGTCTTGGAGTTCAACTCAATTGGGGATGAAGCAGATCTGGCAATTTCAGAAGCACTCAAGGAAAACGCGGTTTTAACTCAATAAATAAGAACGCCTTAAGCGTCAAATAAGGGACTCTGATGCTGTTAGGCACTCCTAGGACTGACTGACCGACTTTGGATCGTTTTTTGGGATACTTGATTGGTTAATGGTTGAAATAGCTCTAGAATAGTTAAAGAAAATAGTTTGGTTTAAATAAAAAGTTTGCTTGTAGCGGCCAAGCGGCCACGACAACGTTGGCTTTTAATCCTTTGATGACAGCTCTTCCCCTTTGAAAGCTCATTCCTTATAATGACAGCACATCAATATCAGTTCAGTGGAAGATTCGTACAAAGCTTTCTCCAATGTTAAGCTACGTAAAGCATAGTTACAAAATGTAAAGACGGTAAATTGTCCTCCTTTAGAACAGGGACTTCAATCAAGTCAGTTGAGGGAGCCTAAAGAAAAGATTGTCGCTTGGCTGCTACAAGCAAGGTTTTTATTTAAACCAAACTATTTTCTGTAACTATTCTAGAGCTATTTCAACCATCAATCACCAAGTATCCCGAAAGTCGGCCAGGCAGTCCTGAGTATGTCCAACAGCATCAGTGTCCCTTATTTGACGCTTAAGACGCTCTTATTTATTGAGTTAAAACTGCGTTTTCCTTGAGTGCTTCTGAAATTGCCAGATCTACTTCATCCTCAATTGAGTTGCACCACAAGGGCAATGTCGTCAAACTAGTGTTAACCTTGAGTGCCTCTGACAATGCCAGAGCTCCTTCCTTTCGAATTCTGTTGTTGCTCAACTCCAAAGTCGTCAAACTAGTGTTAACCTTGAGTGCCTCTGACAATGCCTGAGCTCCTTCCTTTCGAATTCTGTTGCTGCCCAAGTCCAATATCGTCAAACTAGTGTTAATCTTGAGCGCCTCTGACAATACCAGAGCTCCTTCATCCCCAATTGAGTTGTACCAGATTCAGATGATCGATTGGGATGCATATTAGGATCAGGAAAACCAGAAGTGCTGAAACCAAATAGACAAAAATAATCCATACCAATTGATAAGGCATATACTTGATCGATGACTTCATACGGCGCTGAAACGACATTATCACTACAAACAATTTCGACATGTTCAATCTCTTCAATCCTGGCATTTCAGTTAGTTCAATGTGACCTGTTGTTTCGCGAGTATGAATATTATATTTCTTTACGATAGAAGAGTTTTATGAATGGATGAGAAGTGCCTGTATCAATTAATGGTTCATGCTCATCACCGAGGGTAGAGATACTAATTGTAATGCGTGTATTGCTTCTATCATTTCCCTTTTTGATAGCAGCAAAATGTATAATTTGGTCCGCAAACATCATGCCAAGAGGTGACTCAAGTATCCTAAAATATTCTTCTCCATTATTTAGAATTTGTATCTCCAATAAATATCAGGCATATGCATTGCTATGGTTATACAATGTATATAGTCTCACGCTACTACTCTTCCTCAAGGAGGGAGGCGAAGGTGGCGACTCAGTGTTACGTCCTGAGGCTAGGGAGTGCACCCAAATGGGGCACTCCCCTTTTTATTCATAAACAACTTTTGATTTCCTTGACTTCCGACTTGCCATAAAATATTTCACTCAGAAGCATTGCATAGAAGTGGCGCAACGTCCGTGGTAACAGAACACGCAAGTATTCCAACGCTGTCCTGATCAGTGCACATTAGACACTTTTCGAAACCTCATTTTTCCTTCGTGGCTTGAAGGAAAAAACCCTCTGTAAAGGAAAATTAAAAGTAGACCTTTCGGTCTTATCATATTTGCTGTATTACTGTTGTTTAAAATCAGAAGATACAGTTGGTGGCAAACTTGTTCAACTTTCTCAGGTGGCTTGAATAGGGAAAAATGGCACTGAACATTTTTCCTTAAATTAAAGATTTTTTGGCATTTCTCCTTCGCAGAAACCTCCGTAAAAGAAAAATATGGCTTCCGTGACTGTAAAATGAAAAGTGTCTATTGCCATAATACATCATGTCTTCCAACACGATGTCTCATAATTCTCCCCTCTAACTCTTCCTTTGTTCTGAAGAGGGGCCATAACTGTGTCACCTTTCATTACCACAAATTACTATCTCTTTTTATTGTAATCACTTACAATCTCCTTCGCTGTTCTCTGTCCTCTGTTCCATAACAATTAATTATATTTCCTCCATTATTTCGCTTTTACTCGTCATCTATTTTTTTTTTTTTTTCTCTCATCGCGTCACCACAAACTCATTAACTTATTTGCACGAATCGGTTAACATACTCGCGTAACGTGTAATTATCCCAACTTCGACTAAAAAAAAACTTCCATCATTTTTTAAATTGAATATTTTTAATTCTTAATTTCTCTCTCTCTCACACACATCAGCACCAAGGTGATGTACACACTATATTTTATTTTGAATTTAAATAGAAGTTATGTTACCATTTTTTATTTTTTACGCCTATTTTATGGAGTGATAGTCAGACTTAGCAGAGGTGTGATGGATACATTGTTGACATGGATGATTGTCAATGTCCTATCTCTGTACTCACTTGGCGGCCATTGGCGCAGTGAGATGTCGGACAGGTGCATTGCGGCCATTGGCGGATGCATCGAGGTACAGTATAAAGTTGCTACATTTTCATTGTCTTAACTGGCAGTGTACATAGAGTTCAACTTAGCAGAGGTGTGATGGATATATTGTTGACATGGATGATTGTCAATGTCCTATCTCTGTACTCACTTGGCGGCCATTGGCGCAGTGAGATGTCGGACAGGTGCATTGCGGCCATTGGCGGATGCATCGAGGTACAGTATAAAGTTGCTACATTTTCATTGTCTTAACTGGCAGTGTACATAGAGTTCAACTTAGCAGAGGTGTGATGGATATATTGTTGACATGGATGATTGTCAATGTCCTATCTCTGTACTCACTTGGCGGCCATTGGCGCAGTGAGATGTCGGACAGGTGCATTGCGGCCATTGGCGGATGCATCGAGGTACAGCTATTTTTCAACTCTCTTATGGATATTTTTTATGACCTATTCAGTTTCCCTTCAAGTTATTTTGTGCCATCTACTCATTCTTCAATTGAAAGCTTTATGACAATCTTATCAATACTCCTGCTTATTTAATTAGGCTGAACTTACAACCCATACAATGAGAGTCGAGCCTACCTTCCAAGAGGACGATGCATTCGTATGCCCCCAGGAGATGTCTGTGCATAGTTTTTTTCGGGAGAATTCAGACAACGTTTCTGCATGGACTATACAAAATTTCCTTCATTGTTATCCATCAGATCTCCCAAAGTACTGCAGTAGCCTTTCGAAAATTAAATCATATAAAGACATTGCAGTGTCCATACGGAAATACTGTATACAACAGATGGAATTCTTGGGCTCTACTGAAGGTCAAACCCATGTCCGCACCTTGGAGGCAAAGAATCGAACTAGAATAAACACTAAGCTTATTCAAGAAAATGAACTTGATCTTTCACAACGAGATACAATTTCCCAACAAGATGCTCAGCTTGCCCCTGGACAGAAAGGTGCCAATTTTTTGCTTGCTATTATTATTATTATTATTATTATTATTGTTATTATTATTATTAATTTACCTCAATTCTGTATAATTTTTAGACATTCCCATTGAAACAGAGATCTTAATTCAAGACGGTAAATGATTAGTATCATATATCTATTTGATCCATGTTGAATGTGTTGCATCCATTGTTCACAGACTCATATTTATATTTAATATTTTTTAGAAGCCCAGGGTATCAGATCATCAAAACGTCTTCGCGTGACACAAAGTATCAGTGAAGAAAGCGACGACAATATTGAAGAAGATGAAGATCATGATGATAGTGAATTTGGACTTGTGCGGGACGTTCTTGAAGATAACAGCGATGATGATGTTAACGCTTTTCTCTACGGCTCACAAGAAAATGAGGCATCATCATCTACGTCATCGTCTTCACCGTTACTAAGACCATCTATACTCCCTGAAGATCAATCAACCTGTGGCAAGTCTAAGTACCAAGGACGGAAGAAGGCAAGAACAATATAGTGTTATTGTTATCATCGCCTATATCGCTTAGTTTTGTAATGTTATCCTAACTTTAGTATTTTAATAGAGGTTTGAGAGTCTTGATATGTCACGCTTTTGGAAGTTGAGGTCGGGACGGACAGTTGAGGAAATATTGTTTAATGGCAGTTTAAAGAAAAATGCCCCTGTCTCGTAAGTTGCGGCTTATGACTTAACTACAGTTATTGATAAACCTAAAAGTGCCATCGACTAATATGAAAATATTTAGGATTCGCTCTTGTACAGTCAACTTTGATTGCAGTGTAACTAAGGCACTTTTCTCAAACGAAGAGTGGCATGAACTTGAGGAACACAATGATTTCACGTTCCCTCGCTTAGCAACCACTATCACTGACTACATTATGGCCCTCCGATCGGCAATGCTAGCAGGCCGTCATGTTACCACAGTCCCCTTACCAGACCAGGATCAATTTTCTTGCGAGCTAATAATGACTACATGCATGAGATGGTAAGGATGTTAATAACTGACACCTAAAACGCGCAAAACCTCAAAAAAAAAAAAAAAAAAAAAAAAAAAAAACTGAGTTGACACATTCTATCATACACTCACAGGGCCAGGATGTATGCAAAGTCTCCTACCCCTTTTACTTCAAGGGACCTTTCCGAGTCATTTTGGGCTCGTTCGTCTTGGCCACTGCTTAAGGAATTATTTGACGATGTGTCTGAGATCATCATGATTGATGGTGAGAAAGCCGGACTAGAATCGAAGATTAGGAGGAACAAATCTAGACGAACTGAAAGTGACGCCTCAACAAGACGGCGCATTGGTCGTAAACTCGACTTGGTTGCAAGAAATTACTTACGAAAGGAGGATTGGTTCATAGTTCAATTTATGAATGAATGGAATCCTAAAGCCCCAAAGTTCCTTGTTGAAGCAAACGTCCATCTTTTCCGTGAACTTCACAATATCATGGTACATCGTTTACAGCAAGCTAAAAATGATGATTTCCAAACGAGAGCGAGGTTTTTTAGCATTTATGCAGGTGGTGAGTTAAATTACGCTTTTAAAGTATAACCCTTATTTCTCAATGATTATGGTCTAATGATTGTTGCTTTCGTCATCACTATTTGCAGATCGAGGCTTTCGAACATTGGAATTGAGGGCTGCAGGTTCTAGGACTTACGTTGCGCTATGCAAGATTCATAAATGCTATAGCTTGCCTCCGTTCTATGATAATCTTTCAAAACAGTTTCAAAGTTTGACTCACATTCTTCAGCTAAGGGTAATACAGCTTTGCTATATCCACTTTACTACACAAAGTTTGATACTTACACGTTTGTTTTTCTTGGCTGTAGGCCTGTGCTTCAGAAACGATATATCTTTACCAGCAGGTCTTGAGAAACCCATACGGACTCAATGAAAGTGATGATTGGCTGTATGAAAATAGTAACGTCAGTCTGGATGATGAGACCCTTGCCTCTTCTCCTTAACAGCATCATTTATTCCACCTTGAGTCAAACACTTTTATATCATTTGAGTTACTTGATTAAGACTTGTCCAGCATCGACCAAATTGTCTCATACTGTCGTTACATCAACACTGTTTGTAGATAGGGATAGTAGGAATAAGTACATCGGACAAACAGTTTGCAAATAAAATAAAAAAAAACCCCCTTTTTCATTCAAATCGTTATCTAAAATTTTATTAGCAAGAAACTCAACAGTTATAGTTTTGGTCTCCGGAAGTACACCAACAGATCTTCCAAAAACCTACGCCAGCCTATTAAGTTTAATAGAAGAAGCAGGACTATACAGCGTGATACATAGCGCTTCTAATCTTGTAACGATAGCGCGGCTTTTAATACGAGTCACTGGCGGTAGTCTGTCAGATATTGGCAAGGCAGGAACAGGAAAGAACAAGAAACAAGACAAGACAGGAGATAGGATAAAGGATAAGACAAGAATAAGGGAACAAGATCAGAAAGTAAGGATAGGATTGATATGATAACTGATGATGATATATTAGAGCGGTCTATGACAGACTATACGTACATGACTAATTGGCGATGCTATATGTATAAGCCGACAATTAGAATTAAACGACTGTGTATGTCAGGGCTAAGCGAGTGTGACGGACGTGGCGTGGCGGTGTTGTCTGAGGTCTTGGTGAAGGCGTAGTGGTCGATGACTCAGCAGACACTTGAGGAGCTGCTGACGACATGGTCGTAGAATTCGACCATTTTGTTCAACTGCTAAAGATTAAACCGCGACTACTGATTCAAGAAAAAAAACATTAATGTTGAATAGAAAGCCAGGAAAGTACATTGCCTCGAGCAGTGAAGATATGACAGTGCGAGTGTGGGATGCAGAGATAGGCGAGTGCTTGATAGTTATCCTATCTGAAGGTGGAGAAGTTACAATGCTTGTATGGAATACCTTTGAAGAGGGCTGCTTTTTGGTCACAGTATCTATGAATGCCACTGTTCGGATGTGGCAGATCGTGGAAGAGGGCGATCAATATCAGTATCGGCTGAAATGGTGCACGAAACAGACAGTACTTAATGCTGACAACATGTGTATTCAAGATGTAGTTGGATTGGGCGTAGTCAACAGAGAGCTTCTGATGCAACGAGGTGCAATAAAAGAACAGTCCCATCCGTTAGCCGTATGTGAGGCATCCAAACAGACTGTGGCAGCATCACCAATGGCATACAAGTCCAAAGCTGCCTCAAGTCAAGCTGATGACCATCAATCCCTATCAGTGGAGACATCCCTGGAGACATCCCTGGAGACATCCCTGGAGACAGAGGCTTTGAGAGGAGGAACACTGTGGACAACAATGACAGCAGCAAGTCAATCGATCAATGACTACCGATTCAAATACAGCATGTGCAGTGAATGTAGGTTTGCACATGTTATTTCATGCAGACCTCGCGACTAAGGGAGGCAATAAACAGTATGCCATTGAGAGTAAAGAATAAAGTGAAGAGCTGTTTGATGATTGATCACCTTAAAATGAGAATAATGTACAATTGTCTTTTACTTGACTAGCATGACACGACAAATTCGCTTCTATATTCATTTCTTTCGTGCAGATGTGTGTCTTGTCCATGTGTACCTGGTTGATCTGAATGCCGTATCCTATGCTCTGAATCAGCGGAAACATCACTGAGAACTCATAGTGTGCACTGTCATTGCTGAGAACTGCGAGAATATTCGCCTTGTGTCTGTACACGAGCAATATCCACGATCAAGAACAAACGCTTTACAAGCAATTGCATCAAACACTGAGTGCCATCAAAGCAATCGTTCTTTCTCTTTGTCGTATAAAAAATAAAGGTATCGCTTTTTTTGAGATCTTCCAATCGTTTTGGATAACAAAAAGTATTAGAGCTTTGCCCTTTCTCGTTTAGACAATTTCCTGGTACCAAGTATTGCGCACCTTGAGTACATACAATTCACTTTGATCTCTTATGGGCTCTTGAAGTCAATAGCAACACAAGTTCCCTCTGCTTTATCAATGAACCTGAAAATGAGGAGGACACAAACTAAGGGGGATAACTCACGTTTATCTTATTGTCAACAGTTACCTCATCTTTGACGCTATCTTCAAAATCGTTAGGCGCCTTGTCTTTTACAGCGGAGAAAAGGTCTCTCTCTAATAAATGTAGAGCGGTAATAATAGAAGGTGAAGGTGAAGGTGAAGGTGGATGGGAGTGTAACATCGAAGATCTCAACAGGCAATGTGCCCCTGGATCAGGGCTTGAGCTCTTCCGAGCTGAGATTGTAGTTATAGAGGCCGCATGAGGAATAGCGGATGTTGGGGTAGGCTTGACATCATCATCTTTATGGTGGTAGTCGCACTAACTCTGCCATTGTCGTTCTGGTCCGAGGAGGCTGAGTCCTCCTTAGGATGCGTCTAGAGGAAGCCGCGGAAGCAGTGGGTATTGTGACCGTAGGATGGCGAGTCCTAGCTTCCGATTGCGAGGTAGTCTTTTCAGGTTTCTTTGGCTCGGAGACATCCCCAAGTGGATCAAGGTCGACATCAAGGGCAATTCAAGGCCTCGAGCTGCGATTCTGTCATGTGCGAGATTGCCGGTAACCGCCTATTGAAAACAGAAGAATAGACATGGAGGCAGTTGCTAGAAATGACAACTATGCTTTGGAAGTTAAAAAAAGTTGTAAAATAGAATTATGCGCTTTGATTTTTTTGATAAATTAATTAGCGTGGGGAAACAAAGATATGGAAATTCAATTCAAATGAGAATGTGCACATGCACTTGCTGGAAGAAAGAAAGGTGAGATATTGCACCTGCATGGATCAATTTAAATAAATCCTAATTAATCTTTCATTTTTTAATTTCTGCCGAGAGACTACACTTACAAAACACCATTGCAAGGAGCATGTCATCATACGTCGTCCCACTGTCTGGTGCACAGTGACTGGTGAAGTCATCTCCATGTATCATCCCGAGATTGCCTACCATCCTCAGCTGCCACCTTCATACGTTGCTACTCATCCGGGTGTGATCACACCTCTCCAGACCCCAACTCATGAGCCCCTGTCATCTGTCTCAACATCCTCTCCCATGTCTCCTATGACGCCTTTGACTCCTATGGCTCCTCCTCCTACCTTAAGTGCTACGGATCTGATCCGTATTGATGAGTCTAACCTTCTTCCTCCTCTTCATCGTCATTCATACCATTCGCGCCCATACTCACACCCTCCCAATGACTTTCTGAGTAGGATTTTCTATTCTATTTTGATTCAATGGCGACCACAAACTTAAATATTTCCACCTGATTTAAGAAATTATTATTTAGACATTTTGCGGTTTATTTGGAAAAGTTTATTTGCCATTGATCCTGTTTGAAAAAAATAAATCGGTCACATCAAATAAAGCTGCCATTCTTTTCACTCTGATAGACAGCGATAGCAATTGAAGGATTAGAAGAAATGTATGGCTTTTTATTGGATTCGCAGTACATCTCTGATCACTTGGTTAAGGAGCGGCCACCCCATTCCTTTTTGGAAAGATTCACAGGACTTTCAGACAGTGAGTTTCGTACGATGTTCGGGACCACACGAGGGGATTTCTCAGCTCTTCTGAATGTCATTGGAAATGACCCTGCATTCTCTAACTCTTCCTCGCGTGCTCAAACACATCCTGCTTGGCAACTGGCAGTTACCCTATCTCGGCTTGGTGTAAATGGTACAGGTGTAAGTGCATCAAATATGCAAGCGATTTTTAGAATTGGGACTGGAACGGTGACGCTCTTTACTGATCGTGTTTTGCAAGCATTATGGAAGATGAAAGTTGACTGGATTGTATGGCCAAACGCCGCAAAAAGGACAAAGATGGGACAAGCCATGCGGGAGGAGGGCTTTCCCAATTGTATTGGGTGCATCAACGGGACTACCCTCCCTCTTTATAGATGGTGAAGCTTACTTTGATCGCAAGAGGAGGTATGAACGCTGTGCTCATGAGTATCTTCAGCTCCAGAACGCATTACTTCCTAATTATTATTTTTTGTATAAATAGATACTCCGTTAACATGCAGGTCATCTGCGACGTGGACAAGCGCATTATTGGGACACATCTTGGTTGTCCTGGTTCCTGGGATGATTTCACTGTTTTCAAAATGATGCCTCATTACCAGCTACCACAGCAATTCTTCTCGCCTGGGGAGTACCTTATTTCCGATTCAGCATATGACTTGTCGGAGACTTGTATCCCCCCATACAAGACTCCTGCGACAAATGAAAACAGGGAATTCAACTATTGCATTGATAAATCCCGTCTAAGAATCAAGGAATGTATTGGAGTCTTGAAGTCCCGATGAGGCTCATTACAGGAAATGAGGCAACAGATTCGATCAAAGGCAGATATGCAGAGACTAGTCCGATGGGTTGTGGCATGCTGTGTGCTCCATAACATGTTTGCACACCTCGGAGATGAATGAGAGGAAATATATCTGGAGGAAATACTCGAAGAGGATGATACAATGTTACATGAAGCAGAAGTATCAGAAACGGGCGCTCACAATTTCAGGGAGGTTTTGTAGAAAACCACTTTAGAGACCAATTATGCCAAAGGACGATTACCCTTGTGAAATTTTTTATTTTTTTTATATCTATCATTCCGGGAATATCGGGACACCAACTTTAGCAATATAGGTTTGTTCAACTGAAAACCCTTTATCCATCCCTGTCTGCATCAACTGCGCAACTTGCATTGTGAATTTAGCGTCAAGCTCTTTATGAAATCGTTGGCCATCGTTCTCCATCCTTTGCTTTTCGAGCTCGGGTCTTTGTATCGATATCTCTTGCTCCAAATTCAAATGCTGTTCTTCGAGCTCCAACTTTGATTCTATGCTTTCTTCTACTAAATGAAAGTGTGAGAAGAATTTCCACTCATGTACAGTACATTGACTTTTTCATCTGATTAGCTAGGTCTTACCATTGTTTTTTTTTTTTTTTTTTTTTTTTTTTTTGGTTTACAGGGTAAGGTCCGAATGCAACGATGGTGGTTTTTTGCGTTCGTTCGTTCCTCGCGGACGCTTCCTGGAGGATGGTGACCGTAATGACTCGGCATTTGACAACTCTCGCTTCCATTGACGGTACGGCGTAGACGATGCGGTGGAAAGGCCATTTATATCACCAATTTCATGATCACCGTTGTTATCAGTATACATTCCACCTACTTCCAAGTCTGGATTGACGCCATCATCATCGATGTTATAGTTGATGCCACTCTCAAAGGTGGTATCATTCCGGTTGCCAGCTTGGGCATTGTGAGTATCTGAAGGCTGAGGCTAACAAAACACAGTTTGATCAATGATGGAGCAGGCAAACGAAGAGGCAGCATTAAACGGCTGGAAATGGCTGGCTGACATATAAGTCCCGAAGAAGTTTTGTTGAAGGATTCGAGGCATTGGTAGGAGTAGCATTTATGAGTCCGGGGTTGGAGGTAATAAGATCTAATACAGCGATCTTGGAGGCGATAGTGCCTTTGGTCGCAATACGGATATGTTTAGCAGAAAGAGAAGAAATAAAATAGACAATGGCATAGCACTGCATGCATGTTGAAGGACCTTTTTATTTGGGTTTGTACTCCACAACACATACAAATAAGCTCTATTAAAAGAAGTACAGTAATAGACCCTCACCTTGGGAGAAATACGAAAAAAAAGGGCATATTAAATTGTCAAGACATAAAGAAAAGCACACACAGCAATAGAATAGTAGGAAGATATTAATTGCACAGCATTTAAGGACCGCATTTTGAAATGAGTGTGTTCAATTTTCGTTACAACCATGTCCCCCACAGTTCATGGCTGTAAAGACTGGTAGCAAAGGGACAGGAAAACAAGGCATTCAGTACTGACAATGGTATAAAAAGACTTCTCCTCTCTTTCTTTCTCGCTTCCCTCATCCAACCCAGTGGGGTGCAAACGAACAGATCACCTCCTCGTGGTGCATCCTGGGTTGTCTGCTTAACTGCGGGCAGTGCAAAGAGTCTGGTAACCTTTTTATTATACATATATATTTATTATTCTTCCCATGCCCGTAACTTGAAGTGGGTCTTTGACCCATTAAAGATCGGCATGGTCTTTCAGCATTTACAACATTTATACATATATATTACTTGTTTGAATGGGAAAGGGAACAAAGGAGTGCTCATGAGAGAAATGAATAAAGTGATTCATGCAGCAACTCTTGGATCCAACGTCTGACGCGCTTTTCAGGAAACATGGGAGGGTCGAGGAGAGTGCTAGGCGCGCCCTGACGAATCCGTCCTAATTAGAGCAAATGCTCCTTTAAAATTTTGAGTTCAATCTTACCCTCGCCAGAAAGTCGTAAACAAATATATTCTCAAGATTTTGAATTGAATAAAATACTTTGCCTTCCTTGTTAAAGAGACGTACAAAGCCAGTCAGCCAATTAAATATTCATACGTGATCCTCCAATTCAAACTGAGTATTTTAAAAAATATATTTGTTTACGACTTTCTGGCGAGCTCTCCAGTTTGTTTTGGCAGGCATTTTGCTTTGTTGGACCTTGTGCTATAATCCTAATTGATTCTCACCATTTACTCCTTCTCATTAGCCCCACTCTCTCTTCTAATCCCATTTCCCATCAATCTCATTCTCACTTCTGACACTCGCTTGCTTCACCTATTTATTGTTTATTATATAATAAACCGCAAAGAATTATAAAAGCTGTTCTGCAGAGGTTGTGATCTGCAAGCACAGGTATCTGCAGACAAGGCGGAATGACCTTTCTAAACTATGTGGCAGTTGTAGGATTAGTAAAAGAGTAGGTGTGAGCTATTCTTGCCCAGGTTGTGTCTCTACTTATGCACTGATATGGCTGTACTGTCAGACACGGAGCTTTGGTATTCGAATGATGAGTTTTTGATACTGGCGACGTAAGGATTTCATCTGAAGAACCGATAATTCGGTCTGTATCTCAAAATTCATTTTTAGCACAGCATTGATGACCCTTATTATGGAGATTTGTCATTTCCATTTGAAAGCTCTTAACAATAATGCACAAGATCTTTATAAACTTACTGGATGGACTCTACGCCTCAAGGCATAGTGATGTCTCTTTATTTTGCTTCCATTCCAAAGCATCACATAATTGATCCAAGTACGCTCTGCCGAACAACAAACCCCTTCCACTGCACAAACACTGAAAGAACTGTTGTCACCGTCATTGCTGATAGTTTGAGTCGACAACAAGCCTTCACCAATTCATCTTTTTTAAGAATTCATCTGTTCAGCCGCCACCGCTGGCATTGAGCAGGTTGCCGCTGGTTGCTCATCTTTCACCTCTGCTGCTTCCACTTTCCCTGATAAAGGAAAGAGCGTTCTTCCGCAACCACCAGTCAAGGAACTTGTCCCTGAGGACCCAAAAAATCAATTCTTTCCTTTTACAATCCCAGGCGTTCTCATTGAGATATTTTTCAGACTTATGGCCAAGGAGATCAAAAGATTGTTTTTATTATTGTTGCCAGGCAGGAGCTCTTTATTGAGGTCCCGCCATGACCGCCACACAATGTCTTGACCTTATGAATAAAAACGGAAGCGCCCTGAGGTGCACTCCAAACCTCGGTACGTAACACTCACTCGCTTTGCTCCTGTTGATATTGAATCCATCACAAACGTCGTATTAGATCGTGGCGTCTTTCCTCTGGCATGAACCAGTCGAAACACAGCACACAATACACTTTCACATTCAAAGTCCCTGCCCAATGGATTTCTTATAAAAACTATAAAAACATCACTGTCTCTGACCTTGCTTTGGGTTGTATCCTCCAGGCTAACCAAGACCACACAAACAATGGTCCTTACATTAGCTCTGAAGGTATTGAGCAAGCGTTGCACGGTGTCGAACGCAGAGCTCTTCTTAGACTGGCTGGTGGAGATGTACGATGAGGAGGAGCCAAAGCAGCTCGCGAAGGAAATAGAGGCGCTTTATCCAACAAGGAAGCAAGAATCGTCAAGACCATCAGCTGGGCCTAGGACTGGTGAAAGGGTCCTCCCTCCTCAAGATGATGTCTCCCCCCAAGATGATGGCCTTCCTGCCATTCCATATGGTGAAATCAATACCAATCAAGAAGAGCTCCTACAGCATCTGATAAATATACAAGAAGAAATATAACCAGACAGTTTTACAGATAATCTCGCAAGTCTCTTCGAAGTCCGCTCCCTCAAAGCCTGTTTCCTCGAGGTCCAATTGCTCAAGGCCATCATTGAGTTCTACACATTATAGTGAACTACAGAGTCCACGATTAGCCAATGAGGTCCTACGTAGCCTCATTCATCAGGCACAACCATCGCCTTCCCGTGCACGCACACGTCCACCAATGCTCAGTACTGCCCATGGCGCCTCGCTGTTCATTCAGATTCCAGAGTTAGGCGCTGAAGCGCAATCTATATTAGAGTTAAGTCGACGGAACTTGCGAATGGCTCATGAGACATATGAAGGATGGTACAAATTGTATAAAACTCTTGCTCTTGGCACTATTCCGGTTTCTGACCAGTGTGCCGAGGTCCCACAATCACAACAGGCTCTAGCAAACATCCCATTTACCAAGGTCCAGCGCAAGGACAGTTTAATGGGTATTTTTTTTCAATCGATCAAAAATGTGGGATTAGTTTGCAAGGCTCGGCAGGGCGATAGTGTTTGTGCTGTTGAATCTAAAAGTAATGCAAGTGGAAATGTTCGGGAAAGGCATGTCGCCCAACATCACGGAGAAGAGTATAGTGCTCTTCTCGAATCCCTAACTTATCAGTTTTCAGTCCCAAGGCGTAGAAATACCACAAGAAATATCGCAAGAAAATCCGCATGAGACGCCACTTGGAGATAAAGGAGACATACTCTTGACACCAAGAAGATCGAAGTTTGAGATTGTCAAGGACAAAGTAGTGGTTTCAAACATGGAAGAACCACATCAGCTTGGAAGAGGAACTTTAGAAAAGGCGTTTTTGCGGATGGTTGTCATCGATGGGCTGCCATTCTGGCTACTCAAGTCGAACTCTTTTACTGTTCTTTGCGGGGCAGGCTACTCAACGTACATTATAGTATTCCCGGTCAAGAAACCTTGCAAGCCAGACTGGGGGACTGTGTACACGACTATAAGCTGAGGCCCAAGTAGGATGTTCACCGCGGATTGCTGGACCGGCATAGATCAAAGGAAGTACTTAGGTATCACTGTTATATCCAATTGAAAGTAATAAAATATATAAACATTTATTAATACGGCAATTTCATAGATTGTGGTATATGCAAAGCGACAAACCTTCAGATGGAATCCTATGAGTAAAACGAGATTACTTCTTCACACTGGGTTTCTTGCTTTGAGAAGTAGATGGAAAGCCGGTGACGTGAAATTTAATTATATGGCCAGGCACCATCTCTCCTACAAAAGCTGCTACTTGGATCATACTGTTGGACCGCTACTGTCGTTATTCAATGTTGAATTCAAAAACGCAATATGATTTTTTAACGCCTCTTACTTTGCATATCTGCCTCAGGAAGACTTGTTCTACGAAATTACTAGCGTGGTATCTAGGGAGCATGAACTTCGATATATGCAGGCCATAATTAAGGGAAAGCAAAGGAGTTTGCAATGAAAACAACGTTATTTGAATAAGGAATCGAACTGAAAGAAGCCTAAGCAATAATGAGATAGATGAGAGGGGAGTAGTGATAGGAACTCTATTTACACCAAGTTTGGTCAGTGTCTACAAAGATGGCTTCCAAGTAGTGAAAGAAAAAGTAGGCTGATGTGCGATCTTGACTCATTTTTGCATGTCAGTGCAGCTATTGGCTTTCACTTTCCTCAGTGGAAATACACGGATATATCTCCTTTTTTTGTGGACAAATGAATAAATATCCCCAACCATTCCAATCTTTTGGGGTGAGGACATCATTTACATTTTGCACTAATTGAGTCCTCTCTGCGCTGCATGTATCCCTTTTGTATTCACAACAGACCATTCATTCAGTTCTGTTTGATCAGCAATGAGGACAGCGGTTATATTCTTTTCTCAATTGAAAATTGATTAATGAATGTACCATCCGATTGATAATTCGGATCTTATTTGAATTAGATCATTATTCACGCCTTTCTCCCTTTCAGAATGTGCATGTACACACTTTCATTTGAATTGAATTTGCATATCTAATTTATTTAATTTCTCCACCATCGTTTATCAAATTATCAAAGCGCGTAATTTTATTTCATAATGACTTTTTTTTTTTATTTTACTCCCAAAACAGAGATATGATTTCTAACAATTGTCCTCAATGTCTGTTCTTCTGATTTCAATAGGCGGTTACTGATCACCTTGCACATGACAGAATCGCAGCTCGAAGCCTTGAATTACGCCTGATATTGACCTTGATTCACTTGAGGATGTCTCCGAGCCAAAGAAACCTGAAAACACTACTTCGCAATCAAGGACTAGGGCTCGCCATCCTACTATCACTATAGCCACTGCTTCCGCAACTTCTTCTAGACGCAGACTAAGGTAGATCCAGTCTCCTCAGACCAGAGCAGCAATGACAACGGGAACCAGGGCGAGAGTTAGTGCGACTACTACCATAAAGATGATGGTGCCAAGCCTACCCCAACATCCACTATTTCACATGCAGTCTCTATAACTACAATCTCAGCTAGAAGACCCCAAGCTGATCCGGGAGCATATTGCCTGTTGGGATCATCGATGTTACACTCTCATTGGCTCCCTCTCCATCAACCCCTCCACCTTGACCTTTCTTCACCTTCTATTATTACCGCTCTACATTTATTAGAGAGAGACCTTTTCTCCGCTGTAAAAGACAAGGCGCCTAACGATTTTGAAGATAGCGTCAAAGATGAGGTAACTGTTGACAATAAGATAAACGTGAGTTATCCCCCTTAGTTTGTGTCCTCCTCATTTTCAGGTTCATTGATAAAGCAGAGGGAACTTGTGTTGCTATTGACTTCAAGAGCCCATAAGAGATCAAAGTGAATTGTATGTACTCAAGGTGCGCAATACTTGGTACCAGGAAATTGTCTAAACGAGAAAGGGCAAAGCTCTAATACTTTTTGTTATCCAAAACGATTGGAAGATCTCAAAAAAAGCGATACCTTTATTTTTTATACGACAAAGAGAAAGAACGATTGCTTTGATGGCACTCAGTGTTTGATGCAATTGCTTGTAAAGCGTTTGTTCTTGATCGTGGATATTGCTCGTGTACAGACACAAGGCGAATATTCTCGCAGTTCTCAGCAATGACAGTGCACACTATGAGTTCTCAGTGATGTTTCCGCTGATTCAGAGCATAGGATACGGCATTCAGATCAACCAGGTACACATGGACAAGACACACATCTGCACGAAAGAAATGAATATAGAAGCGAATTTGTCGTGTCATGCTAGTCAAGTAAAAGACAATTGTACATTATTCTCATTTTAAGGTGATCAATCATCAAACAGCTCTTCACTTTATTCTTTACTCTCAATGGCATACTGTTTATTGCCTCCCT